GATAAAAAAAATGTGGCATTTATACACAATGGAGTATTACTCTGCATTAAAAAATGACAAAATCATAGAATTTGCAGGGAAATGGATGGCATTAGAGCAGATTATGCTAAGTGAAGCTAGCCAATCCCTAAAAAACAAATGCCAAATGTCTTCTTTGATATAAGGAGAGTAACTAAGATCAGAGTAGGGACGAAGAGCAGGAGAAGAAGATTAACATTTAACAGGGATGAGAGGTGGGAGGGAAAGGGAGAGAGAAGGGAAATTGCATGGAAATGGAAGGAGACCCTCAGGGTTATACAGTGGAGGGGGTAGAGAGAGAGGAGGGGAGGGGAGGGGAGGGGAGAGGTGGGGAGGGGGGAGGGTGGAGGATGGGAAAGGCAGCAGAGCACAACAGACACTAGTATGGCAATATGTAAATCAATGGATGTGTAACTGATGTGATTCTGCAATCTGTGTATGGGGTGAAGGTGGGAGTTCATAACCCACTTGAATCAAAGTGTGGAATATGATATATTAAGAAATTTGTAATGTTTTGAAAAACCAACAATAAAAAATTAAAAAAAAAAGAATCTCATATTAGGTTCAGTTATGAAATAAATATAAATATACAGTGTTCATAATATAACTTTATCATAATAAAATGGGAGAAGTTCCTGTAACCTAGCTTACTTCTACATCTCTTCTAGAGCAAAACAGAAACATTCCATTTCAAATTATCTGCTCATGTATGTTAACAGTATATGGTACTAAGATATTATGATAGCATCAATAAAACTAAACAAAGTACCTGGGTAGAAAGACTGTGTTTATTAAGACCACTTTCCTTTCGATTCCTTCTTGATCCTGTTAACTTGGAAAGACCAAAGCCACTGCTGACACGGGACAATTTGGATTGTGTGGTGGGTACTAACGCTTCTCCTCGACTTATGCATTTCTTCTCATGGGCTATGAAATTAAAATTAGATTATTTTACAGTTTTTCCATGTAATAATCAGTCTTATTTTTATGATGGTTATGAACCACAACCCTGTACAGTAGCCCCTTCATTATCCTTGGTTTTGCTTTCTGTAGTTTGAGTTACCTGCAGGCAACTGCAGTTTGAAAATATTATTTGTAATGCAATGAGAAATCAAGTTATTTTGGGAGATCACGTAACTTTTATTCCAGTATATTGTTGTAATTATGATATTTTCTTATTAGCTATTATTGCTAATATCTTACTTTGCCTAATACATAAATTAAACTTTATCACAGGTATGTGCATACAGGAAAAAACATATCATACATAAGGTCTGGGATTATCTGTGGTTTCAAGCATCCACTGGGGGGTCTTGAAACATAACCCAGTAGATAAGGGCCACTGCTATAGGTGTCAAAAGCAGCATGTATTACACATACAGGCATTTTTTTTTTTTTTTGGTATCACAAAAATTATTTCCTGGTTATCTTGTTGAATGATGGCTGCTTGAGGATTATTGTACTAGCTGAACTTATATTTAGTTGACATTTCACAGATCTATAATAATATGCAAATTTAGTTTAACAATTCATAATCCTTACCTAAAACTTTTGGGTATATTTTGGAACTTAGAATGTTTTGGATTTTAAAAAGGCTATACAGTATATACACTGTATACATATAATATCACCAGAGGGTCTAGGGTAGTAAAGCATAATTTAATACATTAACACACTGCAGCAAAATATATGAACATTGTACCAAGCACTATAAAAGAAATGTAAGTGAGTTTTTGGTATCAAGTGAGTTTTAGCACCAAAATAATGAGAAAATCCTGGGTGTTCAGGGCTTTAATAATTTCAGAATTATAGATAAAAGACCCATGACTATGACAGTAGCTATATTAAAGCTGTGAGCAATGTATATTTTCCTTAACTCATAAATGCCTAAAGTATAATACACCTTAGATGAAGGGGGGGACAAAAAAGAAATTCAACTATCAGCATAATCATTCTAGAATGGTTATATAAATTTTCATTTGTACTGCCATCACAGTATCCTTAATTACAAATTTGTTTACTCATATACAATAGGCTTAACGGTCTCAGTAGGTCTTCTTACCCAAATGATTCTGCCAGCATTTCAAACCAGCTTCTTCTATGAGTGGCCTTGCTATAGCGATGTCCACATGACCCCTTTCATTCACAGGCAGAGTTACTTTGAAAAGCTCCTCCAAGACTTGTTTCTTACTATGTATCAACTCAGTCCACACTCTGTTGACGGCTTTTATGAGAAGCTGACGCCCTAGAAAATTTAAAAATAAATAAATAAATCAAAAGAGAATGATGGAAACACTATATAAAATTAGTTCTTATATTTCTTCATGTTTCCTATCTGGGAATTTCAACAATATTACTTAATTGTTTTTTAAAAAAATACTCATATTATATCCAGCACAGTGAAAAGGGTTATTCACAAAACCAAAATTAAGTTTCCAAGTGGTTGGTCTCTTGGAAAACTTTTAAACAATCTTTATATTCATGCAAAAAATCTATATTTTTATTTACAAAATTGGAAATCACAAATTTAATAATCTAGCATTTTCTAGATTCTTAAATATGTATGTATCCCCTTTTCCTTTTGCTTTCGTTCTTTTTGTTCTTCTTTGGTGGTGCTGAAGATTGAATTCAAGGCCTCTCGTATACTAGGCAAGTGCTCTACCACACAGTTACATTCCCTGATCCTTTAAGAGTAATTTTCAGATCTGAATATTTAAGGTGAGTGCAAAACTCAGTTAGTTGTTGAATATCTTTCAAAAGGGAAGTAATAATAAATATTTTTAAAAAGATTTTTACTATTAAATTCAGTCTTCCTTTGGATTCCTTGATAATTAGCCTGACTTCTCCAGACATCTTCAGCAAGCACAGAATCACTGCATGGAGTGGGGGAGAACACACTGCTGCCTGTCACCCCCAGTTTCTGATTTGATCTGAACCGGGCCAGAGAATCTGTGTTTCTACCAAGTTCCTGAATAATCCTGATAGTGCTTGTCTGAGAACATCACTTTGGAAACTAGTGTTCTAGACTGCCTGTTTCTTGCAGGGATGAAAGTTCGGTCCTCAGGCAAATCTCATTCTGGGGTTCAAGAAATTTGGGTTAAAAAAAACAGATAATAAATTAATAATTAAAAGAATGAATGAAAAAAAGAATGAGTGCTGAATCTGGGAGAGATAAAACCATATGCAAAACTATTACACAGTATTGCTGGGAGACAAACATAAGCATAATGATCTCACCTTCAGCACCAAGTGCGTGGAAATAAGACATTAATCCACATGAATATTTCAATGTGCACTACTCACGAGTTCAGTGGGGAAACTCAATTTTAAAAAGAAAATTTAAGTGGTACTATAGCAGGGCGTGGTGGTGCATGCTGTAATCCCAGCAGCTTGGGAGGCTGAGGCAGGAAGATCACGATTTCAAAGCCAGCCTCGGGAAAAATGAGGTACTAAGCAACTCAGTGAGACCCTGTCTTTAACTAAAATACAAAATAGGGCTGGGGATGTGGCTCAGTGATCGAGTGCCCCTGAGTTCAATCCTGAGTACCCCCTACCATACACACTGTAGACAACCTGTCTCAAGCTATGCTCTCCTCTAGTGTGGGTAGGTATTAAACTTACCAACTGGTCATTCTTTTTATAATAAACACCAAGTTTGTGTTTGCATTTTTACTTGTGCAAGTGTAGTACCATCAAGTCTCACTAGTGTTCCTGGGAAATGTTGAGGGTTATAAGTGTTAGGGGTTAGTGTTGTACTAATCATGGTGTAAGTAGATCCTTTATAGGCATGGTGGTTTACATACAGGTTGTACTAGTGGAAGAGTAATTGTTCATGTTAGCATTTTCTAAAGTCAATTTTTAAATTTTATCTTAAAAACTGGAAATGAAACAATGACAACTCATCCAAAAAGAATGAGGTTATTTTACCTTCACTAATATCTTGGCTGTATCCACCATCTGGTTCAATGTCAGAGGGGATCATAATGTGCCATGTAGTCATGCGGGCTTCTGCTTCCAGTCCAAATCCATCCACGTTGCTGAAAAATTCAAGTCAATTTAAACATTTGATGACAGTGATTATAGTTTACAAATTATAATGACTAAGGGTTATTCTGTAGACATATGTAAATGCTACTCCCTCACAAAGTTCTGTTGTTGACAGACATTCAGCAGATGTATAAAACAGAACTTCTAGCTTGTCATGAAGATACCATTTTCTAAGGAATGATCTCACAAATCCACTTGACAAAATGTAATTCATCTATAGCATCACACCATCTCAATATTTGAGATGCTTTTGGTTAGTGTAACATCTTTATCTAAAAATTACCAAAAGATCAATTAGCTAAGACTAATCTCCAAATATGCCTATGTTGTCACTGGTCTCACATCACCCTTCTTTGCTCCACTAGTAGTGCAATATTAGCAGTTTCCCAAATGTGCCACACTCTTTCTTTCCTCTGGGCAATCACAAAGACAGCTACTTTTTTCCTGTGGCACTTATCCCTGTTCTCTTGTTCTCTCCAAATTGCAAATCAGCAGGTATTTCTTCCAGTTTAGGGATTCCTATTATATGCTCCTAAGGCAGTGTGCTATTGCTACCAGAGCACTCAGTGCAGATGACTGGGTTTTGCTTAGTTATGTTTTCCCTTTAAAATGGCTGCCACAGAGTCTGTCTTACACTTTATCCCAGTCCTTAATTCAATGATTGGCCTCTAGGAGACATCACAGAAATATCTGTCAGCGCAAACAATAGAAAAATACCAATTTTACCCATTTAATATGTAACATTGCCTCAAACTTTTCTTAGCTTCCAAAAGTGTCTATTTTATTTGTTTTAAAAACATACTTTCTTTTAAAAATTATGTGACATATGGTAATTATGGAAAAATTTAAAGATGCAGAAAAGTATATTAGAAGAAAAAATAGGAGGCTGGGGCTGTAGCTCAGTGGTCAAGTGCTTGCCTCACATGTGTGAATCACTGGGTTTGATCCTCAGCACCACATAAACAAATAAACACTGTGTGTTCACCTTCAACTAAATTAAATATTTTTTTTAAAAAAAGAAGAAAAATAGTCATTATTTCATTACAAAAAACACTTATCATTTATTATCTTTTGCATAAAGTATTAAACCAGATTAAGGGGAAAAAGAAATGCTATTATCAAAAAAGTAAAACAAAGAATTCTAGTAGAATAATATTGAAGACAAATTCAAGATGACAAATTAAACCTAAAAGATTTACCTCCCAGCATGTAGATTAATCAAGCAATGAGCCAGACAGCTAATGAATTCCTGGTCATGGTTCCCAGGCCCCAGGATCAAATTCCTGTTCAAAGTAAGGACCCTGAGCGAATCAAGGAGAGCAACTTGCTGAGGGACAGTTTTGTGTGCCCGCGAGAACTGGTACAAGATGGTTCTATTGAGGCAGTGATAAACTGCATCCAGAGACAAGCCCTGTGATCTTCTCTTTGACTAAAGACACAAAAGATACTTTTTAGTAAAAAGAACAAAAATGAAAAAGCTGCTTATCATTCCGACATAAAGTTCGGTTATCTATCATGTAACAGATGCATGCTAAGTACGAGGAGCGCCAAGTTAAAACCTCTTGCTACTATGGAGTTCAGAACCCATACAGCACAATTTAATGAATTTAATAACGGCTACATAAAAAGAGAGCTTCCAGTAAGGAGAGCCACAAACAAATTTTGTTAGAAAGAATGATCTCTAGTCAAAATCACTTGAAAAAGCACCTAAATTTTTATCTTGGTTTCATCCCTTAGTTGAGCGTGAGACTCACTTTTTGGCTTAATTGCAAATGTATCTCTTAGAAGATTCTTAAGTGACAGGTGAGCTCCTATACATCTGTACATATTAATAAAACATGGCAATAGGAGTATAATTCTAGTGTGATTCTATGTTATATTGTGAATAAGATTAATTACTTGTACCAAACCAGACCAATATTCCTTAGTCAGCATGCACAAGGAAGAAAAAGTGATGTCTTCAAAGGAACATGGATTACAAAGGAATTTGTAAAGATTAGATTAATAAGAGAATGTTTCTTTAATATCAGCTTTACATGCTGTGTAGGCCTTTGCACACTGATTTTTTTTTACTGTAAAAAACTATTAGACTATATTAATGTAAGGTATTTAAATGCATCTGGGTAGCAAAGACAGATACCAGTGGGGAGGTCAGCAAGAGACTGACCCACCTTGAGAGAGCCAGGCAACTTTACAAGGGACACAGTGGCACTAGGCTGTTGGTGGAGGGGGCAGTTAAAAGTATATTTTATATTCACTTTTAATAAGCTTAGCTTTATATTGAATGTTAACATTCATTACCTTATTAGTTATACTTATTTACAACAATTTTTACACCATAGGCAAAGTTTTTCCAAAAGGAAAACGTACTCTACAACTAATAGTGACAATTGATTACCTGTGCAATTAGTTGAATTATAAAATCTATAAGAAGTTTAGATTCTTTGTTGAACATGCCTTGCCAAAGCTTGTCCACCACACGTTGTGTGAAATAAAACACATTGTTCACCAATACCTGGTAGCTTCCTCCACTGGTAATAGGCAGAGATGCATCTTCCCCTAAATTCCAGTAGAAAAAAAATGTCTTAAGAAAATTGATACACAAGATCAAATCTTCAAAGAAATCATGCTAAGGAAAATGAGTATATCTACAAGACTTAAGAAACATGACCACAGCAAGCTCTTAGATACTATTTGAAGAAAATGATGTTCATAGTTACAAATCTGAGTAAATACTGGAAGAAACAGTTTCATCAGGATAAAAGTGCTATAAATTGAGACTCCCTGTGAAGTCCCTTACACCTAAAGACAGTGTTTGATAAGCAAATAGTTCTTCAACTGAGGTTGTCAGTGACAGAGCGTCTTAATTTAAGAGAAAAATTAAGTCAGTTTATTAGTTACAAATGGATTTTGTGTTAAGTAATAAAGGGTTAAAAAAACCCCATTATCAAACAAAACTTTCCATTTTGGGGGGTATAACTTTAATAGCAATTAACTAATATAGGCAAAAGAGAGCTTCAGAAAGATTGTGAAAATCAAGTATCTCCAGTGGTGGTGGGGCAAAGGGGGACTGGTAGCCCCCCATGATTGCAATTATCTCTGCCTCTTTTTAAGGTTATTCCAAGGTCCTCAGTGTGTTGCTATATACGTACTGCTTTGAGATAATCCTCCTAGTCCTTCCTAAGCAGAACACTCCCTCCAAGCCCCTCTGTAGAAACTCTGGAGGTTCTAACTGAATGTGATTATTATTCCCACCTCACTCTAAATTGCCCCCCTAAGCAGAACTCTTCATTTTATGCCTTCATTGGTATGACTGATCTCAACTGATACTAACAGGTACAAAAGTAAAGCTTGACACTTAGCTTTAAATGCACGGCTACATGTCAAGATAATACCAAAGACTTTCTTGTAAATGGCTCTGGAAAAAACATGTTAATTTAATAGCACAGAGATTCTAAGATATATTATCACCAGCAACTCAAAGGAGCATGTAAACTAAATCATTACCTTTTGTATTCCTATGAATTCTTTTTTATTTATAAATGGTGACTCCATTGTAAAATACTGTTTTATAATTATCTATTTTTATTGTAAATAGATATAGACATATTGAAAAAACATACTCCAATATGTTTTGTACTTTATGTCCTAGAACACATCCTGAAGAATACATGTACGTACCAACAACTCACTCATTAAGTACATATATGTGGTCTATATAACAAGCATATTTATAGAACTTTATTTAGAACTGTGTCTACCAGGAAACTTTTACATGTCTATCAACAGAGATATAAATAAATTTATATGTTCATATGATAGAATATTATAATAGTAATAAAAATAGACTCTTGCTACATGCAGCAACATGGATAACTCACAAATATAATACTGAGCATAAGAAAGCTAGACTAAAAAGGAAGGAGAAAAGAGACAAATTTAAAAAAGAGAGACTGAGGACTTATATAGAGAAAGGAAGGAGAAAGACTACAGACACTTTTATAAAATAAAAATAAAATACAAAATTACCCAATAACACATCAGCTGCAAGCAAATGGTCCATTACACTATCCAAAATGTAAGTCTGAAATTCTTTTTGCTGAGTTCTTGTAGATCTTTCAGGTGAAGCCTAAATCAATAAAAATTATTACAGTTAGAAACAGAACTAACTACACAAAGATAGGGTTCAATTGTTTATGTATGTTATAAAATGTAATAAAAAGATGAAAAAAAAAACTACTGGTAAGTTTAAAAAATATGATATGAATACATATACTGATAATTATTTTCTTATTTTTCTTGCCATAGAATTAAAAAAATTAAAGAAAATGTGAAATGTCATCTTGAAATCCACTGTTTGAAAAACATTATTCTAAATTACTATAAGAATTTAATAAATATTTTATAATCTATTATATCTCACTTCCAAAAAGATTTGGCAGTTTATAATAAATTGAGATACATCATAAAGCCATTAAAACAAATAAAAAAGCCCAAGAATCTAGTTATCAAGAGGAAACATCAATGGGGAAATATTTCTAACAAAAAAAACTAAGTCAATAATTTAGCTCTGAGCTTCCTAAGTATCAAGAAGGAGAAAAAATATGGCTTACAAAGCTTTTTATTATTTCTAAAGGAAAAGCACAGTAGATTGACAGCAAGGATATATGTTTTCCTACAACTGTCTGAGAAGATTGTTCTCTGTGGGTTTTCTGAAGATAGTGAACAACTCTATAGGTGGCATATTTAATAACAGTTTTACCAAGCACAAGATAATGGTTTAAATTATCTTGAGTAAAAGCACAAAGTTAAACCATGTTCTTGGGCAGCCTTCCCACTGCTTATAAAGAACAATAATCTGGCTGCCTAACTTTCAAGCATCTAACCTGGAAAAGGACAAGAAATAAAGGTAAAAAGATCCTTCCCTCATCCCTCAAGTCCCCGCAGTCCTAGCAACGCTTTTGACAGAAGTTAGATATCAAACCATTCAACAACCTGTCATCTGTCCCTTTCTTGGAGATCTGTGTGATTAGATTCACAAATAATGCTATGTTTAGTAAGTGCAATGAAAGAAACTACTTCTTGCACAGAAAACTTCAGGACTATCTTTACGACCATGTCTTCTAAATAAGCTTTAGAACACTGTTATGTTTTTCTTTCTAATCTGATTTCAAGGTAGTCCTTTCAAAGGTTTTAAAAGAACAGTTAAAATCTGAGTTCTAAATTGAGATTAAAGTTGTTAACCTAAGGATTTAAAAAACTAATAGCTAAACCAAAGTTGTCCTTTCTCTCTCTTCCATTTGCATGACTTTTTTTTGCCGGGGAGGGGGGGGTGTGTGGGGGTGGGGTGGGGTGTGTGTGTGGGGGGGTGGGGGGATGGTGACAAGGTCTCACTATGTTACCCTGGTTGACCTTGAATTTGTGATCCTCCCACCCTAACCTCCCAAGCAGTTGAGATTACGGCTGTGTGACACCCCACCCCTGCTGATATTTTTGTTTTAAAATGATAAAATATATGTGTAGTGACAGATAAAAAAATGCTAGTGCTGAATTTGGGTTGTCATTAAACTAATATGAAAAAAAGTAAGGGCCTTCTTTTGTTTTCAATCTTAATTCTCCAGTGTAGTCAACAGATTACACTCCTGTGTAGTCAGTGGGAGACATGTGACTAAGGCATGCCTCATGATACTAATATTGAGAGTCCGACCCCTGTCAAATGAAGAGACAGCGAGAACTTTTTAGTGATAAACAGAACACGGATAGTTTTATGAGGATTTCCTTGGAATTAGATCAGAAACTACTTTCGACTTTAGTGACAGAAATTTACTAAGGAGTAAAGGCTCTTCATTCCCAGGAGAATGTGAGCATTTTGAACACAACTATACTCTGAGGATTATGATCAACTCCAGGTGGTTTGGGATAAGTGATAACGAGTATGGTTTATCAAATCTTTTTATTCATTCATTCATTCATTCATTTATTTTTAGTTGTGGTTGGACACAATATCTTTATTTATTTATTTTTATGTGGTGTTGGGGATCGAACCCAGGGCCTCGCCTGTGTTAGGTGAGGGCTCTACCACTGAGCCACAACCCCAGCCCTTTATCAAATCTTAGACAAAGTCTTGGAACCTGCAAAGCGAGGGATTATGAAATACACAAGTACTTGATCAATTAACACTACTTATTTTTATTTAAAAATACTGTTTCCTATTCCAATAGGATTTAAGGATGGCCCAGTCATCAACAGATATTGAATCCTCCAATTCTTCTCACAGAACCTATATAGTTCAAATGTTCTTACTGAGACTTACGGCAACCTAATTTTTAAATTTATAAAGATTTTATAAATGCATTGTCCCTTGTAAATAATTCATTAGACTACTGTTATATACCAGAATCAGTGCTAAGTTATATAAATTACCTTACCTAATCAGCAAAATACCCATTGAAGTAGACACCAACATCCCCATTTAGAGGACAAGGTAACTGAGGATTATTAGTAAGTGTAAGTCACTTGGTTACAACTAGGATTCACACCTCACTTCCTCTGAAGCCAAACCTGCATATTCTCCCCACTCTACTAAAATCTACATAACAAAGAAGACAAGGGCACTAGCAATGCTGTAGAATGCAGGCTACAATCTCCTCATCATCCTTTTAGGTAAAACTGGCTGGCCCACCAGACAACCAGAAAGAAGACAGGTAAGCACTGTGGCCTTGCTCTGGCCTCTGTACATCAGATCTGTCTTTTTGGTGACAAGAGCAAAGCCAGACAGCAAAAGATCACTGTCAACTTTCTGAGGCCTCAGAACCATTAGGCAGAATCCTGTGCTACCCATAGGCCAGATAGCCTATGGGCACATGCTGCCCAGGAGAGAGGTCTATACTCAGGAAGGCCTGGTATTTTGTCCTGTTTCTGGAATGGGCTGGAAGCCTTTAGAGAAGAGGATTTTCAGCTTTTGGTTATTCCTCTTGACTGACCCCACTTCTGTCATCAATCTGATGTGTGACAATAGGGAGATCTTACAGACGATGGCTGAGTGGCACAGTGAGCACCTCAGATCACAGAGCATTGCATGTACTATCAGAGAAGCACACACTCCACTCAGCACCCTAGGTTTTCCTCCTCTGGGCACATACAGATACTCTGTGGTCTGTTCTCATGCACTTTCTTTCTACCACCAGAGTAGTATTCATTTGCTGCAAATCCATTTGTCCTTCCCTTAAAAAAGGCCACTTAATAAATTTTTAATACATACTAAGGGCCAGCCAGTATTATGGATACTGCATGCATTATCTATTTCATTCTCAGAATAATTCTGAGAAGTTCCTTTCACTACATCCTTTTCCACAAGGAGGAAACTGTAACAAGTGTGGGAACTGAACCTAGGAAAGGTCACACCCCTATAACCAACACACAATGATTCTTTAAAATACTTTTTGCTGGATGATATACATGTATTTGACCCTTAGAACATATCTGCAGAGGATATAGTGAATATCATTCTTCATAGATTAAACTTAAGCAGTTTAAAATGCCATCTGTTAAACAACAGGGCCAGATTCAAACCCAATATTTCTTACTCCAAATGCCATAATCCTTCTCTTATATCACATTGCATCCTTTATATGGACCACACACCATTCGTGACAATGAGAATCTTTTATTTCTAGAGATTGCTAAAAAAAGATAATTTCACCTCTTTTGCAGATATACCTAAGTAAGCAGGTCCCCTTTTGGGGGGCATGTGGTCTTACTATGTTGTCCAGGCTGGTCTTAAAACTCCTAGTATCAAGGGATCTTTCTACCTTTGTCTTTCAAGTGTTGGGATCACATACCTGTGTCATCAAGCCTGGCAATAGATGTTTCTATGATGAAATTCTAACACTCATAAGACTGAAGATGGCCTGATTTACCTTATTAGGTTAAAAATCAGTGAGTTCAAGTTCCTTTTTTCATGTAGGTGAAAAGGTTAATATATAATTCTTTTCCTAAATTTCTTCAGGGATACAGACTTCATAATAATACTAAAAAATGTATATTTATAATTTTTTCCTAGTATTGGGGATTAAACCCAGGGTCACTCTACCACTGAGCTACATCTTCAGCCATTTTATATTTTGAGACAGAGTCTTGCTAAGTTGCCCAGGCTGACTTTGAACTTGTGATCCTCCTGCTTTAGCTGTCTCAGTAGCTAGGATTATATGTATGTGCCACTGTAACTAGGTATACTTTATTTTTTTATGTTATAGGGAAGAAATGACACTAATAATATTTTGATAAGCATACACACACACTCTCTAACTGGGCGTATTAGATTTAAAGTTGTTTAAAATAGCAAGGAAAGTTTTAATCATAAAGTTTTATCCTTCTTATTAGGTAGCATCCCATCTTCCAGTTTGGGACTTCCAGGAGTAATTAATAGTTAAATGATTTCAAAATTCTTATAGAATATACCAAGGCATTGGGCTAACTGTTGTGAGAGGTGAAAGAACATATGAAGGTCAATATCTTAATTTTCAATAGTTTGTCATCTTTCTGGGAGCTTTAATCCTGATAATACCTGCTTCTTCCAGAACTAAAATGTGAATGCTCCCAATTTCCCAATACAACTAGGCACAAGTCCATTGTGGACAAATTAGTGCCCACAAAAATGAGCACCTTACCTTAAGATTCATACAAGTATATCAAATTCTTTCTATTAAAATATGAAGAGAGGTAATTATATAATTTATCCAGTATTAATTAATGGGATATTGGGGTTCCTATAAGATTGAAAATGCTATCACTGGACAAAGCCTCTCACCTCATATCTTTCATAAATGTGTACTTATTTTTATGCTTAGCTAAGGTGTGTTACCAATATCTCTGAACTTTATCCTGATATTTTTCTGATCACCACTTCAATTTTTATGGAGCATTCAAATTCTCACCTTTTACACTAAGATACTGACCATCTCTTTTCCTAGAGTTTTTTTAAAGTTTTCAAAGGAGATAACTCTACCAGGCATGCTTTTTAATTCTACCATACAAACTAATGATGAAACCAATTATTTCCCAGCCAATATTAAACACTGTGGTTCTGGTTACAAAGCTTAGCATGACTAGTTCTTTAATTGACCAAATTGAGATGTTTTCACACGGATAAAACACCTTCTGTGGTTAACTATATCGGCCACTAGGGGGAGCAGAGGAAGCTATGGTTCTATTGTTATAGTCCAGATAGAACACAGGGATTCAATCTTTCACCCACCTTCATACTTCCCTCCATTGACTATTTGATCCTATTTATACCAACTGGCCCAAAGAACATACATATATAGGAAAGGTATTCTTTATTAGATTTGTTAGATTTCCTCTCTGTGATTTTTTATTTTCTCTGGGATTTTCCTAAGTGAACAGTTTTTAATGGTTTTCAGAGAAAGCTAATTTCTAGGGCCAGCGAGGACATTTAAGGCTTACAGCCACTCTATTTTTTGATGTATCATTGACTACTACCACTTACCCGGAGAAATGGCAAGCAACCTAGAAGTCTCTGCCTCAGAGGAAATTCACCAAGTGCATACTGAGCAACTATCTACTATGCATAATACACAATGTCTTAAAGCGGCACTAGATAGCAACAGCAATAATACCGGGCAGGGAATTTGCAGGTGAGAAGACAGTGCCACTAGGTATTATCCATGTCTAGGGATGGAGTTGGTATGCAAAGGCCTGTGGCCCAAATCAGACTGTGACAATTTTTGCAAATTAAGTTAATGGGAACACAGTTATACCCATTCCTTTTTGTGTCATCTATGGCTGCTTTCACACTACAATGGTAGAGTCAAATATCTGAGACACAGACTATGTGGCCCAAGAAGCCTAAGATATTTACTGTTTAGTTCTTTACAGGAAAAGTTTGCCAATTGTTAGAGAAGAGGTGATAAAAAATTGTATTGTGGTCATGGTTGAGGGAATGGAAAGAAGAGGAGTAAACTGATAGGATCTAAAGCCCAATATGTTCTGCCCATATTTAACTCAGAAAAATTAGAAGTCTGAAGACATTTAATACAGAACTATCTTGATTATTAAAGTTCTAATTATAAAAGCAATGTAAATGAGAAGTAAATGTGTTTCTTTGCTATTACCTCCAACAAAAGATCAATTAATGGAGTCTGCTTGCTGGCAGGGGTAAGACAGAGGTTGTCTATTATTAAGACCCGCATGAAGTCAAAAACAAACTTTTTAGCTGGGTGATTGGTCAGATACGTCTTGGTGCCCACATTGCAGTATTCTGATTGGCTCCTGTTCATCCCTGTATCTGCGGCAAAGGCTTTAAATTCTTCAGCTGGAGATCCAACTTCATCATCAAGATCAGTCACCTAGTAAAATCAAGTGGAAGCACATTAGGTTTTATGAGACACATTTACCTGTATGTTCCCTAAAAATAAAATTACAGCAACAGCAGTATTTTCCTTCAGCATTTACCTCCTATTAAGCTACTCAGCACATTATTTCACTCTGCCTTACTTGACTCTTACTTCCAAGATAGTAATTTGGCACCATATGTCACAGTTATTCAACATATGGTCTTTCTGACTGACCACTCAAAATTTATGTAGAATCACATTATATATTTTGTGTATAACTGCCCTGAAAATAAATGAAACAAAAACATGAGAATGACTATATTTGTGTATTTAAAGTCTACCTACTGAAAAATTAAATGTTACAAAGTTTCAGATAAAAATCTGGCAAAATACCACCTAAGTGCTATTCCATTTTCATATGAAATAAGTCCAAATAATAATAAAACTACTGCCAATTTTGAGCCAAGTGAGAGAGAAAGGTAAACCGGTAGACAGATTACATGATGCTAATAAGAAAATGATATTTAAATATCACGGAGGGTCACAGTTTTATCAGAAATGAGGATTCTAAAATTATAAAGATACCAGAGTGTTAAAGTAATGTGTTATATTTCTTTCTTTTAAAAAATCCCACAATTTTAGAATGAGTATTTTACATTTATATATGGAGAAAAATTAGTATGAGCAAGGTAGTTTATTCTAGTATAGGATAGAAATGAGAGGAAACATCATGAAATTCTGAGGTATGAGGAGGAGACAGCCATATTTTGGGTCTGTTTTGAAGGACAAAGGAGTATCAATATCATAAATAATTTAATAATTTTCTATTAAATTAGTACAATATAAGAAAAAGCAAAAGTTAAGCAAAATAAGAAATCTTGTGAGCAAAAGAACCAATATATATTTTATATTTCAGAAAGACAAATTAACTCTATAATTCATTATCCAGCAAATTCCTACTTTCTGAAATAAGAGAGAAATAAATTTAGTCTGACTAGAGTTTTGTTATCTGGAAAGTACATTTTATAACTACACAGGTATCATAATGTGAAATAAGAAATGAATCAACACCCTCCGGCAGAGAGAAATTACTAACAAAGGACTTACAAGAATATCATCAATGAAAATAGGAAGCAATGCTCACTGCTGTTTTAGGGGAAGGTAAAAGGAAAGTATGAAAAGCTAGACACACAGACAACGATGAAAAAGGTGGTATATAAAGTAATGAAACTGCAACTTGGTCAGAAGCTTAAAAGATTAGCAAAAAAAAAAAAAAAAATCTGCTAACCATTGAAATAGACTAATTCCAGTTTTGACATTTTCCTCCCCCTTTCCTACCATCTCTGAGTAAGGGCGAATATTGAAGGGGAAGACAGTTGCTGCTAAGGCACACAGGAAATCAGGGCTCATCCACATGGAGGCAAGGTCTGGAACATTGTGATATAAATATCTAAAGAACTGCATCAGGGTCACTGGATATTCCCGGAGCCAAGACCCCTCTTCTTCTGATTGCCAAGGCTGTCAGAGAGTCAAGGGAAGAAATAATATCAGAGAAGTCAATGAAAATTACTTCAAAAATCCGTTAATCACTACTCTTCTAAAAATGGATATACTGATGATCCAGAATGCTATAAACTACACATCTGAGCAAAAACTTGTATGCACACATATGCAAACAAATTTAGAAGTTATTGAGGATAAAAATAATAGCCCTAGAAACATGCAGGATGCTTGTCTACTCCCTAGAGTACTCAGCTCATCTAACTGGAGTCTGTGGTTTTGATTACTTATCATTATCAACATAACTACTGCTGGTACACCAACAATGGTTGTATTACCATTATTATTGTCCCACTATGCATCATGCCAAAGAGACAGGAGGAAGACAAAAGATGCAGAAGTCATCTTTCTGAGCATTATCATGTATATTATAGCAGGAAAAATACTTAAGCATTATATAACACAACAAAAAAATGATGATAAAGAATAAGCAATATATATTTATCTTCTAATACCTGCCCAGAGAGTGATTTTTTTAAACTTGGAATTTTATATTTATTTAGGAATAAGGAAAAAAACAAGAATTCCTAAATATTCTAAATTAATATGTTTAATGGTAATTTTTGTTCTTAGATGGCATAATAATAATCTGATTAAAATTATATTTGTCAAGTATAATGCAAAGAATTAAAGTTAATATTTCCTCTTAAAACAGAATCCTAAATTGGGTAAAAAAAATAAGTCATGAAAGTATTTATGTAAAATAGGAACATATATTTGGTTATTTACTTTTTAAATTTTTCATAACTAGAAATAATCAGAATAGCAAAACAAACAAAAACTTGTACTGCTAATATTTTTAACCTCTAAAGGAGAGTTATTTTAAATGTTCAAATAATGTATTATTGCAAGAACTTATACCAAAATGTATATTCACTGTACACATGGATACACTATGATGTTTTATTATCCTAATAATATAACTTAATACTTATTTAGCACTTACCACATGCCAGGTACTATTTTAAGTTCTCTGTGCATACCTCAATATATACTCATAACCCTAAGAAGTAAATTCTGTTATTATCAACCTTTTAAACTGAGGAAAATGATGCATTACAAGTTAGCACGTTGGGACCCTGGTTTCCAGAGTCTGTGATCTTAATAATTACACAGTGTATTCCTAGAGATAGCAAAATATAATAAGGTTCTGGAGACCATGTAGTAAATAATACAAGAATACTTTTATTAAAAAAAAAAAAAAAACCAGATTACACGCAGGTAGACTAGTATCTCAGTAACTTACGGAATTCAGCATGCTGCGGAGCATTCCCAACAATAAAAAAGCAGCTTCTGTACATACATTGTGGATAGAAGAAACCACAGTTCCACTGGAGGCAGGAACTCCAAAAATAAATGTCCAGATAGAATCCAAATCAAACTGCAGAGGTCAAAATGGTTAAAGAGTAGTCACTATTTGCATAAGTTCTAACATTCTAAAATTTCTCTCAACTAATTTTTTTAAAAAGTAAGCAATTAGAAAAAGAGACCTAGTACCCCTTCACTGTACATTTCAAACTCATTTTTAGTTATATTATATATCATCCTGAATCTTGCCTTAGATATGTTTCAAACACAGATTTCTAATTTATTTCTAAAGAAAGCAAGCAAAAATAAAATATATGCTAATTAGCCCAGAGTTGAAATTACAGAATTGATGATTTTAAGCAGGTTCTTTCATAAAAGCATGATAAACTCACTTTCCCCCCATTATTAGCAATGCTCAAAGTTGAATTTAGACACTTATGGATAAGCTTTGACAAAATAAAAATCAATTTGAGGAGATTTATCCAGAGCAGCTTCATGTAATACTTCATGACTCTGGTACCATGTATGTTCCAAAGCTGTATAAAGAACCAAACTGCCTGGTACAAATCCATATCTTGAATTAAGGTAAGGGTACAGCCTAATGATTTCACTTAAAAAGTTTTGTCAATTACTAGAATTGATCTGAATATTATTTGGCATTGGATAGAAGCAAAGTTGAGTTTAAAAGCTAAATTCCTAAGTCTTTGTAAGGCCACAAACATAAGTCTCACATACACATCCATAATAGTCTTCAATTATAAGTCAAATAAAGCCTTATTGATTTCCTAATTCGGATATTATCTATCATTAGAAAATTAAAATATGCCAGGTGTGATGGCGCATGCCTATAATCACAGTGGCTCAGGAGGCTGAGGCAGGAGTATCCTGAGTTTAAAGCCAGCCTCAGCAAAAGGTGTTAAGCAACCCAGTGAAACCCTGTCTCTAAATAAAATACAAAATATGGATGTGACTCAGTAGTCAAGTAACCCTGAGTTAAATCTCCAGTACCAGTCCCAACCCCCCAAAAATGAGAAATTAAAATATTTTTCTAATCATAACTTGTATCTATCTACTTCTTTCATTTTTAATTCTTCAGAAATGAAACCATATTTTACATAAAATCATATAAATCAAAAGAATTATTTATATCACCATTAATATCATACAACTTTCTTATGCATATATAATCAGAGTAATCATAAAGAAAAAAGTCAGTAACAAAGGACTTCTTTTTGGGAAAATTACTGGAGAAGTTTGGTGGAATCAATAATTGGTCTTATTGTGATTAACCCATTACCCTATTGTTATTTTTTTGAATAAACAGTTACATTTACACCTTACTAGATAATTCCTACCTGGCCACCCTGCTTATATCGGCTGCTGATGACAGGCACACTGACCTGCAGGTTCTCAGGCAGCTCACTAACTGGCTGCTGCAGAAACAATGCCATGAGGAGAAAATAGAGGGCAGGGACATTAGTATGTTTAGGAAGGAAGGACTGAAGAACTGGAAAACCAGGAAAATGACAAGCATCCCGGTTAATCTCCCTGACCGATGATCTCCCACCGGCACTCCTGCCCACATTGAATCCTAGGAGAAGAAGAAATATAATACTAAAATTAACAACCAATAACCATGCTGCATTGACAAAGAAGGGAGTAATTCAGTATGTGTAACTTGTCTATCTTGAACATTCATATAAATATTCAATTGTTGTTTACCAGTTGGACAAAGCTCATGGCTCAGTGGTAGAACACTTGACTAGCATGCCTAAGTCCCTGGGTTCAATGTACAGCACCCAAAAAGAATAACTTTTGCAGCTCATTGCTGATAGGCTTGCCTAACACATGCATAAAAGTCTTAGAATTGATCCCCAGGACTCCCCTGTCAAAAAAACCCCAAAAATAAAAAACCAAAAAACAAAAAACTTTCGAAAAGCTCTAATATTCCTGCTTATATTTCCCTAAAGGGGAAGTGAAATTAAAAATATTGCTCAAGGGCTGGGGGTGTGGTTCAGCGGTAGAGGGCTCGCCTCGCATGCACAAGGACCTGGGTTCAATCCTCGGCACCACATACAAATAATAAATAAATACATAAATAAATAAATAATAAAGCTGAAAATTTTTGTTTAAAAAAATATTGCTGAAGTTGAAGATGCTACAAAAATGTAATTTAAAAACACACTTGGTACAATAGTTAATATATTTCATTTATCCTGAAAATCATGATAAACCAGTTAACTGTAAATTATCTACAGATTTAGAGACAAATCTAAATGAATAAAAAAAAAAAAATGTGATCTTCCTCACAACATAATCTGCATCCTTGGAAGGCTGCCAGACAGCGGGGTGGCAAGTATAAGTCTACTGTGGCTATGGTTCCCACTGGGGCTGAGCTGACCATGCAGATGCAGAGACTTCTACAAAAACCCAGCTTTTTAGGAGATGGTCCATTATTATTATATGGCTTATAGCATCCATGCTTCTATCAATCCTGTTTTCCAACAAATTTCAGGGTACAATCCAAACATGTGGTTCTTCTGCTATACCAAACTTAGCATAGTACTCAGCACAAAGTGGATGTTGGCCAAATTTTCAATAGAAATCTTTTGTGAACAGCAACTAATAGATGAAGAATTGATTTCACTCTGAAGCAATTTATATTTCAAAAGGAGATTCACTTTTTTTTTCATTTTCTTTTTTTTTAAGGAAAAGAAACTGTCAAAAACTAATAACGGTGAGTTGAGAAATCAAATCATTGGGTTGCTTATCAAATCAAGGAGAAACAGAATAAAATTTGAAGATACATACACATCACAGATACCCAAGCACACGCACGCACACACAGAGTATACATATACATACACACACACACACACACACACACACATATAAAGAGCATGAGCTTAGGTAAGAATTAAAAACAAAATACAACAGTTTATAGATTGTGTGTGTGTGTGTGTGTGAGAGAGAGAGAGACAGAGAGAGAGAGAGAAATGGAGGGAGAGAGGGTGGGGAGAGATTCAGGAAAAATTAAATGGGATCAAATTTAAATTGAATAGATTCCTTTTTGTGGAATCAGAGCATCATATGCAATGTACAAGCAGGTATCCATTAAAGACAGACACATTTTAAGGTACAAAGTCAGGTGGGTCAAATGCAGGAAAAGCACTTCTTTCTAATATTATTGAAGAGATGCAGGCAGAAAAAACTGCTCATAACCACCACATTTGCAGGTTATATTCCTCTTCATAGCCCATTCAAAATAGTGATCTATTTTCACGAGCACAGAAGTATCTATAAGATCACTGAAAATATATTTAAAGCAAACAATTTTTTTTGAGAAATAATTTCACAGTGAAATGAAAATGATACCACTTCTTCATCATATAAAGTACCCTCAGAATCTTCCACATGTGAAATAACAATAGTCCAGAGCTGAAAGCTCTGTTTTCCCATCATTTACACTGATAATTGAAGCAGTGTAGGAAACATCTACATATTGATACTTTACATTTTTAATAAGCTACATAATAAATTCTGATCCTTAACTTTCCTATCTGACATATGTGAACAGAAATTCTTGATATAATCTCCTTAGATCAGACAAGAGCATAGTTATATATGATTTTATGTAATGTTACATTGATAATTATTTTTAAAGTACTTTAATAATTAACTGTCTATACTTTCAACATTATCTTCGAAAATATATTTCCCAAAGTAAGTCATTAATATGAACAGAAATAAGCCAGCAAATATAATATAGGAAAACAGAAAACTCTAGTTTTCTAATATTAAAAAAAGGTTCAGTTGTTTGTTGAAAACAGCTACAAGAACTAGTGAGCAGAGGATAAGAAGCTTTGACTGAAATGCTGACTGAAATTAAATACTTGAATGGCAATATGATATGACAGTTAAAAGCATATATTTCAGATATAAGTGCATGAATTCAAATTTTGACACTTCCTAGTTGTGTAACAAATAAATTCACCCCATACCTTGAGTTTCTAATTTATCAAATGGATATGATGGTGTTTACACGTTATACAATTGTTATGCAAATGAAATGTTATTACATGGCAAGTGTTTAGTAACATACACAGAGTAAACACTCAAAATAAACAATGGTTATTTCTACTGATAATTTGCTAATTATATGCATATAGTTCAGATAGGGACTATATTATAAAAAAGAAAGAAAGAAAGAAAGCCATAAATAATTCCCTGAGTTTTCAAAACTTTTAAATGATCTCTGACTTTACTTTGAATTTGAAACTATATAAGCTTTTCATCCTATCCTTAATTAAAATTCATGACTTAACAGTTATTGCACACACTAGAGAGTATGAGCTTAGGCAGGATTTAAAAACAAAATACAACAGCTTATTTTAAAGCAGCTGACTATACAAGTCCCATACCTAATACAGTTCCAATCTTATTGGTTAAGACAGAATCTGTCTGTTCAAGCCATCCTCCACCACTGAGTCCTTCTTTAAACTTGATGAGAATAGACTGATTACTCAGCAGGACAACAAGAATCCTCATGGCTGCTGTCACTGTGGTGGAATGCAAATGTTCTTCCATAAACATCATAATCCAGTCAAAACCCAGTGTCTTGACCAGTTCTTCACAAGCTCTATTGAGTAATAGATGAATTCAAAGAAACAAAATTAATTTCAGAAATTAGTATTTCAAATTAAAACAAAAAAATATGATTGGCTTTCATTTTCTAGTTACTATAAATTTCAGGGTTAAAAAAAACCAATATAAAGCCAATGGCAATTTCATCTTTTGCTTGATGTGAAATAACTACTGATAGCAAATGTACCATCAATTCTAAACATGTTTTACTTACTGAAAGTTAATGCTTGTTTTTTCTTTAGATGTATAAACTAGTTTTAGCAAGATATCTAGAAGTCTGTTCCTCAAAAGTATGAGATTAGCAGATACAAGACCTCCAAACTCTTCCTCGGTTCCTAAAATGAAAATAAATTACGTTAAATATGCTTAGCAGATAAATGAGAATAAAATATCCAAAGTGTTCTTTGAAATCTCCATAAAAAATGAATATATTAGAGAACATACTAGGTAGAATTACTTTCCATTAAAGTGGACAGGAAAAGGGTCAGTTAAATCATTTCTCTTTAGAACCCTCTGAAAATTGTTCATTTACATCTAACACTGAAACTAGTGATAATGCCTTGATTATCACATTAATACTTCCCTCCCCTACTCAGCAGTGGGAAAGGCACTGAGTAAGGACTATTAAAAAAAAAAAAAAAAAAAAAACAGATCCTCAACCACCCAGGTCATTAATTTCTAGCTTCTTTCTGAAGGACAAGTTAAATTATTAGATTCAAAATTTGAAAACAGGAAGCATAAACCTACTCAATAAATATCATACAGAAAGAGAGAATTACATAGCATAGAACAGGAACAAAGGCTCACAATGCACAAGAGACAGTAGAAAAGAAAAGAAGGAAAACAGGAGTTCAGGGGCCCTCAGTGGACAGATCTGAAAGCACATGGCTTGGGCAGCAGCATCCACTTCTTCCAGGCTAGCTACTTTGCTGGGGAAGGGCTGCAGGTGAGAGCCACAGCCTGCACACTTCCCTGTATATAGACAGAACTGATGTTCAGGCTGAATCTTACTGTGGTTATAAACTTTTATTTATTTAGGGACCCACTACTGAACTTCCTTTAAAAATGCTAATTTAGTGCTTTATTCATAATGGATGCTTCATGCTTACCAAAAGGAACAATACCCTTCTCTTCCAAGGGGCCCAGACTGGTAATTTGCATACTGCCTTATCAAAAGCATATCCTATGACTCGTCAATTGCTATAAGAATAACTTTCTTTAAAATTTTCTCCAGAAGGTGACATTCTACAGAGAAACTTGATATTCTCTTGTCTATTTTTCTGTCAATTATGTCTCCCCAACTTTTCAAATATAGTTTAAAAAATAAACTCTGGAAAGAACTTTCAGATTAATTTTATCCCACTCAAAACTCTTATTTTATTCTACACTGCATATCCCTTTTATGCTGTTTAATTATTTTGTATTGACTGGCATATCACTGTCCAGCATTATTCAAATAATTTTCTTGGTAGGTATGTCTATTAGAGAAATACTTGTTTAAAATCTCCAAGAAAAAGTATATTGTTTCAAATGAACTAGCAGCAGGTAATTGATCAGGGGTCTTAGGTTCTAGTCCTGAATCTGTCACCAACATACTCTGTGATCTGTAGCAATTCACTAGTTCTTACAAATCTCTTGGACTTTCCATTGACAGTTGTGACTACACCATTTTGTTTCATTCATGAAGCACAGGGGAGGCAGTGTTCGGGACAGGAGAGCCAACATGGAGGAGAATGTCTTTGCAAGGAGTGATATCACAATATTATGTCTCCCTCCACTATGTGGATAAGGTTTTGAGAATATTAAGATGATCATGTATGTAATACGATTCTCAAATAATGTAATAGGGTAATGATACAGCAGAGTCATCCCTCAGGATCCACAGGGAACTGGTTCCAGTACTCCTCACATTTATCAAAATACACAGTATAAAATGAACTATTTGCATATAACCTATGAAAACCTTCCCAGATACCTCAAGCCTTTTTTAGATTACTTAAATATCGGCTATGTAAATGCCATGAAAATACTTGTTATATGTTATATAGTATTGTTTAAGGAATAATGACTAGAAAAAAATATGTATATGCTCAGTACAGGTGTAATATTTTCCCCCTTAAATTCCAATATACAGTTGGTTGAATCACAGGTATAGAACCCAGGGATATGTAGAGCCAACTATATAATATTGAGAGTTTAATTTCAGATATGAATCTAAAAGATTTTTTGAATGCTTTCTAGTCACCTTTCCTGTGTTAGAATATACAACAGAAAAATATGTGGAAACAGAGAGGGAAAAATGGGTATCCCATGAAAAACTTGCTTTCATGAACTCAGCAAAAATTACGTAATTTTTCACAACTTAAAATTTTTATATTATATTTATATAAAATGATTCTAGAGAAATGTTTATTTTCTCAGTAATTATTATTAAATAGGGAAATGAAAATAATAGTATCATGGGTATAATTCACTCTTAGTCAAGTACTACATTTCTGAAGATGTATATAAAATTAAAAATCAAATAATGTTAAAATTACAATAGAAGCATTTGCTATTTAAAGAAACATTGCTATGAACACTCTAATAATACAAAGGATTTTAGTTTTAAAGTAAAATTCACACTGTATTAAATTTTGTAGGCAATGTAATACTTCTGCATATTGTATGGGCTTGATATAAAAAATATATCTATGAAAGACCAAAAAAAATGTAAGGAGGAAAGTTATGTAACACTAACATATAATTCAAATGTTCTTTGTGTCAGAAGAGAAAGGGGCACAGCAATTAATTGATCATAATTTTCTCCAAATTCCAGGATCCACTCACCCATGTCAAGTTTCTCTTCATTATTTATTTCCATAACTACAAATTTCTCACAAACTGCAAAGGTTGGCAAAGTAGAAGAAATAAACTGGCCAAATCTTCAAATAAAAAAAGAAATCAAGTTATGGATTTAATTTTTCTTTCCCCCAAAGAAAGAGTAAAATATAAAGAAATTAAAAATTAACATTTTTTATTTTAACTTTTATAGATTTTTAAGTGATTTTATTTGGCTTGCTTCCTCTTGCACCATCCCCAATAGCAATATAAACAATGTTTTAAAAATATAGTTCTTCAGAAGTATGAATTCTTTAATGCACTAACTTAAATGGTTTCAAAAGACAAACATGACTGATTCAAGTTAAAATGCTCTAACATTATCTGTATAGATCCACTGTAGACTTGGTAGTTAATTTGGGATCTGGAAATACTAGTACGGTTAAATACGGTAAATACTTTTAACCATGTGACAAGGGTCAAATGGTTTCATTTCTTTATTTATAAAGGGGAGAAAAACTTAAAACACTGATAGGTTTTGGTGATAATTTCAGCAAAGCAATCATTACAATGCTAAGAATAAATACTAAATAAACAGGGATTATGATAACTACAATATTCCAAATTAATTCTGAAACTCCAATTTTAAATGTCGCCAAGTTAAAAACATGTTTTCAAAGTATGTGTATGTGATGGCAGTGGCATGTGCACAATGAGTGTATGTGTGTGTGGGTGCGCATGAGTGCTTGTGCACATACACTTGAGAAATAACGGAGTTAGGGGAAGAGGGCTGGGGACTGAACACTTTCATGTCTAGGCTAATCAATCTCATGGGGTTAATTCCCACATCTTTTCTCTCCAATATTCTATTATTCACTGGGGGCAACAACTAATTCTGCTTCATAAAAATAAAAGCAACATATTGAGGAATTACATATTTTTAATGCCTTACAAATAGCATGGCATCAACATTACTGGTGTTATACTGGCACAATAACCAATTACATTCATCTCAATCATCTTAATCTCATTGGTACTTCTGGTTAATTAAAAGATAAATACAGAAGTTTTCACTACCTGAGCAGATCATTGCTGTTGGGAAAACCTTGTAGCAAGAAGCTCAGCACATTACTGATAGCAGCAATGGTAGGCTGGGATAAAGACATATCTCGAAGGGTCAGTAGCAGCTTTGGGATTAACTGGAATTCCCTCATTAATTTGGCATTCTTGGAAGCTTCACTGTAAGAGAAGAAAGATTTAATATACTGTACTATCTTTTCTGTAGCTGAACAACTAACTACATAGGTATTAACTAATACCTGGACTCAGTGAGCAGTTCAATAAAGTGTTCAAATAAGGAAAGATGGAGTTCATATGGTGCATGGAGCCAGACCTATAACAAAAAAAACAAAACAAACAAAAAAAAAAACAGTGGTAGATTTAAAGTTAAAAAAAATTCCCAAAATGTAATTCTGACAAAAACAAAGACAGCACATGGAATTTATTTCACTTATATAATTAACTGAATATAACCACTTTATAAATTTTTATTTTTGTAAAGTCCTACAAAACAGCTTGTACATAGAAATAATATCAATCACTACAAATAGGCCAAAAAAAAGGACAGTTGATGGAATTATCATACTTAAAAAATCTGTTATAAATATGCTCTGCATGTTTAAAAATGTAACAAAAAGATGCAAATGAGGAGGAGAGAAATGGAAGATATCATAGCTACAAAACAAACTTCTAGACATAACAAAATAATTAAAATGGAAAATATATGCGTGACATTAATAGGAGATTAGATATTGTGGAAAGACAATTCAGGAAATTATTCAAAATGAAGTATAAGAAAAAAATACCAAAAATAAGTGACTAGATAGCACATTAGTGATTTGTGAAACAATATCAAGCAATCTCAAGATATGTGGGATGTCCATAAAAGTAAGAAGGGCAGGAAAAATTTCAGATTTTATAAAAATGACAAATTTGCAAATCAACAAATCATGTCAAAGAAAGATAAAGAAGACAATGGAGTGACTTTTAAGTGTGAAAAGAATAAAAATAGTCAATTAGACTTATATTGCATGCAAAAATATCATTAACAAATAAGGAATAAAGAAGACTTTTTCCAGATAGGAGAATTCATTAACAGCAGACTGGCACTGTAAGAAATGCTGAAGGAAGAATTATGCAAGATAGAGATTTGGATTCACAAAAATGAATAAGGAGTGTCATAAACACCATATATATAGGCAAATAAAAAAGAATTTTTAACATGACTTTTGAAAGTAATTGAATTATTTAAAGCAAAAACACTATAAACTATTGTGGAGATTATCAACATATAGAAGCTAAAGTAGAAAACAATGGAACAAAGGGTGAGAGGGAAGAAATGGAAAATATGCTACCAAAAGGTATTTACAAGGTATATTCAAAGACAACGAATTTTTCTGAATGCATATAAAAAGTTTAGGAAAACCAGTACAAAGGAAAATTTTTGTATGCTGTTTTAATTATTTATATTTGTGAAATGGCTTTTTAAAGAATAGGGTAAATTAGGTATTTATAGATTATTTATGATTTGGGGTAATAAAGGATTATATAAAGTCATAAAGTGCTCAAGATACTATGAAATGAAGCCAAAGTTTGTTAAACAATTGCATTTCTGATGTTTTCTTATTAGATTTTAATCAGATAGCTATAAATAAAGCTAATTCATGATTTGAATGTGTCAGTTACCAAATGAAAACAAGGTTAGGCTGGATTAGATAAATCTCTTAACTCCTACATAATCCTTTCTGCACACCCTCCCTATCTCTATATTTCCACAAGTATTTAATCAGCTATTTTTCTCTTCTAATGAACTGAACATTGTGAGGCATGGACTATATATTTTATTTTTACATCTTTAGCAACTAACATGGGGCTTGGTTCAAAAATATTCAGTAAATGCTTTCTTAAAGGAGAGGGCTAGGTATTAGTAGTCTGAATACCAAGCTAAGAAATATATATACTTCATTGTGTAAGAAAGGGAATTCACTGGGATTTAAGTAAGTAATATGCCTTAAAAAACAAACAAACAAACAAACAAAAAAAAAAAACTAGATGACAAAGGTAGACAGGATAGCCTGAGGAAATGAGGAAAAAAGTGAACTATCCTAGGAGAAAGAGGAGACATGACCAGAGCCAAGATTAGGATGTAGCAGCAGAAGCAAAAGAGGAAGACCATGAAATGTGAAAGAAGAGTTTACATGATTTTTGTGTCAGACTGTTTATAGACAGGGAGGAAGAAGGAAGCTGATTTTATAATTTCAAGCCTAGGGAATGGTGGTATTATTAATAGAAACAGAAAAGTTAGAAGAAAGAACTAATTTGGGGAGGGATGTTAAGTTCAGTTAAGGTATTGCTGCTGGGACACTAAAATGGAAATGTTGAGAAAGAAGTAAGAAATAAGTCTGGAATTCAGGTGTCAAAGTTAGAGATTTAGATTAGAAAGTTAACTCCATAGAGATGAGACTGTGGGATTAGGTGAGAGTCTAAAGATAAAAAACAAACAACATAAAACCTCAACAAAATAGTAAGAAATAAAAATGAACATCTTTTCATAAAATCATGAAAATTTTACTAAAATTAATGAGAGGGACAAAAGAACTAGGACAGTGTTGCCTGAAAGCTGGCAAGAGATGTAGGAGATACAAGAAGAGGATAAGGAACCACATCAAATGCTATTGAGAGCTATGGAAGCTGAGAAGTGAGTACGGGCCATAGATTATTATCCTCATAGGTAAGACAATCTAGTTTCAGTAAAACAGGTAGGGCATGCAGCCCGTTTTCTGGGATTCCATAATCAAGGGAACAGCATATAATAATTATAAGGAAGAGTTAGGGCCTAGTACCATATCTGTGAACATTAGATGCTATCACCATTCTGGTAGCAGAGAAACAAGTCAAGGAAGACAGACATAATCTCTGCTCTCATAAAGCCTAGCGATCCTTCAGTTTTCCAGGGATGTAATGTATACATTTCTTGCATATTGATTAATATGAAGAGTGGGATGAAAAAAGAAGTGACCTAAAAGGATAAACGTGATTAAGGATAAAAATGATTAAGTGGGACCTTCAGAGGACAGAGGGCAAGCTTCATGGGTGATAAGACAGCAAAAGTGGAAATCTTGTTATTTTGGCAAAACGAATGATATTTTACCATATAGTTTGTATTAACCCAAATTATAAGTCCAGATTCCTATTTACTGTAGAAAAGTTTCTATCATAATTATTTGAAGAAAACATTTGCCTCCAAATCACCAGTGCAGCAGTGTATTAACTAGCTTAGGTAAATGTACTGTACCATTTCATTTCTATGTTTGTAGAGTGGAATATATCTGAAGAGAAAGAAATTCTGCTCTTTATATTTTACTAAACAATGTTAGTACAATAATCATAAAATTATAAAACTTTAAACACATCTTAGGGATAAAAGTGTTTATTATACAAAATTTAAAAATGGATTCATTGACTACATTCTACCATCCAATGTTTATATACATACTTCAAAATCACAAAGCAGGTCCTGGAAAGCAGTTGAATTGGGAATAATGGAGGTCTCATGTCCACTATCAACAGTTCCCACCAAGGAGAAAGTTAGATGGAGGATGTGGCTGTTAAGAAGGGAACGTTTCTTTTTAAGCAGCATTGCCAGCAACTGTAAGAAAGTAACAACAAATGCCTTTTGATAAATCACCATGTATGTATATATCACTCACACTCACACACGACACATATGAAAATACATGTAGAATAATGAGGCCTTTCAGCTGATTTCTAAATTTTTATTGTGTCAAATACAACAATACAATTAGAGAAAATGTGAAAAACAAAATAATCCTAACACTCTACTAAAATATATTCCCATATAAATATTTGAATAGTTGTTCCTATCACAGGCATTTGTACTCTTTTTCTCTATACAAAAGGACTTTTTTCTTTTGCAACATAGTCTTCATAATTACAATGTAAAAGACTAAATGCTATTCTATGGGACAATAATAATACACTCAGTCATTTTCATACATTTGGTACATTTATATTATTCTTATTTTTTCATGGTAAAAATGCTACAATAAATGTTCTGAAAGTGTTATAAAACAAAAACATTTACAAAAATAAAGTATAATTAAATTAAATTTATACAACATAGTAAGTAGCATACTCACTACTAATGAACTAATTGCTAAAGTTGTAGGACACATATGTGTTTCATCTATAATAGAGGGATATAATCTTGCTCCAAATACTTGTTTCAAATTACTTTTCACAAGTAATTTTATTTTGCTGAATTATGTTACTAGATGTGTATGGATGAATGCTGTGTATTTAAATTTCATGTGGGTTTTCAGGAATAGCATGGCACACTTAACTCTGCACTGGCTCCTGAACAAGTAAGGGAATTAGAGGAGGACAGGGTATGAGGTGGAAGGAACCACAAGAAAAATGGGAATAGTGTGGATTGATCATTGATCTGGCAATCTCTCTCTCATAGGGGGTAATATGACCCGATTTAATTTCATTTCCATTTCCACAAAGGAAAACAACATCCAAATAAGCAAACTGTTGATCTAAAAATACAGTTGGGTCTCTATATCCATGGATTCTACAACTATACATTTAACCAAAACTTGGATCAAAAATATAAAAAAAAAAAAACAAAAACGGATATTTTTATTGTCATAATTCCCTAAATAAAACAGTGTAACAACTATTTACATAGAATTTAATCTACATAGTTTTAGGTATTATAAGTCATCTGGAAATGATTTAGTGCTTACGGGAGGATGTGCACAGATTATGCACATTATGAGACCTGAGCATTTACAGATTTTGACATCTGTTGGGTGGTCCTGGAACGAACCCCCATGAACAGTAATGAAAACTATATTCAAATGTATAAAAGCTATGTGGAAACAATGTAGCTTACTTCAAAGGTGTAGTGTGTAAGACTAGATAAGAATGGATAAAAGGATAAACTGAAACAAAGAAAACTTGTTCTCATTTGGCATGTACTACTTTTAATAAAAACGACAGACTTTTTAAGTTCACTTGGACAAGCATATTCCTCTAGATCTTGAAAAAAAAAAATAAACCATGAACAATAGAATATCCTTTGATGTGAAGTGAAGGCAAAGGTTACAAACCTGGTAGCCCTTGATTCTTTCCATTTCTTTGCTGGCCAGTGGGTTACTCTTGACCACACAAACCAGGGCCTTGACCGCTGCATATAACCCTTCCACATCAGAGGCCATGGCCACTAGGCCCAGGATGGCTGCAGCTCCACCAATGTACTGCAAAGTAGTGGCAACAGGCTTAGGAACAAATGTTCTTACTCCTGATTAAAAGATAGTGAAAAATAATTAAAATGAATTCACCACACAAACAAGAACTGAATAAATCATCTTAAGTAGTTTTCTTGTAACTGTAACTTTTATTTTAAAAAGTTTTTCTGTCCTAATATTCTAACAAAACGAAACAATTAAAGGTAGAGTTTGGGAGAAGACAATAATGTTAATATACATACTGTCAGGCGTAAAGGAGAAAGTAGAGAAGAACTGGGTTTCAGAGCAAGCACCAATATAGCCACTGTGTGGCACTGGGCAGCATACAGACTGAGGTGAGAGTGCCATATTAGATTCTTTGGGTAATATACTTAGGGGAATTCTGTGAACTGGGGAAGGAGTCACAGAAGCCACTCTGGCAGGGATGAAGTACTTCCTACAGATAAGCCAAGCCAAGTAAAGCACATTACTCACCATTATTAAAGGCTTCTCCTTGATCAGTAATCTGAGTCACAACATCAGTGAGTCCAGGAGAGAACCTGACTTTGAAAACTACCTTCTATGGTAATCAGGGCCAGTATTATTATTTCATAGGTGAGAAGACTAATGGTATAGAGCTTAAAACCTCTGGGCTAATGTCACATAGTTATAAGCTAAGTCCTTATTCACTACATTCCACTATATCACACCACTGCTACATTTCTGAAATGGACAAAGAGCAGTGCTCAAGGAAAACTACCATATGCTATAGTGCAAAGGAAACTGTTTTAACAGTGCAACATTATGAAAAAAGAACAACAAAGTTAAAATTTGTGTACATCACTGGGAGTTAAAAATTGTCAAGGACTGACTGGTGGTAAGCACCTCTACTCCCAGTAACTTGGGCAGCTGAGGCAGGATGATCACAAGTTCAAGGCCAGCATCAGCAACTTAGGAATACTGTGTCTAAAATAAAAAAAATTAAAAAGGGCTGGGGATAGAGTTCAGTAAAAGAGTACCCTGGATTCAATTCCCAGTACCACAAAAAATAAAAATAAAATATTGCCAAGAACTGATAAACGTCCTTGCTGATAGGATTTGGATCAGTATTATAGCAACTTTTTGTTAATCTACAAAGGAACCAATATTATTTACTGAAGTATATATTAAAAGGAATAATAACTGGTTCTGAATTTTGGATGGACTGGTGGGATAATATCTCAAGATCCTATTCAGCCAAAACAATTTTTTTAAGTAAATTGCATACATAAGGCTCTATAGAGTGACATATCAGCTCTAAGTTTTATTACAGTTAGATTTCACAAAAGTTCTTATTTTAAACTCAGTACTAAATTAACAAAAGAATTCATGAACAAAATCACTGCTAAACCAAACCATGAAAGAATAAATAATAGTTCTAAATATTTTGTTGTTGTTGCAGGGCCGGGGATAGAACCCAGGGCCACATCATGCTCTGCAAGCACTCTATTGCTGAGCTATACCTATGCCCCTAATAGTTTAGAACAGTTTGAAATTTACTGAAAAACATCATAGTAGCATATAGTCAGTATTCATCAGTGCTGACAAGAGGGAAAAGTTAATGAGATTTTTATAAAGGTGGACCTGTTTTTAAAGTTGACTGGAATGTGAGGTTGTTACATTAATCTCTAAATACTTCAAGACTGCTACAGGTCAAGAATTAAAAATGATGCATTTAAATATTACCTCTCAAGTGAGGAAAGTTAATTTAAACTCAAGGCAAATAAAAAGTCTTAACAAACAAAGGCAGTTTAACTCACCCAAATATCCAATCAGAGTAGCCCCAATTGTCCGTGCAGGTCCATTAAGGTGTCCTGCTGAATTGTGTATCAACTTCACAGGGGTGGCATTCTCGTGGGAGGAAATGCCTAACTGAAGAATAGGAAAGAAAAATAATGTAATTATAGAAGAACAGCCTGACTCTTTTGATTGGAAAAGAAACAAACTGTAAGATCATTAATATATATTTTCTCTCTTTCTATAAGAATATTTAAAAAAATTTTTTAATGGGCAAATACTTCCAAAGTAGAAACTCTCAAAAAGTAAGTTAAATACAATTTACTAATGACCAGGAATCCTGGGACCCAATTTCAGAGGTCCTTCTGAGTGAAGCCTATGGCATGGTTTATACATCACTCAGTGCCTCACAGCACCCCAGTCAATGAACATATTAACATCCAGAACAAGTATACTTAATTCATGACAATTATCAGAGTTTGAAGATAAAATATTTACACAAGAAAAGGACATGTCAAATTTCTGTAGATAGGAATGCATGTACACTCACATACAATATAATGTAAGAAATATAAAAGCAAGAAATTTACTTTTTATTCACTGCTGTTTCTTGAATAAAAGTGCCTGGCACACAGTAGGTGGTGGATAAAAAAGATGTTGAGTGATAATTTTAAGAATAGCAATTGCTGGGCTTCTTCATTGCCAATATAAATATAAGAATACAAATCATGTTTAATTTCATATAAAGAAATTCTCACATTCTCAAATTAAGCTAAATATCTACATGTGTTTTCGCTTAAATCAGGAGCCAGATAAACCAAATACAAACAGCACACAGGGAGTCAATGTGAAAAGGACTGAAATATGCTAATTAAAGCCCACAAATAAAGAAGACGACGAAGCAGAAAGAGTTATTTGCAAGAATAATTGGGGATCAATTCAAGATGTTCACTGAATTCCAATCAAGTTTCTCAAAAGACTTGGGATATCATACTCAAACTGCTGAAGACCAAAGATAAAAAAAAAAAAAAAAAATTGAAAGCAGCCAGAGAAAAATAAGTTGACATACTTACAGTATATAGTCAGAAACTCGAAGACAAGAGGGCAATGGCACAGTAGAAAAACATTTAAAATGCAGACAGAAAAAACTTGTTATCAAAGAATACTATATCTAACCATCTTGTACATCCATCCATTCTGTACAACCATAAGAATGGAGTCCTAATTAGAATAAGATATAGCCCATGACTGTATAATTAATACAAAGTGAATTCTACTGCCGTGCATAACTAAAATATCCAGTAAAAAAAAAACAAACATAAATATGGTATAAAGGAAAGACTATTATATCTAAGGATGAAGACCATCCTGTCATTGTATTGTTGTTGTATCAAATGATCAGCAACTTAGTAACTTAAACAAATTTATTATCTTATATTTCTGAAGGTCAAAAGTAGAAAATGAATTTTTTGAGGTGAGGAGTTAATCGGGATTGAACTCAGGGACACTTGGCCACTGAGCCACATCCCCAGCCCTATTTTGTATTTTAGACACAGGATCTCACTGAGTTGCTTATTGCCTTGCTTTTGCTGAGGCTGGCTTTGAACTTGAGATCCTCCTGCCTCAGCATCCTGAGCCACTAGGATCACAAGCATGCAGCCACCATGCCCACCTAAAAAATGAATTTCAGTGGGTGAAAACCAAGGTATTGGTTCCTTTTAGTGGCTTTGTAAGAGAATTTATTTCCTATCTTTTCCAGCTTTTATAGGCCACTGTAGCATTCTTTGGCTAACTGCCCCATCTTCATCTTTAAAGGAATGGAAGCTTGAATCCTCTCATCATATAGTACCACTTTGGCTTATTTTTCTTAGTTTTATCTTTGGGGACCCTTGTGAGTCAATTGTGACCATGTGAATGTTTAAGATAATTTTCTTACCCTAAGATCACTCAATTACCTATTTCAATCTTCTAGGTGCAACCTAAATCCCCCTTTTCCATGTAAAGTAACATAATATATTCACAGGATTAGGATATGGATGTATCTGAGGGCCTAAATATAATGAATATATTAAGATGCTGAATAAATAAAAATTCAATTAAAAATAAATGAAATAAAATAAAAACAGTGCTGTGTCAAGCTCTGTTTTTAGAAACCACTCCAAATGAGGCTCTGGCATAGCTTCCCAGTGAGAATCAGCCATAGTTACTGGGAAGTTCTTCTGCTTACCTGTTTAGCAATGGCTTTGCTATCCAACTTGTTATACACTTTCCGGATTCTCGCTACTGTCAAGGAGGACACAGATAGTGCATAGAGACCAAAGGACACCTTTTCTTCTGGAACTATTGACACAGGAGAAGGGATAACACCTTCGGATTTTGCATCTTTACCTACAAAAGAATAATTCTTTTCAGAATAATCAGTTGTTTTCCTTATCCTAATACAAACTTTTTATTATTTTATTCTTACTATAATTTTATCAGTGAGTGAAGCTGAAAATCTTTTCAAGTTGGAATAAGGAACCTGAACTTAAAAACTATATTATTTAATTTTCAGCTTTTCATTTATTTCTCTCATTAGAAATTAGGAACAACTATTTAGTCATAGGACCTTACATTTCAAGTTTTAAAATACGTTCAACATATAGCATAATGTGAAGGAAAAAAATTAATTTTATCTAACAAATTTTAAAATACCCCTAAGAATAAAGGGAAGGAAAACAAGTGGAATAGCTGTAAGCTTTGCAGTACTTGGTCTCTTCAGCAAGAATATCAGGTATGCCTCTCCAGATTCATCTGGACAACACTGCACAGAAGTGAAGAGCATACATTTTGGAACTAAATGCTGTGAGTTTCAATCTTGTTTTACAACTTAAAAGCTGGGTGACCTGCGTAAATGTGCCTTAGTTTCCTCATCTGCAAAATGGGGATGACAATGACAGTTCCAACTCAATGTTCTAAGATGAATATGAGGGGCTCATAACAAATACGTCCTTCATGTGTACTAACTAACTTATCACATGCAAGTGCTCAGTAAGCGTCAGCTCTTATTATATGTTATTTAATCAAGAATATGAATAAAAGGACAAATTACATAGTCATACGATTTTTTTATTCTACAATATACTTGTCCTGACTCTTTTGAGACCCTTAGTAGAACCAGAATAAGGCAAAGAAAGACATCACTTGGAAGGGCAACTACAAATCAATTTCAGCTTAATATTAGTTTTTTTTTTTAAATTTTATATATCTTTTGAGAGAAAACATAATAAAAAATGGACTATAGGAATAAAAGGATGAGGAAAAATTATGCTAATTGGCTAGTCACAAGAATATAGGTTTATCTGAACCCACTCTAACAAGAGTAGCAACACTTTAAAACTGCTTCATGTAATAGGAAAAATTGTAGAAAGAGAACAGGGTTAAGGTTAGGCTCTTAAAGAGTGTATACCTACATCTTTGAGCCAATAAGAGAACCTGGAAAATAAGCAACAAAGAATGAAGACAAAGAATCAGGAAAGTGCAGTAAGATCAATGGAGGAGAGCACTGCAAAAAGAAGTGAAAATGGTTAATAGTATCATGTTGAGGGAAATTAGGAGGGAAGGTCCTTTTCTCAGATAAACATATGCACAGTTTTATATACACATACACATCTATGCTGCATGGGTTGAGCCTCATTAAACTTTGAGAACTAAGAGTAAGTTACTCACATGGCATGCACACAGCCTGAAAGCTTCCAACATAATTTGGTCCAAGTTCATAAATGGTAGTAATATTTGAAGGAGGTAAAACTTCTTCTAGAAAATGGGTAGGTCCCAGGCGCCAAACCAATGAAGCAATCTGGCGTTGTGCAGGTGGAGTGCCAATGTAGGCATAAACTGTGCTCACCACGGGGGGATTCACAGAGCCTGAACCCCCAGGAGTACTGTGAACATAATGAAGCTACAAAGCAGACAAAACAAAGGTGTAAGATGAAGAAAAACATTTTTACCAGGAAACTAATTAGTTTAGCCTGTATATTTTCTCATGGTCACCCAACTTTACAAATGTATAAATACAGGTTGAGAAAACTAAGAACAGGGTAAGATTCTGGGATCTGTAACCACAGATGAAAAGATGTTATCAAATTCTCAAAGAAAATGAAACTAATGCTAGAAATGGTAATAATTGAACATAGACATACTATCATTGTCTGGTTGTTCTGCATGTCAAACTAATGATGCTTCTCTGAAATTTTAGGGTTAATATAAAAAATAGAGAGCTTCCTACTATGGAATTAATGCAGTCTTAAAATTAGTCGTAGGGCTGGGGTTGTGGCTCAGTGGTAGAGTGCTTGCCTAGCATGTGTGAAGCACTGGGTTCTGTTCTCAGCACCATATATAATTAAATAAAATAAAGGTCCATTGACATCTAAAAAGTTATATTAAAAAAATTAGTTGTAACATTCATTGTGAGTCTGTTAACTAAAGTTATGGATGAAAATGTCTTATAGGAGTGAAGAGTTGTAAAATATTAGAGAAAATTTAGAAAAATGAAGTCTATGTTTAGTCTCCATGTAAAACAATAACCCTTACTGATTGACATTCTCAGATTTGAAATAACACTTCTGTTTACTGACAAGGTGTCTAACATCAATCATTTATAATAAATCTATAATTAGATAGTGTATAAGATAAAAGGAAATCAAGTTGCTTCTTATACAAGCAGATCTTATCACCTAATGAAATGAGAGACATTTCCATTGACTGTTTTGTCATAACATCATCCCAGCATTAGATCACATCCATGATTCTATATATTAAAGAACAGTCTCAGATGATATTCATACAAGACTATGACAACTCATAGGGACAGCAATGATGATGATGTAAATATATCAGTGATTAATCTCCTATCCCTCAACTCTAGAAACTGAGGACATTTTTGTTTTTAGTGATGGTAAAATTAGAAGCAACCTATTAGACAATCTACAAACTCAATTCAAATGTAGTCATGTAAATGAAGAAAAAAAATGATGCCCATGGGATGTGTTTTGGGGTTTATCATAATGAAACATTATGTTGCAATGGAACACTATTATCATAAGGAAGGAAATGTATTCATAGAAGCTGTTGTTTTCACACAGGACACAACTTTGCCTTTGTTACTGTTTCAAATGAAATAATTAAGGACACTACCTTTTTAAGAGCTTGCTAGTTGAGTTCTGTAGAAAGTAATACAGATTCAGTATGACTTATTCAAAATGTATGGGATCCGAAATATTTCAGATTTTAGTCTTTCAGATTTTGGAATATTTACACAGACTTTACTAGTTGACCATCCCTCTAATCTGAAATTCAGATGCTCTAAAATTTGAAACTTTTCATATATCATGTTAGTACTCGAAAAGTTCTAGAATTTTGGAGCATTTGGATTTTTGGATTGGAGATGCTCAACCTGGGGCAACATTCATAGTAATTTGGAACATAGAATTTCACCTGATTCTTTATTGGTTACTTCAATTTTCTTCTAATTATGAAAGTATAGCAATCTAGAGGATTGCTTATGCAGTCATTTATGTATATCTACAATGATTACCAGAGACAAACATAGGTGATCAAAAGCAAAGAAAAACCAATTCTAACTCCACAGAAATACAGTCTTCTAAATTGGGTGTCAACATACTTTATATACAAACAGAGATACAAAAATTTGTGGTATATGTGTGTATTAAGAATTGTAGTGCAAAAAAAAAGTACATGTATAAAGGAAAAAAAAATAGCGTTACCTTAGATTAGGTAGAGGGAAGTGAAAGGAGGGGAAGGCAGGGGGATGTGGGATAAGAAAGATAGTAGAATGAAACAGACATTATTACTTTACGTTTATATGTGACTGTATGACCAATATGATTCTACAATATGTATACTCAGAAAAATGAGAAATTATATCCCATCTATGTATGATATATCCAAGTATATAAGTGAATTCTACTGTCATGTATAACTAATTAAAACAAATAAAAAATTAAAAAAAGAGAAATACAGTTTTCTAGATTAAATCAGAATGGTAACAATGAAGTGACAAAGTAATGTATTCATAGTTTACTTAGACATCCTGAAACTTGTGTCTCTAGTGCAAAAAAGAATTTAGCAATCTGACCCAAGGGCTGACAAAGTCAGTAACTCCTTTAGGACCCTATAATCCCTCCTTTCTCTCCTTCTTAATAAAATAATAAGAGCTGGTTAGCCACATGACTCTAACATACTGTTGAAACAGGCACTGAAAGTCAACTTAAAATTAAGATAGTAATCTTAAAAACACTCCCACAATCTACATTATATGTATTTATGAATATGTCAAAATGAACCCCATTATTATGTGTAACTATAATGTACTAATAAAAACATTAAAAAATACTCCTGCAAAATACATACACACACCCCACATATACACATGCACACACACCTTCTTAAGCTATCTTGCAAACTGGTGCATTTAAAAGTATAGTATGCTTACCTTTACAGTGTTAACAAGCTGTCCATCAATATAGAGGGCTGCAGTACTGTTTTTCAGCATGCCTTTGCTCATCACCAAAACCAGATGATGCCACTGTCCCTCAACTATAAGCTCTCCACATCGAAAGCGGGCACAGCATGGCAGAATCTCATAAAAAGAGGATTCTTCACTAAAATCATCAACTAAAATAATGAGGGAAAGATGTATAAAACTTTTGGCAGTATCCTCCTTGTTCAGATAATAATTCATATTCAGATCAGCATGTTTTGATTTTTAAGCTAAAATAAAATGATGATGCACATGAAGATTCCCTGTTCACTTAATAACCATGGCTGTAGTAAGAAATAAAGCCTAGAATCTAGGCATGCTCTCATCTGCTAAAGTACTTACAATTACATTCAAAGAAAGTTACAATAGCTAATGAAGTAAAAAAGAAACAAGCTAAATGGATGATAAAAGTTATCATAAACAATAAAAAGAAACTAGTTGACACCAAAACCAAAAATAAACAAGTGGGACTACATTAATCTGTACAGCTTCTGTACAGAAAAGGAAACAATCAACATAGTGAAAAGGCAATTTATGGAATGACATAAAATACACACAAGCTACATATCTGATAAGGGGTTAATCTCTAATATATACATACATAACTCAAACAACTTTATAATAAAGAAGCTAGTAGACGAATTTCTTCTAAGACACAAAAAATAGCTGACGGGTACACAAACACAAGCTCAACATCACTAATCATCAGAAAAATACAAACAAAAATCGAAATAATTTAGCACCTCACACCTGTCAGGATGGCTATGATCAAAAAACAAAAAATAAGCAATGGTGGGGAGGATGAGAAATTGGAAGTCTTGGGAACTGTTGGTGGAAAAGCAAAAGGGTTTTCTGTCATGATATAGAAAACAGTATGGAGGTTCTTCAGCAATCCCACTTCCGGGTATTTATCCAAAAAAACTTAAATCATGATCTCAAAGAGACACTATATTAAGACACTATATTACAGAATGGCAGCAAAAGGTCATTCTGCCTTAAAAATATTAAAATGAAGTTTTTATACTTTCTAGATTCAAAGGAGAAAATAGAAAAAGACAAATACTGACCATAATTTTGGAGTAATTCCTCTTTAGTGGAAACAATCAGAGACCGGTCTTTTGCTGACAGAACTACAGCAAGGCACACGTAATGCTGCTCAGAAGAATTTGCTCGGCGAACAATAGTAAGTAGTCTGACGGGGTGGTTATTAGGAGGAGAACTGAAGTGTTCAATACAAAACCAGCTAGAATAGCTTAAGCCAGATGGAGGAGGGAAGAATCTTTCACCTGAAGTAAAAGTGGCAAAATAAAAATGAAAGAGTGTTTTGACTCATATTTATATTTAAAAAGAGGCCAACGAAAGCATATAAAGGAACTACTGAAAAATGAAGTATTTACCAGAGCCAATGCCGCTGACCACAGCCCCATCATTAAGACATGTTGTGACAGCAGTATTTGTAGGGGCATTATGAGGAGCCAAACTAGGCAGAAACAGGCAGCTATTGAAGAAAAGACAACATATATATTAGAGATAACTATTTCTTCTCTTAACACTATGGATGTACCACAGTGAAATAAACTGCCAGTATATAAAAGAGATAAAAGACCAAAAAATAAATCTGAATATCTAGAAAAACCCTTCCTGTGTTTTAATTATGTGAGAGTATTAAACAAAATGCTTTAAAATCTCTAACAACATGTTAGGTTTAAACTCTTAAAAATTAAGATACAATTTGAATATGTAAAACACAAATGTATAACCTCAATCACAGCATTAGGACTATTTAATCACTGTATAAAAACTTCCCTTGTGCCCATTTCCAATCACTATCTCCTCTTACCACTATTCTGATTAGTTTTGACTATTCCCAACCATCCATTGTTTGAAAATGACCCATGACTACATGTTTAAAATCCAAGTACAGAGTTAGATAAATGTGTAAGAATCCCACAAACAATGTATACATGTACATATTATCTACTAGCAGTCTAAGAATTCACAGATCTAGCTATTTATAAAAATACACAAATAACAATAAGCGAGTTTGTACTGGCTCATATTTACATTGATAGGGGGCCAACTAAAGATAAAAACTTTATAATCTAGCTGTTAGATCTATTAGCATTTGTATCTACTTCGAGGCAGGTGCACTTAAAAAATATCTAGGTTCTCTGTAGATTCTTTATTGCTGCTTGTGCTACTGTAGAATTTTCTGTCACTTAAATTAATTTGTTCATTAGAAGTGACAATCATTGAATATTGATAATGTATAAGATACTATGTTAGGTAATTTGATAGCATGATGACAAAACCTAGGCTAGGAGGTTTTCATCTAACTTAAATTAACATATTACCTCTATATATTCATATTTATTATATCAGGGGTGTGCAAACTTTCAGGAGATGGCCAGATGATAAACATTTTGTGCTCTGTGAGCTAGCAACTCTGTCATTTGCTATCAAGAATATCAAAGTCTGAAGACACAGTGCCAAAGCAGCCATACAAAATGCTATGTTCTAATAACACTTCATCCACAAGAAATAAAAAAACCTTACCAACAAAAGCAGATTTGGCAAATGGGCCTAAAAGATTACTGACTCATTTATTACATTGATTTATTTAACATAATAATTAATTTAAAATAATTACACTAGAAATCTTGAAATAGCATGCTCAAAGAACACAAGTTATTTGAATATACATAGTATAGTATATACCATAATTGGTATTTACCAAGTAAATTTAAAACAAAAGATTCATTTGCAAAGTTACAAAGCAGAAAATAAAACAATAGAATAAGGCTATCTTACAATTTCCTTACCCAAACCCTTCAAGGGATGTGTCAAATTCAACAAATGCTGGAGTAACTGATGACCCGTGAAGTCTGATATCATGTGGGGTTGTCATGGAGACCAGACACTTCACCCTGGTTAAGGGTACAGTGCTACCTTCTGCAGATTTTACCAGGCTCTTGCTTATCCGGTAATGGTTATCTTCAGGTAAGCTAAAAACACTATCAGAACCCAGACCTTCCAGAGATGTGATCATACTATCTGTAAGTCAAAGAAAATCTCTTAGTGAAAATACCATGCAGAATTTTAAAATAACTTTACAAGGCTAATTTATTTTTAAATACCATTTTTAAATTTCAATATGTGATTATTTTCTTTTTAAATACTAAGGGCACTAACCAAGTTTAATGTACTTTATGTTCCTTTATAAACTTAAATAGGCTATTCCCTTTTTTACTTAAAACTAAATTAATATGCACACTGCAGAAACACTAGAAACTAGAGTACAATTAAGAATAAAAATCACCAATAATCACCTGTTAAAATGTAATTTAAGAATTCTGTACTGACTTATAAAACAGTTTATGCTTTTATTTTATAAAACTACTTTTTATCATTTCTCTTAGAGAAGAAAGTAAAATATTCTAGAAGCATTACAACAACAAAAAAAAGTCATCTTAGGAAAAACTATCAGAGATAAACAACTGCAACTTGATTTCTCTATCTTCTCCCTATTTGCATGTCTTTCTTTATAACTATTAAAATTAAATTTGTGATCACAAAATTGAATTTAAGAATTCCTATGTATGTGTAAATGGAAACAATTTCAAGAATGAAAAGACAAATTTTAAGCAAACCGTCCTGTCTTCCTAGGAATATATCACAACTGCAATGGAGAACACATTCCCTGTGAAGTTGAACCACATGGGTACACGTAACTGTTTTTCTCATACATGCTGGAAATTCAGACAACCATGAAAATATTAATTTTCTCAGGGAAAGGAGATATTTTTCATTTTTTATTCTTATCAAAAGATAATAATTCTAAAGAATGATGTAAAGTATAAATATAACACAAACATATATATATATAAAGGTCTTGGGATATAGCTCAGTGGTTTGAGGGCTTGCCTAGTATGTTCAGGGTCCTGGGTTCAATCCCCAGTACCATGTACATACATACATATATACATACCATGTATATTAATTATTATAATAATAGTTACAAAAACTGAAGTACTTTGTTTTCTGCTAAACTGTATTGAAATTCAAAAGCTGGTAAAGCTTCCATAACACAGTAGTTGTTAAGCACTGGTAATAAATAGCAGGAAGAATAAGACTGAAATAGTGGTTGAATCTCTCTGACTTCAGAATTCTCACCCCCAAAATCAAGGAGTTGATCTAAGATGACCTCTACAAAGCAACCAGTCTACTTTTCTAAATATTCTTTTGCCTGTTTCACTAGTAATACTCACCTTAATCTATCAAAACACAAGTCTTATTATCATGGCTAACAATAATACAAAATGATGTAGAAAGTAAAAATAAGCAAAACTACAGAATTAACCTGGAGAGGAAATCCAGTGCAACTGGCTTCCCTGGGAACACCTCTGGAGTGGATGGTCTCCATGACAGCCTGGTATTCAGTGCTTGCATTCTGCTAACTCCCCAGAACAGGTTTCTATCAGCCTAATGCAAAATCTTCTCCTTGGAGGCTTCTCAGCAATACTTACTACATCTCTCCCTATGAAACTACCATCTGCTATTTTCCTATGAGGTTCTCTATTCATTTTAGAAACAGGCGTTTCATTCTCAATCTTGTGTATATTAATTCTTGCCATTGGATGGGAGGATGTCACAACATCTATATGAATAACCCATCTCACACAGACTGTATTGTCCAATGAGCATTTACCTATGCTTCATACCTGAAACTACCAGGCTTCACTTATTTCCCCATCAGAACTACAACTCCTTGATATGGAAATTTAACTGTCTTCATCAGTATTTCTAATTTCCTGTCCTCCACGACTTTTCTGCAGTAGGTGTCCTGTAAATCCACAGCCTGGTAATAATAACCCAATCAACCATTCCCTAGTTTAGGCAGCAAAGGCTACTTGAGAAACAAATCCTTGATCCACTGAGGAAGGGGTGCTCCTCCTCCCACACCAAGGCTTATTCTGCCCATAGCTCTCATCTCCTCTGGATCCTTACACCACCAAGCTCCTCTCCCCTACCCTCACTTAATTGACTTGACTGTGTGTCTCTGTTTAAATAACAACAAACCCTTTCTGTCTTTCCCTTTATATACTTGAAATAATATTCATCCCTCACATAATTTTCATAAATAAAAGAAACCAACAAACAGAATGTCAAAGTCAACTTACTTCTCATCTCTGGCTCGTAACACAGTGAACTTGGTTTGTGGACCCTATATTGCTTTAGCAGTTTTTTGTCCCAGGCACCACAATTTAAAGGACTTGCCAAACGTAAAAACTCTCTAAATAAGAAACAGAGCAAAGTTATTCTTTGACTAAGACTATATATAATTCAGAAACCAAATATAAACAAGAAGTTAGATTTAACAAATTATAACAGACTAGTTAAATTACAAAAGAAATGCAAAATTATTGTGAAATGACATACACCATTAACTTCATATTTGATCACTATATACCTATAGATCTACTAGGTAGTTTTCAAAATTCAAAAGCTCAAGTCCAATTATGTCTGAAACCAAACTTATACCTAAACCTATAGTTTTTCAGATGTTCTGCATCTCACTGAAATGTACTTGGATTTTCATTCTTTCTCAGGATTTTAATATTCAAAAAATCAGGAAATTCTGTTGATTCTACTTCCCCCAAATATCGTAAATCTTCCATCTTTTCATTCTTGCTAATACCACCCGGATCAATTACAGTATTTTTGTGTTTTTGAAGGAGAATCTTAATTACCTCCTGTGTCCCAGTTCAATCCCTTCATCACAACAGTTAGTACCTTTCAGTGACACTCTATTGCTTAAGTCTCTCAGAGGCTGTTCAATATTAGCAGATGGAAACCCAAAATCCTCAAAATGACTAGTACACAGTACCACACATAAGATGATTTCTACCTCAGTCCTAACATTCACTGCTCTCATTTTTTCCCCCAATTATAAATAGTTCTCAAGTCATACAAAATTCTTATAACTCCCTATGAATACATTCCTTTGTTGCTCTGGTCTATCAAAATTGCCTTTCTTATTGCTGAGAATATTCTTTCCACCACTTCTTTCTTATATGACTAGTTTTCTTCCATAATTTGTTTCTTAATTGCCATTTCCCTCACAAAGTCTCTTCTTCTGAGACACCCCTGCAAAAAGTCTGGGTAAGTTACTTATATAAACTGTATAACACTGCTTTTATAGAACTGAATACACAACATGTTAATTGCCTACTTACCTGACTATATTCTTTACTAGAAAATACATTTTATGAGAGCATGAATTTTTCTTTTGCTATCTACCAATGTTTCCCCAGTTCCTAACATACAGTAAGGGTTTTAAAAAAAGGATAATTCATATCTTTAGGTTAGGAAATAACAGTAATGGATAAAGAATATTGAATATCTATAATCTTTACAAATATGCTGTTTCTGTTCTTATTTCAAGCATAGAAAAGATATAGATTATTATGAAGGACTATAGTATAAAGTATACAGAGCATGTCCTCTTGAAATGTGCTGCACAGAGATATAAAAAATTGTCCAGGAATTATACATAATAGTATTCTTCAGTATTCTGTCATTTATGGCATTGTATACAAAAAAAGAATTCTGTATTTTCAATTTTCTCTGTCACCAAAAAAAATAAAGGTTTAAAACTCTGTAGCCATTAAAATGTTACACATAAGTAGTTTATGATCTGTGGCTTTTAAGTAGCAAGAGATGAGCACTATGGGCAGAATAAGCATTGGTGAGGGAGGAGGAGCACACTTTTCTCAAAGAATTGAGGATTTGTTTCCCTTTTTCAACCCATGGCTCATCACTTGACTATTCCAAGCATTCACTGTAAGAACGGATCATGTCCAAATGGCTGAATTTTCATGGCTTATTGTTTATCTTGCTATCTTGTACAAATTATTTGTATGAGACAATCTCTCCAACTTCCTCTACTTTTCAAGTAGAGGATTATCAAAAAGGATATGGGGAAATATCAATGCTACCCTCAAAGCTATAAGACTGAATCTATCCACCAGCTGACAGATGAGGGGAGTGTGACTGTCTTTCATCTTGACTTCAGGATGATGAAAGTATTGATGATTAGTATCATCAAGGCCGAGCACACTGACACAACACTGCTTGACAAATGTTTACCATATATGTTTTTCTTAATCCACCATTTGTTTGTGGTCAGTTTAAGAATGCTAGTAGAAGTATTACATGGCAGGAATACTTGAATAGTATTTAAAAATAATCTAATGAAGAGAACAGCATATAGTCCAAAAATGATAAAATGAGCACATTTTTATAAGAAAGAACACAATGATTTATGTACTAAATCTATTTGGCTATGTAATTACAAGAAAAATATAGAAAAAATTTAAAACCTAGCAAGTTTCATGCCTCAAACATAACAGCACTGTTTGTCTTGCACTACAAGAGGTTTTCAAAAATATACTTTTGGATGATTAAAAAAAAACCCGTAGTACATCTACAAGACAAAATATTATGCAGTAATAAAAAGAAACTATTGATACATATAACTTGTATGCATCTCAAGAACATTATGGTGTGAAAACTGTCAATCTCAAAAGGTCATGTACCACATAACCTCAGATATATAATACTTTCAAAAGAAAAAATTATGGAGATGAAGAACAGAGCAGTGGTTTCTAAGACTTGGGGATGGTGGAAGATAAGGGAGTGGGTATGTCAATAAACGGGAAGCATTGGGAGATATTTGTGACATCTTGGATTGTGTGATGGTCACATAAATTTACACATGGATAATAAAAGAAAATGGATAGATAATAAAGAGAACCTCATACACACATAGATATATCATACCAACATCCATTTCTTGGCTCTAATGCTGTCTGATAGTTACATGTAAGAGTTAACTTGAGGAAACTACATGACAGCAGCAAGGAACCTCTCATCTTTACAAATTATTGTGAATATCTAATTATTTCAAAACAATAAAGTTAAAGAAGTCCTTTTTATAAGTTATTACATAGAAAAAGTTCTTAAATATATAGATTTAAGTCCTACATATAATTAACATGATTTTATTTTTAAAAGAAAATGAGTTTGCTGGATTTAAGTAGAAGAAATAACCAAGGGACAGAAACATTGTTTACTAATAAGCAGATTTGTTTCAAAGTGCTATATTTTAAGTATTTTGTCCACTTTTGTTGTTTTGCTTTTGCCCAGAGTAAGTGAATGTGCCCACCATAGTGAGAACTCTTGAATCATGAAGACTCCAGGAATGGTTATGACTGTGGCCAATTTAACATGAAAAAATGACTTACTGACCTCAGCACCATGGGCTCCAGGGCCTGGGAGGCCAAGCGTTCAAACATGCGCTGCAGGGGTGGGTGCAGAGAGTGGTCCTCGTCAGCCAGAGCAGCACTGCACCTCTGCAGTAGCCGTGCATGAAGACCAGCTTCACACATGACTTGCTGGTTTCTTTCTGTGTGCACCAGGGATTGTAAAATATTTGCCACAGCAAGTTGAAGGTCCAAAGCATGCTAAAGTCAACAAAGAAATCCATGTCACCATGGCATTCTTAGTGACATAGGTGACAGTTCTTCCTACTTGAAGCATACCTTTCAATATGAGGTATCTAGATGTTTCATAATACATTCAAATAAAATAAGTAACTATCTTATTAGAGTAATACAGCCACTTCCAGAACAGAGCCATGCAAAAATCCGATACTTTAAATTTGGAGAAGCACACACAGCTGACTCCACACTCTTCCAATTCCTTTGGATCACATGACTATATAGCCAATAGTAGTTCTATTTTTACAGAAATATTAAGTGCAAAGGGTTTTTCTTTACATCTAATAGCTAAATAGCTGAAATGAAGGCTTATCATTTACATTTGGGACATTTTAGGCTCTAGAGGCCATACAACATTTTAACAAAAATAGTTCCCTGAACTCCAACTCATTGGAACTTTTGAGTGCTATAAGCCAAAACAATTAAATAGCTCAAAGTAGTATCTTCAGTTATTTTTCTTTCTTTATCATTCATTAATAATTTCCACTGATAAGCAAGATTTACAAGGGGAAACAATTATTCTAACTTCAGAAGTAACCATTTTTGTTGCCTCTGTAACTAATGAATTGTGTTCTAATATATACACATACACCACACATCCTAGAAGGTAAGACTCAAATAGCAAAATGCTGTTTTTTCCTTTACCTACTTTAGTATTGATAGGTAACACTTCACAACACTTTCCTTCTTCCTGCCCTCCCCCTCAGCTCACATATACACACACATTCCTTTCACTCATTAAAGATGGGAAGGAACCAACATATCCAAACCTACTTCTGGCTGTGTCACTGACCCAACAGAGGCCAGGAGGTCCAGCATAGCAAGCATGGCTCCAGGATGGATGATGACGGCATCAGAGCTCTGGAGAGGGGATGCTGCCACATGCAGTTTCAGGTCAGCAACATTTTTTGCAGGGCAGACAGGGGGAGTTGAGACAGAATGATATGCATGCCTATAAAAAGAAAGAAAGAAGAATTATTTGGCTTTTAATTCCGACTACATTCTCAATTCATTTTCTTCATCTTTTACTCACTGATAAGCAAAAAGCCTTACAACTCAGGGATGGGTTATAAACACTTTATGCTTGGAATATAAAAAAGTAATACGTTATTAACTCTCAATGAGTCACATATAGACAATTTATCAATTCTTCTTGACTCTGATATGTCTTTACCATTTACTATTTGGGTTATTTCATTAAAAAATGGCATTACTCCAGGTGATATAAAGAATAGCTAAAAAAAAATCACAGAAATAGATTCAAAGCTCTAGAAAGATCAAAGTTCAAACAATATTTGATGAGTGATCAAGTTAATTTAATCTCTCTATGAGACTGTTTTCTTTTGCAATTGCCTGTGTTTTCAATCCTTCATTAAACCATGGACAACACAAGGTCAAATGGTTTATGGTTTATTCTATAACTAGGGTAACTTGAGTCAGTTGGCTCAGAGTCCTGGGAACCTGAGGGTAAACATATTAAGCATCATGGAAGTTTTCCTTCAGATTATTTAGAATACAATCACCTCTTAAATAAATTTCTACTACCACTGACAATACTCATTCCATTTTTTAAGAACTTAGAAGGTATATATATTCATGTACTGAATGTGCAGGTTTCTTCTTATCAATGGTGTCTCCTTTTGATTTAATACTATTAATCTACAACATGAATTTTGCACACTTTGCATCTTGGCACTAAGAAAAAGATGCTTGTGGCTATGGTCTATGGGAGCTTGTTGTTCTGATGAGTCGGACTCAGTATCTAATTTGTCTAATGCTGAGCTCTATCACTGGGAGCAGTGCAGTTTCAGCTCTCTGGCATGAAAGCAGCTTGGGAAACAGACGCTTTACATCAGTGAATTAGTAGCAAAGAATTGGCAACTGCCATGTTTTCAAAAAAAAAAAAAAGCACATTCTCTTTTTAAATAGAGATTCTAGGAAAATATTCGGCTTCACTTATAAAACAGCACATGGACTCTCCTAATTTATTTGAAACTCAGAGCCATATCCTCTACCCATTCATTTTTTTTCACTCCCTGTATGTTGCTGTTTTTCATTCAGAAAAATTTAATTTCTAAACTTACTAAGAAAGATATTTCTAAATCTTGTATCCTTCTATGTTGCTCCCTTTGTCCTTAAAACATTTTGATCTACCTAGAAAAAAAAAAGATTTATAATTCTTCTATCGTCTAGCAGAGATTCCCAACCATTGATTTCAGATATTTCATAAAAAGTATTTCATTATATACAAAAAGTAATCCAAATTTGAAAAAAAAGATTCTAATTGAATTTATACTTACTTCCAACTATTACTGAAGTAACAAATTTAATCCAGATTAGAACTTAAAGTATGACTAAACCAGAAAGACATCTTTATGTCTTTGGAAAATAAATTCGTTCCAAAAATATAACTATTATAGTGGTAAATTTTAAAAATCTTAAATAACAATATTTTCCTAAAGGAATTATGTGATTTTCAACCAGAAAAATACTGCAAACATTGTTAAAATCTAAAATGGTACTTATTAAATAAAATTAGGCATATTATGACAGGGATTAAACAATCTTAATTATTACTAAACCCCATAGGGTACAACCACTTTTTAAATTTATGAATAATGGTAGATTAATTAAGTAGTTAATTCACAAACAAGAGCTAACACTGGCTAAGACAGTTCTGTCTTTGTTCAATGACATTTCAAAAGTCAGTTAATTTTTAAGCTGAATTTATTTTTAAAAGTTATAAAAATTGCTAAATATTTCAACCTAAATTCTCATATATTTAAGATTAATTTATCTCTTTTAGAAATACACAGTTGAATGTTTAAATTCTGAATCTGCTTAACTTTATCAAGTGTGCAAGGACACTGAATAATGGACTCCAGATTTTCATGGTAAGTAGTTCTTGTTAATTTGCCTAGTAACTAGTACTTGTCATCTTTTCCTGCATGGCAGATCTATTTGGTATAGTTTTGATTATTTTGGATTTTGTTTTCACTTCCTCTAACTCTGACCACTGTTCAGCTATAATTTGGCTAGGTCTTTCTCCCCAGTCTTTAAAATAATTAGAGAAGAATCTTCAGGATTTTACATGTCAGACAAATACCACAAATTCAACTCTTTCTTAGTATCTCATTGTTTTACAGGTTATAAATACACAGTACAACAGTATTTTTTCCTTTTGCCAAAAACAAACAAACAAACAAAAAACCCCCCATGTTTGTCCAAAAGAAAAAGATGTCCACGAACTGATGTGATTTTTTTTTGAGAATTTCTAAAAAAAAGTGTGACTAAAATTCTAATTTCAAAAGGTAATGTATTTGAATTTGTTAAGTAAAAGCAATGTGTTATTTACTTATTTATGATTTTTATTTTTAAATAGAATGAATGGAACCTGACTGGAATGACAACCTGAAAATGTTAACATGAATGGTATTAGCATGAACAATATCAAGGGCTTCTCATCTTTGGGATAACATCAATATGTAACTCTGATGGAGAACTCAAATGGATTAGAAGATGCATGCAACTAGTTCTACTGATTCAGCAGCAGTTTTCCCTTAAGGACCTGATATTTCTACATGTAACTACTACAAGCAATGAGAAAATATTTCTGATTTTTTTAAAGCTATAAATAATTATACCAAGGAAGAAAATGCTGTTTTCCCTTTTTGAACTGCCATTTAAATAGCAGAGGTTCTAATGGATGTTTTTAAAAAAATGTATTTCTTTAATCTGTAAATTTCTCTTTTGTGGGTCTGAGTTAATATTTTATAAAGGACAATAGTTTTTAGCTCTTTACCATTTATGATATAATCACTATATTTTAAAATTATAATTTTTAGTAATTTAAACTACTTAGTAATTAAAATTATTTCTCTAGTGTTCAGTAGTTCTTTGGGATAGTAAGCATACATTAATTTTCAAACACAAAAATCTCTTACTTTATTAATTTTAGCAACAGAAAGTTATAAGTAAATTTGAATTTATTTAGCTTCCTGAATTAAAATCAGCTATTAACAAATATAAAAGAGACATGGCAAGAGCTAGGGTTGTGGTTCAGTGGTAAAACTCTTGCATAGCATACACAATGTGCTGGGTTTGATCCTCAGCACCACATAAAATAAATAAATAAAATAAAGGTATAAAAATATTAAAAAAAAAAAAGAGAGGGAGACAGACAGACAAGACATGGGCTGGGGATGTGCCTCAGTGATAGAGCACTTTATTGGCATGTGAGAGGCCCTGGGTTTCATCTCTAGCATGGCCATTAAAGAAAGAAAGAAGAAATAGTAGTTTGGGGGCACAAATATAATGTGTAATATTGAATTCATTTAAGACTATGTTGAACAATGCCATTGTTAACTATAATGAGATGTAAGCCCCAGTATAAATTTAAGAGGAAAGGAAACTATGTCTTTCTACCTACCTAATGAATACTACTATAGATATGTAGTCAATCCTCAGTATACCTAGGAGACTTATTCCTAGACACCCTGTGGATATAAAAATCCATGGATGCTCATCACTTATATACAGTGGTACAGTATTGGCATATAAACTCATCTTCTGATATACTTTAAATCCTCTCTAGATTTTTTTTATAATACCTACTATAATACAAACACATTACATGAATAGTTCTTATACTGTATTGTTTAGGAATAATAAGAAATAAAAAGTCTGAACATGTTCAGAACAATCACAATTTTTAAAAAATATTTTCAATCTGAGGTTGGTTGGACATATACATAGAAGGCTGGCTATATTCCATGCTGAAATATAGAATGTGTGATGAATACTTTTGAGGCTCTAACTACAACCACATTCCTGTTTAAAAATCTGAACAAAAGTATAAAACAATATACTCATGTTTCTCTCAAAAGTTATACCTAGAGGTATTTATAAGAGTTATTACTTGAGGAAAACAGAGAAAAGAAGACTACTTGATGCCAACTGTAAGAACTATGATCGCTCTGAGTACAGGTTGCAAATGAAATCTTAAATGAATGTTAATTGTATTTTTGTCAATCAATGCTTTTTTTTTTTAGATTTATAAGCTTTACATTCAAGGTAGATTGGATCAGCTTATAGACTTATCGGAAATGGATGAACATAAGAACTGGGGTAAGTTTTCTTCTTCACTTTTTTCAAAGTTTAGCTTTGACAACTCTCCATTAGAGAATCATATTTCAATTAGTTAAGCTTGATTAAGAAAATACACATTTACTTCCAGTGCTATGAGTTCATTTTTGAGTAACAGTAAAAACCAAAGAATGACCCCCAACAACAATGAAAGTGAAAAGAAAAGTGAACAGTATCTAAAGAGGCAGTACATCTTCATTTCTATTTTAATATATGATATGCCTGCTATAAAAACAAAATGTGTAGTTGTGAATGACATGAATGACAAAATTCTATATGTTCTTCATAGTTTCATAGCATGTATTTTATTCTCATTAATATACAAAAGGGAAATTAATAACCTTAAAACCTAAAAAAAAGTATAAAAAGAAATCAAATAGCCAGAACCCTTCTGAAGTTACAAACAAAACCACCACATTAACACATAAGTAAGCACAGATAAAGATTGACTTCTCTTATAAGATCAGTACCTTTTCCTTGACAAAGCTGGTGTCCCCCAAGGAGAGGGGAGAGAAGACTCACTTGTCAGGCAAGGAGGAATCTGTTCTGCACGACTACAGACAACAAAACAGACAGGGTGGTTTAGAGAGGTTAGAAGAGAGCACCAGGTTGGCAGTTGGTTAGTTTCACAAGAAAGTTTAATAAGGAGCATCCTCCATATTCAGCAGGAATGAGGAACAAGACTACACCTCATGCACTGAGTGACACAGAAGAGTATGCATGTGTAAGGCAGGTGCTTATCCCTATTAATGTGAACATTTAACACATTTGTTAAGTAGAGTTCTGTAGACCCTCTTTTTAATAATTCAAACTAAAAACGAGTTATAGCAACTAGAATAAGTAGAGAACAGAAGTTGAATCTGATTATCCAAATTTATAGTTTATTCCTACAATACCACACAATCTCCTGTTTTCCTGGAAGAAAAAAATAATATATATATATATATATATATATATATATATATATATATATATATACACACACACACACAGAGTCTATTTTGGGTACAATATAAAAACAATTCACTTATTAAAAAAAACTATGTAACTGGTAAAAGTGATGATGCTTAGAACAGATAACTTAGCAGCATGATCACTCTTACATTATTTTTAAAGTGAGAACTTAATTGAAAACACAGTAGAAGCACTGAAAATAGTGCTTTAGATAAAGTGGCTCTCCAATGTTCTTACTTAGAAACCTGGATTTTCCCCATCACAGAATTTGTCACAATACATTATAATTATTTATGTGACTATACTTTCAGCTAAAGGACAGCAAGGACCAAGGCAGTCTTGAACAGAACTGAATCCTGAATGACAGAATGCACAATGATTCAGCATGCAGGAGGTTTTCATTAAACACTTATTTACTGAGGGAAAGAGTAAATGACTCTGAAGGATCTTGAACTTGATGATTCAAGACACTAATTAATATTCTCAGAGAGCTATATCACTTTTCAAGAATTATGAAATGTTGAGAATGAGGTTATCTGCCATTTGTCTGGACATAAGTATAATCATAAGTATATTCTCCTGTTGATAATTAGTATCTGTAAATCTGCTGCACCTAATGTTTTTTAAGGATAAAGAGGAAAAAAAGAACAATAGTAAACATCATTAATAAAGGAAATTTCATAGAAATTCATTAATAAAGGAAATTGTTCTATTAAGTGCAATATGAGCTAGTTGAACCTGAATTTACAAATAACACACTTCCATGCTGAAAAACTTAGCATGATGTCAATGGTATTATTCCCAAGTGCTATGCTTCAAGCAAACAGGAAAGATGATTCATTTGTTTTCATTTTCCTTTGTAATGCATAATTCAAATCTTAATGTGGAGCATTAATGCTGAGTATAGACCCTGTACTTTGGAAGTCAGCCATACCTGTCAAAAGAATCTGTGGCTACTTTGTAGAGGTAAATAAAGAGTTTACTGCAGTGCCGTAAAGTGGGTGACACCGTGTCCACTGAGATCACATCTTCCTCTAGCAGTCTTTGAAATGGCTGTGTGTTTGAGGGGAAGACATTCATGGAGCTTATTTTTCTTAGGTCTGAGAAGCAGCCAAGAAATCGAACAGCATCTGCCAACTTTTCATACTGAATCTCTGTTTTGAAGAAATGAGAGTTGGCTGGCTCATAGCGCATTGCTGCAGTCAATGTGCAGAACACCGTGTGGAGAAGTTCAAATACTTGATTCTGGTTCACTTTCTCCCAGCCATTCTTGGGGGGAGAGCTCAAAGATCTTTCCATAGCAACAAGCAAGGATGTAATGTACACAAATCCTCCAACTTTCCTAAAAACTGTTCTTGAACGATGGCTTTCTCGAAGGACTGAAAGGAGGGCCTATAGGGAACAAAAGACAAAAAGAAACATAATTAAAATATTTTTAAAAGTCAAGTAAAAAAGCTACTATATATAAATATCAAAGGGGAACACCAATCTGTGAACATTTGATATAAAAGTTGTTGTAATTTACCCAAAAACTAGTTCTATAAACCACATCAAACATTGTGCTGATTAAAAAATGCCACTATTAGAGTCAGAAGATAACTTCAGGTAACACCATCCTATATTTCTTTTGATGGAATGAGGTTATAACAAAATGTTGACTAAAAAGCCTTTTCTATCTGTAATTGATAATTCTATCAATTAATTCAGTGATTTCACAAAATTATATTATTAAATAAGTAAAATAAATATTTTAATCTGATTTTACACCATCATGCATTATACATGACTGTGTATGCACATATAAATTGATTTATTCTAGGAGGAATTTGAGAGATGATCTGGGTGGGCAAGATTTGAGGTCTTTTAATTCATATGAAATGCTCATATTCTCATGTCTTTGAAAAAGGATTCACGTCAGAGGACTTATTAGACATTCTCTCTGCAAAATGAATTGAGAGAAATAAGAGTATGCCCTTTCCCAGAAGAGCTATAAGCAGTAAGAAAGAAAACCTAAAGCAAATAAGTAAATCAAACTCTAATAACTATCAGTTATTTATTGAATTGTCTGTGGTACTTTTAACTTTGCTTATTTTAAAAATACCACATTATGATATCACCTACTATTTTACTAGAAACTTACCATGGACTAGGCACTGAGTGCTTTCATGCATTATGTTATTTAATCTTCTCAACAATCCTACGAATTAGATACTGCAGCTTGAGTATCTCTTATCCATAATTCTTGGAACCAAGAGATTTTTAAGGTTTATTCAGAATATTTGCATGTAGGGATGTGACCTAAGCCTAAATGTGAAAGCCATTTATGTTTTGTATGCACCTTATACACACAGCCTGAAGGTAAACTGATGTTATATTTTAAAAATTTTTGCCATGAAACAGTTTTATAGCATGGAATTTTTCACTTGTGGCTCTTGTGGGCTCCACTCCTTTCCTTTCTAAGAAAACATCAGTACTTGGAAGACAACAAATATCTATTATTACTAAGACACAATTTATAGTGTTCCCAGTTATTACATTTGAAAAAAAAATCATTTTATTAAAATATCTAAAACATTTATGATGATATACTGGAAAGGCTACATAATAGTATGTCAATATATATAATCACCTTTTGAAGTATACTGCTTCAGAAATTTTAAAGATTTCAATATATGTACCTAAGTCTTAATGTATTATGTTGAAAGATAGAAAATATGAAATTTGTATATGTAAATAAAATGTAAAACCACAGTATATTTCTTCCACTATTTTGTAAAAAAGAAATTTCCACTTTAGTAATATTTGGTAATAATATAGTTTCCATATCCTGTCAAATTTAATAAACTGTATTTATACTTGTAAGTAACTCATATCAATAGAAGATTTTTAACAATAAAAAAAATCATACAACCTAGACTGGAGATTAAATGCAAAAGCTACACAGAAAGCCTAGCTTCAAATTCTGACTCCAACATTCAACTGTTTTACTATACTAGTTACTCAATCTTTCTGTGCCCAGTGTCCTTTTATGTAAAATGGTAAAAATAACAACAAATTAGCTTACTGTAAACACATGTAAAGCCCTTAACAAAATGCCTGGCACATAAGCCTACCGCTATCTTTGAAAACACTGGGACAAAAATTGACAAGTATAGTCATATATCACTTTAACAATGGAGACATGTTATGTGAAATTATTTCATTGTTGTGTGAACACTGGAGTGTACTTATATGATGCTAGATGGCCCAGACCATCCACACCTAGGCTATATGGTACAGTAAAATAACTAGATGACAAAAATTTTCACCTCCATTTTAATCTTATGAGACCAGTTATGTATATGTGGTCTGTCATTAGATCAAAAACATTTGTACACAGCACATGACAATATAATTTTATAAATGACGAAAAGTTCAGAGTTAAAGTAAAATGTACAAAACTCATATAGTTAGTTATAATTATGACAGAGATTAGATTATTAATCCTAAATTCAATACTCTGTATTACATCTTTCTGGGTAGATCCATCTCTTCCTCAAAACTGGTTATCTGTTGAGTATCTTACATTAGAGCATAATCTCAGTGTTTGAAAGTTCTCAATAAAACTTTAATAACTATAATTGCTTTAATTGCTTAAATCAATAAATGAAGATGAGTAGCAAGCATTAAAGTTACAATGAGATCTGTATGCTCAGTGGTTAGACAAAATTATCACTTACGTCTGCATTAATTAATGAATGCAATTCAAATTTGTGTGTCAGCAGAATTGTACTATAGAACACATTATGGGATTTCAGGTTTGTACACAAAATAATTTTAAATTAAATTACATAAGTCTACAATATATGCAAGTTGAATAGAGACACTGAGGCAGTCCTGAAAGTGGCAAAAACAGAAAATGAAATTGAGATCTTAAGTTCTCCCTACTGCTTTTCAGCCCTAAAATTTCATGCCCTCAAAGAAGAAGAATACTAGATGGCTCACATCAGCTTTTAAGTGTCAGCTGTCATAGTTTCGGGAATTCTGTGAGTTAGTTGTTAAAGACAGTCATAATTGAAAAATAAGTTATAAATTTGCAACTAAGTACATTATTTTAAAAACAAATGTAATTTTCTATATTTTACTATTATCAATGCATGTGAAAATACTGTAATGGGGGCTACTGTTCATCTCCTCCCAATCCACATTCATCAACTTTGAGGTCTATAACAGGCATCAGTGGGAGTACTATGCTATGGAAATCAGTAAACACCATACCTCAGGTACCCCTCCAGCCTAAGTTAGTTATTAATATTAACTAGAACAATGCCTCAAAATTATGGATTGGCTGATTACATCTTGTCTCTACCTGCCAATATTTTACAAATCCAATTAAGAAAGTATCAAAAGGGGGTGGGGGTGTATGTCAAAAACATTGGGAGGGCTGGGCGCAGTGGTGAATGCCTATAATGCCAGTGCTCCAGAGGCTGAGACAGGAGGACTGCAAGTTCAAAGCCAGCCTCAGCCACGACGAAGTGCTAAGCAACTCAATGAGACCCTGTCTCTAAATCAAATACAAAATAGGGCTGTGAGTGTGGCTCAGTGGTTGAGTGCCCTTGAGTTCAATCCCCTGTACCAAAAAAACCCCAAACATTGGCAATCTTAATATCTTTTGAAGCCCTTTGTTTTCTCCCCAAAATTCATTCAAATATATAAATGTTTCTCAAATACTAATATTGAGTTAGACTTCTGTTTTGCCTATGAGATAAATAATCTTATTGCCTTTTAAAAATTGCATACTTGAAATTATCATTATGCTCAAAACAGGATGAAATACACAAAAACATAAAGAAAAAAATGCAAACTTTTTTATTATGGATGAGAAATTTAGCTAAATAAAACACAAAGACATTTCTTGTTATGTCTGTGTGTAAAAAGGGGTATGTAGGAGACCAGATGCCCCCAAGTATTCCCTTTTGTTTAAGAATTATTTTGAGCTGAAGGCAATTAAGAAACAGATACAAAAGAAAAGCTCTATGCCCTCCCCATCTGTTTAAAAACAGGACATAAACTTACATAGGCTTCTGCATTCTCCTTGCTTTTCTACCAAGAAGGATCAAGTTTCATCATGAAGACAAAATCAGACTCCTGTCAACCTAGATAAGGTGCTAGAGGAATCTACACAACAAACTTTATTTGCTAGTTGTTACCTATGATTCATTTGCCTTCCTATAATTTTCCTTACCTATGGTCCATTTCTTTTATCTGTCTCTCTCTAAAATTCAGCTGTTCTTTGTTGAAGATGATATGTAACTTGGAGTTCCAGCCACCTCTTTGAGAACTACTCTTTCCCTGTGCATGTGACACGTACACATGAGTTTACAGACTATGTATGATCTTCTGCTTGTTTTTCTCTCACGAATCTGTCCTTATTTACAGGGGTCATTTCCAGCTAAGAACTGAGGAGGATAGTGGGAACATTATTTTTTCCTCCCTTACAGGTCAGAGTACCAGAGAAAGAAGTGTGAGGGTAGAGAGATAAGTCACCAGGGTCTTAAAGGTCAGGTTAAACATGCTGTCACCCCACCCCCATCTGTTATTTTTACATAATTTTAGACTTGAAGAAAAACTGTAAAAATAGTTCAAAGAATTGAGATATCTCTTCCACATTAACATTTAACTCTCTCTTTTTCTTTCTTCCAACCCCCCACTCTCCTTTGCCCCTAACAACTCCAATGTATTCTTTCCTAAAAGGGAATTCTCTTGCCTATAATGATAAAAATTAGAAAATGGAACACTGAAACAATACAATTATCTAATCCACAGACATATTGTGTTTTTTGCCAAATCCCAGTAACACTCTTTATGGCAAAAGAAAATTCAAGATCATTCACTTCACGGAGGAGTCACTTCACCCTCTTTACTAGGGAACAGTTTCTGAGACATTTTCTATTTCACTTTGGAAGAGTATAGAAAGTATAGAAATTGTAGAAAGCCTCCCAATTTGGACTTACCTGATGTTTTCTAATAATCAAATTTAGATCACTTTGGGCAGGAGAAAACAAAAAAAGTGATGCTAAAATCTTCTCAGAGCTTCCTATCGGGAGACACAAGCTATTCATTGGTACCATTAGTGGCAAAATCAACATTGATCATTTGGTTAAGGAAGAGTCCATTGAAACTTTTGAAGGTAGAATTTGAGACCGTGTTAAAAAAAAAAAAAACAAAAAAACCCTTTCATCCTCTGTTTTTAGCAGCCAGTGATGATTTTTTCCTGAATCAATTATTACAACAGTTCACAGATGGAGATTATCTACCTTTTGACTGTAAATAAGAGCTATTCCTTATCTCCATTTATATGTTTGCTTCTGTTTATGTATTCATTTATTTGCTTTCTTATTTACTTTGATCTCTTCCTTATTTTCTGGCTAAATGTAAAATGTTTTAAGCTCCTTTTGTTTCTTTTTCTTCCCCAGCCTAATAATCAATTATTTCTCTAAGGAGCCCAGGCTCCTTATAATGGAAAATGGTATTTAGAAATCATGTATCAATAAACAAATGAAAGAATGGATTTTAATGAATTTCTCTCAGTTTACTCAGATGTTATTTAAATACAAGGGTAGGTTTCTAGCCAAGCAAGACTGTTTCTTTTGGTTAAATTATTATTACTCATATTGCAGAAGTTAAAAACACAACTCTGTAAAGAAACTACATGAGTCCAAATCTTGGCTACTCTGTCTACCACACACATACAGTGGTGCAAGTTGTTTAAGCAGTCTGTGTGTTAGTTTATAATCTATAATAAAACAGGAATATTAATAGTACCTATCTTTATTAAAAGGATTAAATAAATAGATGCATGTAAATGCACACAATAGTATTTGACACATTGAAAGCAGTTAATGAAAGTTAGCTGTTATTACAATTACACTGATTTCTAGTAAGTGGAGAAATTGTTTTATGTTTATCTATTACACCTTACTTTCATTACTAAATTCACTTGTAAATAAATCAAAGTGAAACATTAATTTCAGTTTTGAGTCTAAAATCTTCTTATATTGAGATGCCAGTAATTATAGTAATGTGAGAAAACATGTGTATGTAAATCTTTGTAAAGCATAATGGTGTTGTGGAATAAATGTGGGTAGTACTGAAATCTCTACCACTTGAAAGTTAGTCATATAAACATATCCAAGTTGCAGAAACCATCTAACCTAAGTTTTCTGATCTGCTAAATAGGACTCTATTTATAGAACTGCTAAAGAATAAAGTGATAAAAGCCTATGTAAAACTTCGAATATACAGTTTGATATTTACTAGAATATCGATTTTATATATATATACACATACATACATACACATACATACATATATATATTCACACACACATTTGTGACATACAATGTCATGTGAAACATTTTATTTCACAGATGTGTAATACTGAATGATTTTAACTGAATAGATAATATACATATTTTAAATTTATTATAGTGCTATACTTGACTGATATACTTTTTTATTTTATTTAAGATAAAATATCTTAAATAATAATTTAAGATAATTTCTATAAACTAAGATAACCTGCAAAGTAGCAGTAAATCAATACATACTGGGAGATACAAATGACCAGTTTTCCAAATCTTTAATTTGTACAAAGTTGTGTGGATTTTTTTTTTTTTTGATACTTTGAATTTTGAAATTTTCCTGTCTCTAATATTCACTTCAAAATAATGACAGATTTTAGAGAATAGACACAAACTTACCCTTAAAATGTCAGTCTTTAACTGCAGTTCTGTGGGTGGAGCTGAATGCATTAACCCCAGGAGAGTACCCATGTCATCGTCCCCATTTGGAGAGAGCACCAACTGCTGGATAGTCATCAAGGCATGCTGCCGGCATTGAGGGTACTTGACTATATTGTGTGCACATCTTGCACCTCCAAATTCCCGAAAAATTCCTTGAAGGGAGAAAAAGTATAACACTGAAAAACTTAAAACATTTGAGATAAATCTGAATTAAAATTCAATTTCTTTCATTGGTAAAGTAATTCAAAAGAATCCAACTAAAACCTACCCAGGTATTTTGCCTTTTAAATGAAAATGTGAAAATTACACTGCAGGATGTCAGCAAATGTATATGCATGTTTTCTCTAGACTCCTAATACAAGATTAACTCCCTGATATGTTCACCATGTCCAAATTCTCCAAATCTACAACATTCAGAATTTCATAGGTAGATACCAGGAAACCCAACACTGAAGTCAATTTATATAGAAGGTTTTCATGAATATACTCCATATAAGTGAGATTTAAACTAGAAAGGGTTTTCAAAATAATAGCAAGAATGGAATAAATTACCATAGGAAAAATTATAAAGAACCAAATTTTTGTCAGGCAAAGCATAAGAACAAAAAAAGACAAATTCTATGATAGAAAACATCAGTCATTGTTTTGTTCCAAAGCCTTTAGATAAACTTATTCATTTATTTTATTTAATCCTTATCTCCTTCCATACAGAAGTCCAAAGTGATATAGTTAGTAATTAATCAGGCTGTATTTGTTCACCACGTACAAATTCTCCAAATCCAGAACATTCAGAACTTCATAGGTGGATACCCGGAAACCCAACATTGAAATCAATTTATAAAGAAGGTTTTCATGAATATACTTATGCCTACAGTGCCTACCTCTATAACCTGTACTTCTGTTCACAAATGATATTGTTCTCATGTCGAATATCATCTTCAAATACAAAAAAAAGGACCAAGTGACATAAATCACTAATCAGCATTTCTTCCAAGTAATTCTACTCTTTATGCTTCCCCCCTTTAGCTTTTTTTAAATTTTTGATTGATACTTTCTACATTTACATAAAGATGGAATTCCCTTTTTTGATTGATACTTTCTACATTTACATAAAGATGGAATTCCCTGTCGTATATTTATGTATGCATATACCATGATTTTGTTAAGTTCATTCTATTTCCTCCCCTTTCCTGTCCCTTCTCCTTCCTTTTAGATCTCCTTCTTCTACTTCACTCCTCTTTCCTACATCTTTCTAATGTCCAATTCCAATTCCCCTTTGCCCTTATTTTGCTATATTTTATACATATGAGAAAAATCATTTGACCCTTAATTTTCTGAGTCTGGCTTATTTCACTTAGCACGATATTCTCCATTTCCAACCATTTACTGCCAAATGACTTAAGTTCATTTTTCTTTATGGCTCAGTGAAATTTCATTCTGTATATATATGATGCTTTCTTAATTCATTCATCTATTGACTGTTACCTTACAATATAATACAATAATAATCCTCAGCATGTCCTGAAAAGGTATCTGTGATCCAAGCCCAGTCCAACACATCTACCCCTACTTATTCCTCTCAAGCTGTATTGACCTTATTGCCTGCAGATTTTTTGAGGTTCACTGAAATTTCAAGTAATCTTGTTTTTAAAAGCAAGAATGATATTTTATAAATACAGTTGAGAGCTATGTAATGTTTGGAACAACTAATAATAAAAAAATAAATAAAATAAAATTTCAAATAAAATAAATAAATACAGTTGGGCTATCTATTAATTATGGAGAAAAGAAAGAAACATTGAGATGAAAGATAAGGCACAATATTTAATGAAATCTTTTATCTGAGAAAGATTAAGTTTTATTAAAGAATCATGTTGACATTTCCAAATGACACTCTTAAGTTTTTTATGGTTTGTATATGAGTTGTTCCCACCAAAGCTCATGTAAGAAACAATGTAAGAAAGTTCAGAGGTGAAGTAATTGGGTAAGGAGAGTCCTAACCTAATCATTGTATTAGTCCACTGATACAGATTAACTGAATGGTAACTGTAGGCAGGTAGGGTATGGCTGGAGAAGGTAGGTCACTGGGCATGTGTCTTTAGGGATTGTATTGTGTCTCTCATGAGTGGAGCTCCCTCTCTCTGCTTCCTGATTGTTGTGTCCTGAGCTGCTCTCCTCTGCTATGCCCTTCTGCCATAATGTTTTGCCTGTCTCAGATGCACAGCTATGGAGTCAGCTAATGATGGACTGAGACCTCTGAAACCCAAATAAACTTTTCTTCCTCTACATTGTTCTCATCTTTTGGTCACAGAGATGAAAAAGCTGACTAAAATACTGGTATTACTATAAGCTTAAGAAAACCATCAAATGAAGCAAATATTTTGGAAAAAAATTAAATAAACAAAATATTTGTACAAGAGTGCATATGTAAGTGAAAATTTTAAAAGGATAAACACAATGTACAACATAAAAGGCAATTTAATACACTTTGAAATAGTAACAATGTTATATATTTGATCTTTAATGTGTTTTTAACAGTTAAAAGTATTTCATTGTTAGGGATACGATTGTACCATCTTTGAATTAACGGTTTTTCCTCTAAGTAATAATAGCATTTCAGTAGCAAAGAGCACTAGAGAAGAAGTAACGAAAGGTAAGTTTGCTTGTGGCTCTTCTAATTACCTGCATTTGTATTTGAACCTTGAAGAAGCACTGTCAAAGTCTCCATAACCAACAGAGCCAGGTGTTTTTGGTCTTCAACAGAACTATTATTTCTTGAGTCCCCTACAAAAAAAGTTTAAAGATCTAAATCACAAAACTGACAGGATTATTTTTTGAGTCAGCTTTATATTAAAAATTCCTTTTAATATTTTTTAACATTCACTTTCCAGCAAAGCAATCAATATAATACAACTTTTAAAATTATACCTGTCTAACAATTACCAAAAGCAGGCTAGAAAGTTACAGCTATCTAACAAATCTTAAAAATAAAAATACTAACTTTAAATATACTTTCTTACGGGGTTCTTATCAAGGAGGTCAAAAGGAGAATACTGGATTTTAATGTATCAAAAAGAAAAATTTAAGGATAGTGTGACCAATTCAACTTGTGTTAATTCACATTTAACACTGTGAAATACTACTGTAGTTTTATCATGTGTACACAAGTATGGCATACAAATTTATATACATACATGTTACATATATGTATTATAACATCACAAAATAGGCACATTTGCTCTATAGTCAATAAAAATATTTTGAAATTTATATATTTAATTATGCTTAATTCTAATTAAAAATTTCAATGATATCTAGAAGTCTTTCAAAACTCTCTTAGACACAGAAAGTAATACATACTAGTTATGTGGATCATAGATGCTTCTCCTCAGTTTTCATTTAGTTTAAGATGTCCTGCACTACAGTGACATAATTCTGGGATCCCCTTCCCCAATTTCCTAACCAAAATTGAACTGAACAGTTAAGTTAACTTTGGGAAGCACTCACTAAATGTCATAAGAATACTCACCAGGAAGTCATTCAAATCTATAATAAAATGAAAGACACAACAAGGAAAAACAAAACAATTTTCCTAAATTCCTTTGTCAAATAAGAACAAAGTTATGGAAAAGGCTTTACCTTGTTCATCTAGTGCCTGGGTTGGATCCTTCAAGAGAGCAGCATATTTATGTAAAAGGTTTACCATGACCTCCAGAAGGCCCACCTCCCTGAACACATCTTTAAATATGTAGTCATGTCTTGTAAACTTAAGAAGAGTTTTCATTGCAATAATGCTACAATGGTAAGAAGAATTAGATTTTAAGAGGATACTAACACTAATAAGTTCTTTACATGGAATATAATTTAAGCTAAAAACGACAAACTCCAGCATCTCAAAGTATTTGTTTTGCACTTCTGGGAGTTTAGAAATCTTCTCTGCGAACTGTGACAGTGTGTGCTGTGACTCTAAGATGAAATAATTGGCACTGTCAGCCATGTAAATATTAGTGATGGCATCAAGGATGATTTGGGCAAGGAAGTTGGTTTTTGCTTTTAAAAATGCATTCTGAAGAACTGCAAAGGCCTGGACGTTTCTCACACTGTGACCTAAAATAGAAAATAAGAACAAAAAAGTAGGTGCTATGTGATATTTTAGCCATGGCAAACTAATCTGTTTAAAACACTTCATAAGTTTTAACATCAATGTACTATTTACTAAGAACATATCCTATTTTCACAAAAAGTCTTATTTTTTCCATTGGTTTAAATAATTTAATTAAAAATAAATAACACCAAATAAACCTTTAAAACATTATTATGAATATTTCAATTCAAGACTAGCAGATGTTGAAAACTAGATTGCTTAATTAAAAAAAAAAAAAAAAGAATCAGTCTTCCACCTTGGAAATTTGTGATGGTATCACATTTTATTATCTATAAGGCTGAAACTGATGTAAGAACAGTTATCTCTCAACTTGAAAAGTCTTTGGGACCAAGAATAGGCCCAAGATAAGCAAGATGAAAGCAGGAAATTAGGAGGGGAAAATTTTTTTAAGTTTCAATTTTCCCTTCACAATTACAATAATTTTAATTTGAAATTTTTAACTAAAATTGTAATTTCTTTATATAACTGTTTGCTAAAGCAGTTTATGGCCAGTTACCAGTTACATTTTTAAACTTTGATTTTCAAACACATCAGCTGGAAAAAACAAAAACCTTGTTTCTTGTGAGGCAAATTGGTAACAATATTTATAAAGAAATTAACATAGACATTTATATTTGAGGCAGACCAAAACAAGTTGCCTTTAAAAGTTGCCCTCGGGTCCATAACTATTAATCATTTGCAAGAGTGACAAAAAACCAAAAAACAAAAAACATGTAAATCCTTACAGAGAAAGCTGGTTTTTAGAAACAGGGTAAATACAGAATTTAGGAAAAATATGAAAGTGGTTAGAAAGTTTGCTCAAATTTCCTGGCATGGACATTTATAAAAAAATATGTATAAAGAATTCTAAAAAGCTTCAGTCTATAGTCTATCAATTCTCATTTATGACATGAATTTATTCTATGTATGGCAAATACCAAAGATTTATCTTTAATTCCTATCTTTAAGCTTAGACACACTGATGAGCATATAAATGTGAAAGTATGACTAAATGTGACAAAGAAGTGACAAATTAAGTTAAAGATGAACTCTAATCAATATTGTACACACTTCAGTTATGGGATAATATGAATACTCACTCTAAAGAAAAGTTAGAGAGCTAAATTGAGGGTAATTTTGGAAAATTTAGAGTTTTCCAAGTTTGGTCATTATCACTCACAAAAAATAAGGTATATTCATAACCAACTACAAGCATAAATGGTCCATTACCAAGAGAAACAAGTTGTTTAAACAACAATGTATATGCATAAACACAAGTCAAAGGTAAAATGTACTAATCTTCACATACAAAGATAACCTTAGAAACACAGTGATCAATCAGCAGGGCCTTTGGCTCCCTAATAATGAATGTGCTCTGATCCATTTTTAATTCTACTTGTTACCCAATTCATACAGGGGCCATTACTAGCTAAAATATATTGATCCTAGTAAATAACCGAGGAACACTGAGACTGATTTCCATGGCTGTTTTTTTTAAGCAGGACATTTTATTAAATAATCACCTAATCTTATATTTTAAAAATCTATTCATAATGGAAATTAACAGAATTTGTTAATCTGGCTTTCTATCAGGAAAAAATATCTAAAGGAATGTCTGAAAACTAATATTAAAATAAGTGATTTGCAAATTTGAAACATTTTGTATTTTGAATGTTAATAATGAGAAGTTATTTAAGACTGTCATACTCATTAAATTCCTCAAATATTCAGTTAGGAAAGGAGGATAACAATTAAATTTTAAAAATAAATAAAAGATTACCCCATATATGAGACAAATGTATTTCTTAAAAATTGTCATATAAGAGCTCTAGTGTTTTAGCTAAAGAGCTGTATCTTGCTTACATTTCAAAACTTGCACTGATTCAATCTGGCACAAAAATAGCTAAAATAAAGTGAGGAAGTCATTCTAAAGGATGACTATCACCACTCATTGCTCTCAAGTCTACACAAACAGAAACAAAAGAAATGAATTAATCCAAAGTTTAGAAGTATACCTGCATAGACCACAAAGAATAGAGCCTCCCCATTTTCAGAGTCTGATAAAAAAAATTATAACAGCGAATAACAGTGAATGTTAAAAAAAAAAAAAGAGCCTACATAATATAGGCACAAGTAAAATGAAATAAAAATACAGGTCTAAATAAAAAATTCAGGATACTTCATATTATTTGTTAGACTCTGCATCACCAGAGTCAGATTCTATTCAACACTCAGAAGATGGACCTGAAGACAGATGAATAGAAAGGAGAACAGGAAAAGCCACCCATGGAGTTCCAGGAGGAGTGCTTTATAGGGCCTAATCTAAAGAAGTGGCAAGTAAGGCTGGTAAAGAAGGGAGGAAATCAATACACACTCAAGAAACATAGACAGAAAACAACGACTAAACCACACATGGGAGTAACAACTGGAGCAGTGGTAAACCAGTTGTAAGGTTATATTCCTAGGTGCTAGGGAACATGAGCCTGGGATGTGCTTACATCCAGCACAGATAAAGCACACCATGTGATCTTCACAAAAGCCCATGATGAAGGCTGCACAGCATTTCACTTACTAGACCTAACAAAAATGCACACAAGGGAAAATATGTTATCCTCTGAATATCCTTAGTGCTGCCTGAATTAATGTTATGAGAAAACTTACTTTGTAAGGTAAAGGCACAGACGAGTTCAGAAATAGGTAAGTTTTTTTTTGTTTATTTTAACAAAGAGATACATTCTCTATGAAAAATATACTAAAACACTTTGTTTCAGGAATAAATTTGGAAGCTATGGAGAGCTAGGAGTTACAGGGCTCAAGCAAAAATTTATAGAATAGGTAAGAGAAAAAAAAACATGATGTTGGTACATAACCAAATGAATAATTTCATACTGAAAAGTAAAGAGTACTATTCTTTAATTATTTCTTTGGGAAATCTCTCTGCTGACAAAGATAGAATATTTTTTAAAACCTCTTGCTATACAAAATAATAATTTTTAAGTTATAATCATACATATATATATATGTACATATATATATACACACAAGTGAATAATTTCATAAATAATGTTACTTTTTCTTTTCAATTTTACATTTCAATACTATTTTATTTGATCTAAAATCAGCAATAATAATAAGGAAGATAAACATATCTATGAATAAATAGCAACAAAAGGTACATATTTCATGTTTCCTTCCTTAATGTGATTGTATCAATTAACTGGTAAAAATTCATTGATAATAAGAATTTTCTTTTTATAGCTGATTAAAGGGAAACCAGTGAAATCAAGGAATATGTTCCCAAAGCTCTGTGAACAAATAATTGATAAGAAGGAAACAAGATAAAAATAAATACTTTAAATATACAAAGTCCAACTTATCAACATTCCAAAGCAAAAGAGTTATTATTTATTAAGGACTATCACTGCCTCATTCTATCATTGTAATTTGTGACATCATAACAGCTGGCTTTCCTCATCTTCTTTCCTAAACAACAGTCTACAATCCTTAATCCAAACAAGATTTATAAGAATTCAGATCAGGAAAACACACACACACACACACACACACACATACCACACCACATACCATACTAAAACTAGTTACCAGGTTTAACAAAGTAAACTTTAAAAAGGTTAATATTTAAAATATTATTTGCATTTCTATAACTTAGCAATAAGTAATCCAAAATGAAATAAAGAAAGCAATTTCTTTCATGAAAGTACCTTTAAAGATAATTTTAACAAAGGAATTAAAATCCTTATACAATGAAAACCACAAAACATTGCTGACAGAAAATAAGACCAAAATAAACAAAGAGCCAGATCATATTCATGGGTTAGAGGAGTCAATACAACTAGGATGTCAAGTCTCCCTATCTGGATCTAAATTTAATATCCTCCCAGCTAACATCTCAGCAGGATTTTTTTTCAATAATTGAAGTTCAAAGGACTGACAATAACCAAAATGATTTTGAAAGGAAGAACAAAAGGAGATAACTAAAATGAGCTGATTTTGAGGCAACAGTAATCAACTCAATGTATTACTGGTTTAAACAGACATACACCAATTAAACAGAACTCAGGAGAATCCCAGATATATGGTCATACAAGGTCTTTTGGACAAAGGGTCCCAGTACATTCAGATAGCCACATGAAAAATAAACAAACAAACAAATAAACCCTTACTTGCTTTCAATTCTGTGCAACAACTAATTTGAAGAAAAAATGTTTTGAAACTAAAATTTCATCTCACCAAAATGAAAAAATATGTTCTCTATAAGGTTATGTTGAAACAAGAAAAGGCAAGACTAAAAGAAGATACCAACAGAACATACATTAAAAGAATACAGGACTGATAAAGAACTTATCCAGAATATCTAAAAATCTCTTAGTATTCCAATAAAACAAGTTACACTATCAAACAATGTGCACAAAGATACAAAACAGAAATACAGATGCCATCTACGCATATGAAAAAATATTCAACTTTCTTGTCATTTACAAATGAAAATTACAACTATTAGATACTATAAAACATTAAAATGCCTTAAAAAAAAAAAGAAAAAAAAACCTAACAGTACTAACTGTTGTCAAGCAACAGTTGACAGCAACTGAAATTTACATACATTGCTGATGGGAATACAAAATGAGACTGCCACTTTGGAAAACATTTTGTCAGTGTCTCAGAAAGGTAAACACACATATACTATATATGATCCAGCAATCCTAGTGTTTGTTATTTGCCAAAACAAATGAACACAAACATCTATACAAAGTCTTATATAAATGTTCTCAGTAGCTTTACTCATGGCATCCAAATAAATGACCATCAACTGGCAAATGGATATCCAATAAAAAACTACTTAGCATTAAAAAGAATCATACTTGTAAATGCACACACGGATGAATCTCAAAAGCATTACTCTAAGTGAAAGAGTCCAGATACAAAAAATTACCTATTATATATGATTCCCATTTATAAAACTCTAGAATGGGCAAAAACAAAGCAGATGGGTGACTGGGCAAGCAGCTGAGTGGAGAGGAATGACTGCAAGGGGAATACAAAAACATTTTAGAAGGATGGAAATATTACATATCATGATTATGGTAGTGATTATACAATCATTATAAATTTGTCAGAACTAATCAAATTCAACATTTAAATGGAAAGATTTTAATGTACCCAAATAATACTTCAATACTGCTGTCAAAAAAACAAAGATGACATACTATATGGAAGATTCCATCTATATGGAATACTCCTTTGGTTCTTACATCCTTTGGTTCTTACATCAACCCTACAAAATGGCCACTGGAAATAAGTAATTTTGAGATATACAGGAAACTCAAAATGATGTTATGTAACCTATCCATTTTACAGAATATTAGCTCAATTTTTTCTGAAGAATAAATTGAAGTTTGGAAGGTCACTATGACGACATGAATCCTGACTTTTAGGGCAACATCTTTCTAGTAACATAAACATATGTCACTGTATTCTCACAAAACCCCCAGGAGATGCTAGGACATATAGTTATGATCCCTATTATAAATGAGACAAAATCAAACAATGACATTATACAAAAGATTAATTTTGTGACATTAATTCTGTTATTACAAAATTATACTATATTATACGTTGTTATTATCAAGATCAGAGTAATCAACTAAATAAAACAATAATGAAGTATGAAAAAAGAAGTACATCACTGAAATATTTTTATATTAACTCATAGAAAAAGTTAACTGGAATATTGAAATTAAAGTCTATAACTTATTTTGAGGAGGCTACTATTTTTTTATTATATTAAAAAATGAAATCTTGACTCACTCAAACATGAGAAACAACGCTTATTTCAGAGACTCATTTAAAATGTTCTATACAACCCATGCACTGAGGGCACAGCATATCACACTTTGATGGCTTCATATATTCTCATGACTATTAAGTTTATAACTGTTGACTTCTATGTCATAAAATAAATAGACTGTACTGTGAAACTTAAATCACCAACCAGATATGTTATTTTTGGTTAGTTAAGTTTTATGTGGAAATATCATGATCCTCTTCAATATTTAATAAGTAATAAATCACGTCAAAAAAATATTAAGAGGTCTCCAGGCTCAAATTCTTTTGGAATGGTTAGTGGGCATTAAAAGAATTAACAATAAAACTAGATTGTATTCTTTTGTAATAAAATGTTATTAACTATGTAATAAATTTTTCTTAGTAAGAGATCATTAGATGATGTTCCAAATGTTATAAAATCTAGACTACAAAATTTAATCTCTGACATCAATGAAATAATGTGACTTCTTTTACTTAGTTTTATTTAGCTTTAAATGAAATATAAGCATTTATACCTCATACTTTTCCTGTATTAAAAATTACAGAGTGTGAATGTAAGTTCCACCCAAGCATGGTAAAAAAGCATGGAGTTAAAAAGAAGTGTGTTAGTATATAAAACTGCTAATGAAATACCATAATATAAAACTTTTCATTTAGTTTTTTTTAATAATATTATTTTCACGTACTTAATTTGCCAAACACTCTCGGGAAATTTTTATCTAGACTTAACTAAATATAGCACAAACTTGAATGGAAAGCAACAAATTATCTTTATGCGAATAATAGAAGGAGTAAAGTAAGACAAATTCATTCCTTTTCTACTTCTCTGAGTTGCAAAAATGGGGGGAGAAAATTAAACTCACCTTTGCCAGCAGGCTGAGGTACTGCAAATCCAGGCAACAAAAAGGGTGCCCCTGTGGTAACACCAGCTGGTTTGAGTTCACTGACACCATATGTTGTTAGGGAAGTTATCAGATTAACCAGATCTTTCAAGGCGTCTTTGGATTCTGCCTCTTTTGCTTGTTCCAATCTAGAAAAAGGATGATTTGGGCAAATTTTTTTCTGTTTTATTGTATCCTCAAAGTTAATACAGAAAGCATTTTTAGATTTAGTAAACAAATGTAGAAAGTACTCTGAGAAGTTTCCTTTTACAATTTTTCCTATATGAAAACACATATTTTTAAAATTTACCAATTTTATTAAAACACATTATGGTATATTGGAAAAAAATCAGATTAATAATCAGAAAGCTTGACTCCGAGTAAGTGCTAATTTTCCCACTAACAGTGCTACTTTAGATAAAACACTAATTTTTGGTAGAAAGTCTACAATAAAAGAACTAGATTACATAATCCTTCTAGGTACTGCAAAGCTCTGGAGTTATAAAGTTGAACTGTTTATAATTAAAATATTTAAAGTATTCCTTCCTAAGACATTTTCTATGAAGAGTTCTAAGAATTTTATCTGAATTTCACTAATTTTTTTAATATTTATTTTTTAGTTGTAGTTGTCACAATACCTTTATTTTACTTATTTATTTTATGTGGTGCTCGAATGTGAGAGGCGAGCACTCTACTGCTGAGCCACAACCCCAGCCCTGAATTTCACTAATCTATTCCAGTATTATCATTAAATAAAGTTCTAGGAATCTAATAATTTTTTAAATGGTCATAATTTCTTTAGAAAGAACTTTAGAGTCATGAGGGAATTATCTTTGATAATGGCTTTTCTGAGAACACAAATGTTTAAAAGAATCTTATTTTTTAAAAGAATCAGATTTATTGGGCTTTTCCTCTTAACAGAAGTAACTTGTTCTCATGAAAATAAACTTGGAGCATGGTGGCAAAGGACGGTAATCCCGGAGGCTCAGGAGTCTAAAGCATGAAGCATGAGGACTGAGAGTTCAAAGCCAGCCTCAGCAATTCAGTGTGGCCTTAAGCAACTTAGGGAAGCCCTGTCTCTAAATAAAATATAAAAAAGGCTGGGGATGTGGCTCAGTGGATAAGTGCCCCTGGGTTCAATCCCTGGCACCAATAAACAAACAAACTTGGAGAATACACAAAAGTATGAAAAAAGAAAATGTATTCTTAGTTCACAACTCAGATAATCACTTTTAACATGATGAGAGATATATATATATTTTTTTCTTTTTTTTTTTTTTTTGGCACCAGGGATTGAACTCAAGGACACTCAACCACTGAGCCACATCCCCAGACCTATTTTATTTAGAGACAGGGTCTCACTGAGTTGCTTAGTGTCTCGCTTTTGCTGAGGCTGGCTTTGAAGTTGCAGTTCTCCTGGGTCAGCCTCCTGAGCCACTGGGATTACAGGCATGCTCTACTGCGCCCACACTGATGTATATTTTTAAACTTGTTTTTTTTTTTAATCTGAAAAGTTTAACTTTTCTAATCTCATACTATATATATATAAAGCTCTTCATAGAGTTTAGTATTCTAATATTATGCAAGCCAATCGCAGATTTGGCAGGGAGAAGATGAGACAGTTAGAATATAAAAGGACAAATACACAGAATATTTTGTCACATTTACCATTATATCATTAGGATCTATAACCAGGGATAAAAAAGTATTTTGTCAGATTTTCAACCTTCTTTTTTTTTTTCTTTTTTTGAGAAGGGTCTCCCTGTGTTGCCCAAACTCTCTTATATTACTCAAACCTCAGCCTCCCAAGTAGCTAGGATTAACAGGTATGCTCCATGACACTCAGCATGTATCAACATTTTTGAGGTTCTTAACAGTATTCTGTCAATCTGCATTCTTAAAGGATTGTACCAATTAATACTCCACTAGTAATGTAAACTGATTACTTCATCAACATTCATATAACCTCTTTTATAAATGAGGATATAAATACAAAAGTATATTCTTGGGAGGTGCCTAACATTAACTAAATATAAGTAGGTTTAACTGGTATTAGGAATAATATGTTCACAAAACAATGCTTTCTTACATTGGATCAAATGATTTAAAAATAACTAGTGGTCCATGAACAGCTGGAAAGGAACAAGAGTATTCTTCCTAATAAAATTTCTAATAGCAGCTTTCTCAGTATACACGTGCACCATTTAGAATGGCAAAGGGTAGTTAAGTCAAACATTTTGAAATGACTATTTATACAGTCATTTGTTTTATACATATGTTTGTAAGATCTCATTTAATCTACATAATTGTTCTTACTATTAACTACATTAATAACAATACTAAAAGTACTATAAAATAAGAGCAACCAAAAAGTATAATTAAGCAAGGAGTATTTCTTTTTTTTTAAAACTGGTGAAAAATATCTTTAATAACAGCTCTATAAATGAATACAGCTCATTTTACTATATCATTAACATCATTGTTTAATGGACTAGTAAGCACTTTTCCTTACTAATCTTAATCCAAGCCTCTTCAGATCTTATAAATTTTTCACCTTTTACTAAAGCAAAGAGTATTTCTAATTTTTCCTCTGTTATTAAACAGTAGTTTTATTCTTCCTATCTAAACTCATATTTGTGTTCTGCATTTGAGAATTTTTACTCTAAATTCACTACTTCTACTCTGTAGTCAGAATAGAATAAAAAGAAGGCAGTAAAGCCAAGAGGATACCAAAACATATAGTCAATAAATGTTTCCTTTTCTTGTAATCACAAATCCCATTGTTTACTTTGATTTTAAAAAACCTGAGTAAACATTGAAAACATATTCTTAAATTGTGGGGTTTTACCTAAGCAAGAGATCACAAAGAAAATTATATCCTTGCCATATCCGAAAATCATCCAAAAGTGTTTGAGAAACATCACTGGAGTCTTTGAGGAAACAAGAAAGCCCAGCAAACATTTCAACAATTTCTAGAGGAGATAGGTCATCTGATTGCTGCATATTCTGAACACAAGTAGATAAACATTCTTTTTCTGTAAGAATAAAGAATTAAATAAATATGTATTATGTCCACTGCTCAAAAAATTTTTCTTCATTCTTACCTGGTATTTAATGAAACATTAAATTTTAACAAAGATGTAAAACACTATGAGATAAGTGTTAAACCTTCTAAAATTAAATGTAAGATTCAAATTCACTGTAAAAGTCCTACCTCTAAAGTAGATAATGAAAGGTTATATAGAAATGTGCCTAGAAAGAATTGACATTTATTATAGTTCTTACATCACAGTTTTACATTTTATCATTAAACAAAAGAATTGGTCACTGATAATTTTTTTGATTTTTTTTCCTGATGATACAGTAAGAGGATGAAAAAAAAATTAAAAGTATCTTCAAAGTTTAAGAAGGAAAAAAATCCATTAATTATTTAACATTCACATCAGACTGAATATACACCAATACAGATTTAAGGTATAGATATCATAAATGTTTCAGAAATAAAATTTCAAGATTATGATTACACTACATGTTCTTAGCTTAAAGTACAGTTGTACCACATCACTGACTTGGAGGATCCAGTGTCACATATAAAAAGCTAAGTTCAACATAAGAATAAAAGGGAAGAAACTATTTAATGACTAATTCACATATTAAGTAAGAGTTTACACATGTATCTTTCATATTACAAGTGAACAAATAGTTGTTAATATTTTGAAAGAGTTTCAGGACAATAATAAAAACTTTAAAAGTGAATAATTTGAGACACTTTACAAATGATCTCTATAGACATTTTAGAGAATAGTTGAATGAATGGATTAAACGATAAATTCCTCCTTAGTAGTGATAAAGAATCCACTTAATTCCCTTTATTTTCCACTGGAGAGATTATCAGGTTATATATGAGTCATATTCAGAAAGACAGAAAGACTATTTGCTCTTTTTCAGCAAATATGCTATTGTTACTAGTCTTTCTGTAGTCTTTCTTCAGAAGACAGGAGAATAGGCTATGACATAGGATTGAACATTTACACAACAATGACATAGTTTTGACTCTTGAGGATATATATCATACAGAACTAATGAGAATTTATTACTTTTGAAATGTTCCATAAATTTAAAAATTATTTTCTCCTAGACAATTTATTTTTTAAATTAGAGGCCAATTTCTGGATAATGGAGAAATAATTTTAAAAATTTGTCTCAAATGAAGTAAAGCATAAGAGATTCAGAACACTTAAAATGAATATATAGAGATATTCACCATGAATATACTTGACTACATTGACACTAAGACCATGGCGGGATATGGTCATAAGGACTTCTCCAGCACTCTTCCTCCAAGGCAGATTATAGGGAGGGCACCAAGAGGTTATTGCACTGAATAAAAGCTGAAGATCATCTTTCTGAGCCAGCTCCTCTGCTGGAGAAACAAAGCTGCAGAGTTTCACTAAGATCTAAAAGACAAAACAAAACATGTCATAAAGTAAATAAATGGGTGAGGAAAAGGGAAAAACTAGAAAAGGATGTGATCTCAACATTATTAAAAAAAAATTGAGGGTAAGTGTTGGACAATATCATTAAAACCACAATGACAATTTTTGATATGCAACATTAAAAAGACATCTGAAATTTAGAAGTGTGCTATGTTAAAACATTTCCTTATATCAGTTTATTTTTTTAAAAAATCTTTTATTATCTGCTCTCTTCATCATGGTATTTTTTGTCTACCTGTCTAAAACAGGATAAAACAGCACTACCTTTCCTGTTCAACATTTTGTCATTCTAATTTAGTTCATTAGTTCTTACACAGGTGAAATGTGATTTTCTTCTCTAAAAAAAAAGTGTCACAGGATAAGAAATTTAAAACATCTTGAAAATAAAGAAATTTTCAAATTGTTTCAATTCTGTCAAGGTAGAAAAGGATATTTGAATAATATAAATCATCTTAATTTCAAAGTATTTTTAAAATTGTGTCTAACTGCCATAAATCTTGTTAAGTCCGGATTTCTTCAAGTCTAGAATGAAAACTGATTTCTAAACTATGAGTTGCACAATATACACATCACAAGTGTTTGCAGCACTGAGCGCCTGCTTTCTGGGGACTTCAATTATGGTTTCTGCCCTCAATAGAAATCCTTCTAAACCTAGATCAGTATCAGGAAAAGTTAACTTTTCAGTGCTAAATTCTCAATTCAATACTTTTTAAAATATAAAATATAAATAAACTATTAATTATGAAATCAGTTGATTCTCTTAAAGAGAGCTTTATGAAATCTGGATATTTCAAAATTGGTAGGGAAAATTTCTAAATAGGAAAAGAAGTATTTGAAATATTACATTAACATGTTTAGATACAAAAGTTTCCTAGTTCATAAATGCCAAATATCAGAAAGAAAAAAGAATAAAAAATTCAGAAAAACAGTAAAATATTTATATAATTAGTAATATGGATGCCCCAGGCCTAGAAAGGCTGCTTAGATAAAGAATGTCCATAAATATGGGTAGTATGTATATCTTTTCCCACATGTAAATATGGATCATCAAATATAACAAAAGGTATATGCTCAGAGAGGTATATTATTGATTAAATTCTTTATTGCCTTTGACCCTACCTTATGTGATCAGAGGGACAGATGCCATTTTTCTAATTTGTAACACAGAAAACAAAACTAAAATAGCAAAATGTTTTTTTCCCAGCCAAATCCCTATTCTCAAAAATAAACCTGATTTAATGACTCTTTGAATCTGTTGACTGCTAAGATAATTGGTTCTTAATCTTTATAGGCAAAATGATTCTTAAAATTGTCTACTATAATCCCTTCATTTTACAAAATAGAAAAGTGCAGAGTCTACTTCACATTCCTCGTCTGCCCTTATACTAATCACTTCTATTCGTAGTGGCTCTGTTACAAAGTCCAATCAAGTGTGGCAGAGCAGTAATTGGCCACATCAACAAAGAATGAATGCCTGCATGAAACAGTACCAACCGCTAAGGTCCCAGGAAACCATCTGTCACATAATACAAACACAGGGATTTCATCTGTCATAAAACACTTAATAAGCTTATCTCTATCGGTTTTCTAAACAAAATGTTGAAAATAATATCTAGCCCTTGATGAGGCACTAAAACAAAAAAAGTGATGCAATAAAAGCAGCACTGGGTTGGGAGTGGGGGCAGTAAGGTTCTCAGCACTGCCACTCTCATGCACAAGGACATCAGTTTCTATAACTCAAGTGAGGAGTCTGATTTAAATGATACTTTCAGTTCCTTTTGGTCTTAACATTCAATAATAACAGTATATTAAAATGAGCCTCACATTATTACAAGTCAGCATCCAGTGGTATCAAATATAGTAAAATTTTTTAAGTATTAAAAAAAACCCTTTGCTATGCTTACATATAAAATGCAGCTTCCATTTACTGCCTAAGACATTAGTTCTGTAGAATGGCTTTAATGAAATGGGGTTGCTATTCTAAAAAGCAAAGACTAATCTTCCATATTCATCAACAAGGTCTTCAAGCAGTTTTCATTCCTATACCACTTATTTCTTCACATTTTTCCCACAGTTTTTCTCATTAGATCTGATTTGTGGGTCTGACAAGTCTAAATTCTAGCTCAGTTTCTGCCATTTGCTCACATGATCATTTTGGGGGAAAAACAAAAGCTCTGAAGTTATGGGATAGATGAGATGAGATGTTAACCACAAGCACAAAAATATCTACTAAAGCAAATGTTGTATTAATTTAGTATTTTATTGAATAATACCAAGCTTTTCCTTCCAAAAATTGTGTTGGCATCCCTCTCTCCCCCTGTCCTTTCACCACTAGAACTTGGTAAAGGCAGCTACTGAATCAGGAAACCCAAGGCGATCATGCTACTGTCATCTGTACCTGGCCCACCTCTCTACCTCAAATACATTGTCCTCTATTTTCTTTCTACATTCATGGCAACAGTAGCAATAAGACTTATTTTTACTTAAGTGTCTACTTTGTGCTGAGCAGAGAACCAAAGCTTTACACATTAGCTCATTTAAACCTTACAAAGATTCTTTAAGTAGATATCACTTTCATTTTAAAGGTGCATTTCAGGTTACACAACTTCAGAGGTGTTGATTCAAAGGTGCTGTTGTTGCTTTTTACTGTGGTAAAAAAATTCATAAAATTTATAATCTTTTTTAAAATATTTTTTCAGATACAGTTGAACACAATACCTTTATTTTATTTATTTATTTTTATGTGGTGCTAAGGATCGAACCCAGCACCTCGCATGTGCTAGGCCAATGCTCTATCACTGAGATACAGAACCCTAGCCATCAAATTTATAATCTTAACCATTTTAAGTGTGTGGTACAGCAATGTTAACTATATGCATGTTGTTATATAACAGATCACTAGAAATTTTTCATCCTGCAAAACTGAAATCTTATACTCTGTGAACAACAATTCCCTTTTCTTCTGTCTCCATAATCCCTAGCAACCAGCATTCTATTTTTGTTGTTGTCATTGTTGTTCTAATCGTTAATAATTTTAGATACCCGGTGTAAGTAAAATTGTGAAATATTTATCTTTTTGTATTAAATGTATGTTTATACTATATTAGACAAAACCATGGGCAGACTGCATTCTATTTGTTTGTAGGTTGCTTGTTTTAATTTTTTTCTCCAAGAAACACCATCATTTTTCCCCATGATGACTGACTGTATTAGGAGACTAACTATAAAGTCCATTAAACCTCGATTTACCCACAATGCTGTTGGAAGAATAGTGGTAACAGCGGAAAAGAGCTTTCAGGACAGGGAAAAGAAGAAGTGTCAGAGGCCACTAAAATCAACTGTCTTTTATAAGTTAAATATTTACAGGCTAGAGAATTCCTGCATATAAACAGCTACTGAATAAAATTTCTTGACATTTTAAGAAATGTTGCACAAGTCTTAAAATGACTATCAAAAAACTTTCCCTTGGTTAGTTCATTTTGAAGATGTTACGATATATCAAATGTAATATTAATAATATCTGTTTAGAAAAACAAATTTGCTAATGCTTCAAATAGCCTTAAATTTTTTTTAACATTCTCTCTGCAGATATAAAAAATGTTACAGTTATATGAGATAAAATCACATCATAACAAACAGAATTAAATACTATAAAAATGGAAATAAGCAGAACATTCACTTCCGGAGTGTACCATTTCATTTTAAATAAAGGTAGGGAGACACCCAGGCAAACAGTCCCTTTCATACCTGTACAAAAACTTTCTGGAGTAGTCCTCGACGTTCTGCTAGAGGTAGCTCATTCTGTGCACCTCCAACTGCCTCAGGCACATGTGGAAGGTCAAAAAACAGATACAAACATTTAACCAGGGTGGAAGGCACTGACATCGTTGTCATGCAGTCCACGGTTTTCTGAAAAAAATAAATAAATAAAATAAGTGAATAGACAAATAGGCATAACAGTAATTGGTAAAGGTGAAGGACTCATAAATTTTAAACCAATTTTTTTGTTATGTAATATTATTTATTAAATTTGGTACTTGTTTGTTAAGCAGCAGCATGTTTCAAGGAATATAAGCTTTAGGATTTTGAGGAAAAGGCACTTAATAACCATGAACTTGGGGAACTATTTATTTTTCCTGGGCCTCACATTTCTCTATTATAAAATGGATAGAATGTTACATACATCTTAGCTTAATGTTATGGTTATATAAAATAACAAATGCAAAAGACATATGAGCACTAAAAATATTAGTTTACTACTATAATTTTTATCTTTAGTCTTATTACAGATTATTGAAGCTGGAAGGACACTTGAGAGATACAATAATCACTGACCTAACTAAATACATCAATACTTATCATTTTCTTTTTAAAGGAAGAAATTCTAGACAATATTCACCCAAATTTTCCATGATGTGGTTTTGTATTAAAAATCTTGCACTGGAATCAACAAGTTGGTATCAACTGTTCATTAGTTTATTTAGTTTCTCGTCAAAAACTTATTGAATGCCTAGGGTAAACCTGGCAGTGTGCAGGAGGCAGGGAATGCAAAGACGAAGCAGCCCTGCCCTTCAGAAGGCCACAGTTTACTAGCAAATCTAATAGATTTGTAAGAACTACTATCTCTGAAGTCTAACAATGGCAGCATATAGAGGCTAACATAAAGCGGAAATGATAAACACTGCCTGAAATGAAACAGAAAAATACATAAAATTATAATAAGGAGGAAAGATTCACCTAAAGACACAGAGGAAGTTAGGACATATGATGTATACAATACACTTAAGACACCAGAGTTGCAAACTGCTGATTACTGAAAAGCCACAAAAATAAAAGCTAATCTTTCAATTAAGTGTTCACTGTTCAACAGGTGTACCTCAACTACTAGTCAAGTCAACACTGAGATAGATACTATTGTCCTATGACTCTGATCTTACAAAGAGGCAACTGAACCTCATTATTTACATACCTTGCTTCAGGTTAGAGAGCTAATCAAGTGATGGATAAAGTGTGTAAGTAAAAAACCTATGAAAACAGTTTCACATTCTAGTTTGACTTTTATTTTACTGGCAATGAACACCCAATTAAATGTCACACTCAATTAAAAAGTGACACAATCAGAATTCAGGTATTGGCTGGTGGTAGTATATATCATAAATTAATATAGAGAGCCAGGTGGCAAAGGCAATTAACTAAAACAGAAAACCATATGCAAGATGGGGCCTGAATTAATGCAGTAGCAGTATGAGGAGAGGAGAATGAGCTTCAGGAACAATACCTTGAAAAACCTAGCTTCTTTCTAAATATCCAATATTATTTTCTGCCTCAAGAATACTAAGTCCCTGCTCTATCCAACTACCATTTATTATCACTTGCCACCACAATTTTTAGTTAGAGTGTCTGCTATGTCTCAAACATTCCCTTTAATTCCTCATTATTTCTCCTACTCTTATTTTAAAAAAGTTCTACTCTCACATTTCTATTTTAATAGCACTAAACATATGCCATTATTATATTTTATGGTACTATCTTTCTCGCTTTCATCTCTGTCATCTGTATGTTGAGTCAGGACCACATTTCCATCATCTCTGTATCTCACTGTTGTCAGCAGAAAAATGGCACTCAAACAAACAACAACAAAAAAAGCAGCTCAAAGTATAACAGTATATTTGCTTTTAAATGTATCATTTTCCACTTAAGAATACTACTAGCTTCCCTTTCCCATTAAGCAAAGCAGTAATTTTTTTTATTTTCATCTTATCACAGATAGATTTAAGGTATAGGTTGGCATCCCAACTAGTATTTGGCAACACTGATAATTGTTGTAAGTGATCTGGTTTCTCCTAATTCTTTTCTTATACTTTTAGGGGTGTGTATTTGTGCAAGTTTAGGATAATCCACACTACTGAGTTTCTAATGTTGTTAGGTATCATGAAAGGACACAATCTGCTCACAAATGAGAAGGAGAGAGAAAACATCTAAAGAAAATATGAATAAAACTAAGAAATATTTCAATTAAAAACTTCATATTAAACACATTAAATCAATAGTAATTATTTAAATTAAATTTTGAAGTTTCAATAACATATGTTACTTCAAACCAAATTTTGATACAGCAGCACAGAGGCACTTACACAATCAGTAGAAATAGAATTGGGATTTTGTTAGTTATCCAGCACAGTGACTGATATCTGAAAACTGGACTATCTCAGTTTATGTAGGGTGAACCACCATTTCTATTTGCCTGGAACTAAGGGGTTTCTATGCTAAAATGTGGAAAGTCCAAGAAAACAAGGACAAGTTGCTCTTGCCGATTCCCTGAGTAAAACACACAAAGAAATAAAATAGTGAATAAACAGAAAGAGACTATTCCAAGTGCTAACTACTTTAGGGCTAGTGACTAATTTCAGGATACTGTAAATAAAAAGTATATATTATTTCTGCATGGAGCACTAATTATAATAGGTGTCATAGTCACCTTTATTAAATGATGTGAGGTGTTTAAACTCTGCTGTAATGTGGACAATAGACATGTCCAACACTGGTACTGAATTTTATAGGTAATTCACTCTGGATCTTTCTACAAATAAACCTCCTTCATTCCAACAATATTGAAGACCAAAAATCAGGTGTCTAAATGGCTCATAAAGAGTATGTGTAAGATGTACCATGTCAGATACTTAAAACTGACTTAAAGGAAATAAAAAGCAATCTCTAGAATAAATCAAGTGAGAAGGGAAAATCCATTATCCTGAAAATGTCAATATCTCCTATTTTCTATTAATACCAAAAACATTTTACAGTATTTTCTGTGTCATTCACAACTTACCAGCTGAGTGGAATTAGATGAATAGTGATTTTCTACCTTAGTTTCCCTAACACAGGTTATACAAGTGTTGGTCTAGGCCTGATGAACCCAGAGCTCCTAGGGTACTTGCCTCTAGCCATGAATAGTCCAACTCTGCCTAGCATGCTGTAAAGACGGCATCAGATTTTTGTGTTATGACAAAGATAGAAACCACTCCTCTAAGTCATGCATTTTGTCATGAATAAAGTACATAAAATACTAAGTTAAGCTTGTCACAGAGATTATAAGAAACACAAAGTAATGTTTTAGAAGAGTTAGGAGAACACAAAGGCCAATCATATTATCTTATTTGGATACAATGATCAACTTAATAAAAAAAAAATCCCACAAGAAGATAACAAAGAGTACATTTGTCAAAAAATGAAAACTAAAAACTGACCTGACCAGAGGATGCCAACAAATTAATTGTTGTCAGAAGCATCCAGCCTCTACTGGCTTCTTCACTCTGATTGATCTCCAGGAACTGGACTATGGCCCGACTTGCAGCCTCTATAAAACCAAAGAGAAAGCCATTAGGTTGCGGGTAAAATCAATTATAAAAAAGTTCTTCTTAAAAATCTACCAAGAAAATAATCATTTACTAAGCTGATCCTTCTTATATCAGCACTATCACACACTCTATGAAAAAAATTTAAAATTATGATGTTTTAATGGTATACATAAAAACTAACCTCACTAATACAGAAATGTGAAAGTCAACCTATATATATTTTAGCAAAAAGAATGACATAAACTAATCAACAAGAGTCATGGGAAAGGGTGAAATAAGAATTAAATCTGCCTGGAAAACATGTACATGTTAGTCCAAGAAATGGGAGGGCTAAAAGGCATGGAGAGAAGAAGCAAGGCACTGGAACAAGTGGGGCTAGAGGAATGAGCCTGCTGAACACGGATCAAGACCAAGAACTGTGTTAACACTGTTGTAAAAGAGCATATGTTCAGAGGCAGAGCCTAATATCAACAGCAGTGATTAAAAAAAAAAATAGACACCTGATTATGAAAGAAAGCAAAGTAAGGGCTATGGCTGACTCTTAGAACAAATACAGTTTCCTGGGCAAATTAGAAAGGGCTATTCTAAGACTACCCATCTAGCTGTAATGCATAAGGCAAACTAGAAGAACAAGGACTGGTGGAAAGGAAATAAAATGAAGAGTCTACCTAGGTAAAACCTGAGAGGATGACAGCAGGCATAGAGAAACAGAGATATAAGAGAAAGTCATGCACAGAACTGTTGTTGAGTGAGCAAATTTAGCTGGTTATGTTTTTAGAGAAGAAAAAATGAACAAATTCTAAACATGCACTTAATTTTATCTACACAGTTTTCCAATATTTATATTGATTTATAAGATGAATTAAAGTTATCAGAAAATAAGTCCAAACTGTTCACTATGCCTGAAAGACACTGATGTATACTTAACTTCATAAAATAGAAGCAGTAAAATTTAGAGGCTTAGATGTAATTTTTCTTCAATTTAACCCATTCAAAAGTGCTTTATTAGATAACTGAATACAAGACCTATATATGATTCTATACAGACATTATTTCCTTATATGCTTCCATTTGAGAAAACATTTTACTGGGACAACTTTTAAAATAGCTTATTTTATTGAGTCTAAATTATAATTAAATTATATTGAAGTACTTGTGCATTTAACTCACTTAATCTTCACAAAAACCTTGAGTTATTTTCTATTAATATACCCCTCATTCCAACATAAATCGAGAAATGGAGAGGATAAGCAATTCGCCAACAGCCACATAACTAGTCAGTGAACTCATATTCGAATCTAGGCAATCTAAGTCTATAAGAGATAAAGATAGTGATTAATAAAAATTACAGGAAACGAGGGAAGGCAACAGAAGCCTGGTTTATTTCTAATACCTTAATATCTCCTAAGTGTTGAGGTTATTGTTTTCTTGTATTAACTAATTTATAGTCTCTCATCCCTATCTAGAAAATAAACACCATGATTAGACTCTTTGTAAACCTCGTTCACTGTAAATCCTTGGTATCTAGCACATTACTAGCATATAGACAGCACATCTGAATGAATCAACCTAACTAGACCAAAGGAATGATTATAACAGAAGGACACACTGAGCTCAACTTCTTATACACACCAAGAGTTTGGGCTTAATATGGGTAAGAAAGATTAAGTTTTAAAAAGGGGAGTAATACAAAGAAAGAAATATTTTGGGTTATCTAAATTCTACAGATATACTGTAAGAAAAAAGGCAAAACAATTATTTTGGGGGTTCAAGAAGCTAGAAACTCATAGTTAAGGCACATTTTGAACAAGTTAACAATACTAACTTAAAAAAAAAGCTGTGCAATTATGGACGTTTATTATTATTCAACAGACTGTAAAATATAAACAATGGAAGCAACCTTATTTTGAGAACCAAAACACCAAAAATGCACTTTTGCTTTAAAATAGTTCATTATCTGTTCAATGGTGGGTATTTATAGTTTAAGTACGTGGAGATTTTTGTTTTAGTTGTCAATCAACATAAAGGGATTCAACAAGATAAGAAGACAAATGATAGTTAGAAAGGCAATATTCTATTAAACATTATAACATGCTGCACAGATTGTTGGCTGATAAGACAATATAGTAAAATAAACCAAAAAGAACCAAAATACTATAATCATTCATATGTACCCCTTTAGTATCTTTATCAACTTAATATTACCAATTATTCTACTTGAAGAGAAGCTGGAAAGATCACATAAGCAGAAGCATGCACTCCTGTTAGCTAGCTATGTGTTCATGCTCATCTAGATAAAGCTTTTTGGACACCACTGTGGCCAACTGATGTAGGTGAGTCCCAAACCCCACTGACCTATCTATCTTTACATAAGAAGTGTATTCAGAAGAACCACTTTTACTTTTACCCACCAATTTAATTATGCTGTCATTCAGAATATCTCAAAGATCTCCAACTTTTCATTTTAAATTAGGTAAGCTGGTCACTTTCAAAATACATAAATACTAGCATTTAAAGCAGTGCTTAAAAACAAAAAACAACATGGTCTTGGGCTGGGGTTGTGGCTCAGTGGTAGAGTGCTTGCCTAGCATGTGTGAGGCACCGGGTTCAATTCTCAGCATTGCATATAAACAAAATAAAGTCCATTACAAATAAAAAAATAAATATTAAAAAAAACATGGTCTTAAAAAAATTATGTACAGTCTGAGGTGTAGCTTGGTGGTGCATCATTTGCCCAGCATCCACAAGGCTCTCTGGGTTTGGTCCCCAGCAGGACAAAAAAAGGAAAAACAAAGCAAAACAAGAAATATAAAAAAGAAATTTTAAGTAACTCTTCTATAAATCATATAGGTTCTTAAATCTGAGGGAAAAAAGCACTTCTGGAATAATCACATTGCATTAAGATCTTTTAATTTCAATAATATGTAACAAATACAAATTTAAGTAATGATTTAAGCAAAGGCTCTGTGTTAATGAAAGACATTAATGTTAATTCATCTTCAGAAGCATCAATCATTTGACTCAAGCTTTAGCTTTCATACTTCATTTTGATAGTTAACATGAAAAATATAGAAATAGAGTTAGTAGAGGTCATAAATAGATTAAATAAATTAAAATGTAGACAATTTAAAGACAAATGTAATTTTCCAGCCTACACTGAAAGATTATAAGTGAGTTCAGCTAGACAGCATTCAGAATGATCATAATGCAAAACTTGTTAATAACAAGTGCAATACCATAATTCTTTCATGCCTCAGGATGATGGTATGAGACATGTCAATAGTATTATTATACTCCTTTCATATTAATGAAGAAACAAAGTCCTAAGCAGATCTACCCTTCCAAAATAAATTCCAAACATTAGTCAGAAAACAGTATTAGAACTCATAGCTTTCATGCTTCTTTTTACTTGATACATGACCACACCTTGGGAATTAAATTACCTGAAGGTGTTGTGGCTCTGAAATCCTTGGAGGGCAGCAGGGTACAGAGTTTTTCTGTTTAAAAAAAAAAAGGCTAGGTTGTCTAATTGGGGCTTCGCTACATTCCACCAATCCCATCATAGGAGTACTGTGGTCAACAGCATCTAGGCTTTCATCACTGAGGTGCCATCTACTGGGAATTGCACCACTAGGTTTAATAGAGCTTCCTCGCAAGTAGCAAAGTCATTAATAATAAACTCAAGATACTATTTTTATATAGGTGTGAATTTTCTGCTTTACTAATATAAATTGACCATATACCTTTAGAATTAAGCAGAATCAATATAGCAGAACTTAATAACTCATAAATAGATTAAATAAATTAAAAATATAGATATTTTAGTGGAGAGAAATCTGTGTACAACACAGCCAATTATGTTTTATGTGATGTCTCCTCAAATTAATTTAAGACAGTCACTTTATATTTATAACAAAAGTCACACAGAGGCAACAACCAAGAAAGAATTAAAAGGAGAAAAAAGAGAAAATTGTGAAGATATTCTAACGTATAATCGAGAATCCATGTATTCATTTTGCTTTTGATATTCCCAAAAATTTTTCCCTTTTTTCTAACTTCTGATAGATTTAAACAGCAGAATTGTTGGCACACCTGGTTCTGTCTGAAATATCTAGTTAGAAGGGATTTGACAAAGACTATGTGGGTGGTGATTCAGTGACACATACAAGATTTCCACACCAAACTCAGAAGAGTCCTAGAAAAGAAAACTTGTCCTGGTACAAAACAAATATAGTCAATTTCCAAAGGAATAAAGAGGATTCATTTTTTAGAGAAAAATTATGGTGACTGTAAATTATGACAAAATTCCTTCCAAAGATAACTACCCATAAAATAAAATATAAAAAACTGTATATGTTATCTAAAGTAGTCAAACTCACAGAAGCAGAAAGGTGAATAGTGGCTGGAAGTCAGAAACTGGGAGTGAGGGAAATGAGGAGTTACTGTGCAATCAATATAATTCAGTCAAGCAAGATGAAAATGTTCTGGAGACTGCTATATAGCATGGTACTTAACAATGCTGTACAGTTAAGAGAATAGATCTTATATCATGTGTTTCTCAACCATGATAAAAATGAATGAATAAATAAATAAATAAATAAATAAATAAATAAAATATCAAAGAGATAGATGACTTAGGATGTACCTAAATCCTAAAAAGTTAGAAATTTATTTATACTTCCATTAAAATATTTTTTATGACACTGACCAAAAAAATCTTCCAGCATTCAAGATTAAAAATGAAAGAATAAGGATTCCCGTAACCAGAGTTCTTTAAGGCCAACTGAAGAGATATCCAGAATTATACTCTTCCCTTAAAAATCAGTAAGGCTGGCTCTTTCTCAAAGCATCATAGAGGGGGCAGGCAGAAAAATCCTATGTCAAAAATCAGTAAAAATTTATCAAACACCTAATATGTGACGAGCATCTTCTAGATGTTAGTGATACATGGTGAACACAACAGACAATAAAATAAGTAAATATCATAAGATGATGACAAAGCCAAAAATGATACACAAGTGACTGAATACATAGACGATTAGAAGAACTATTTGACAAAGAGTGATTAGGAAAGGTTTCTCTCATGAGGAAGTAACACAATGAAGTGAATCTTGTAAGAATCTAAATGAAGTTCAAAAGTTTAAAACTACAAATTACATGATATAAAAAGTTGTATCTTAAAAATCCTCAGTAGTGGGCTGGGGTTGTAGCTCAGTTGGTAGAGCATTTGCCTTGCATGTATGAGGCACTGGGTTTGATCCTCAGCACCACATAAAAACAAATAAATAAAATAAAGGTATTGTGTGCGTCTACAACTAAAAAAACATGAATTAAAAATCCCCCGTAGTAGGATGTCAAAAATAAAGACAGGGACTGGGGATATAGCTCAGTTGGTAGAGTGCTTGCCTTGCATGCACAAGGCCCTGGGTTTAATCCCCAGCACCTACCTACCTACCTCCTACCTAAATAAATAAATAAAAATATATGTTAAAAAATAAAGACAGGCAAGTGAAGGGCATAGAATACTACTATTTTGGCAACTTTCTATGAGTATAATTATAAAAATTAAGAAAATATTTGTGTAACTATTACTATAAGTTACAACAAGACATCTCTATTTAAGATATCTTTTGGTACACCTAAAAATAACCCTGTTAGTATAAAATCATAAAAGAAGTTAAGAAAACAAAGTTCTACTGTAGCAAAATTTCTCTCTACAGACGTGCAGATTGGGTGTTTAAAAAGAGAGAGAGAAGTAAAAAATAAACTATTAGAAATTATTTTCTAATCTAGAATGTCACCCAAAAAGAAAAAAACTGGACACAATGTGTGACAGAGAAATTTTCCTTTATATAATCTGTTTAAAGTAACTAACTAAGCATAAAATACTAATCTTATATACCAAATTTTCACTTCTATCAGAGTAACTGAGATCAGGAAAGACAAAGGCAGATGTAATTTCATTTTAGCTGGAAAAGGGAGAAAACAGGGACACATACTTCATTTTACCACCATTCATTAGATTTGTTTCAAGGACTGCAAATATAATTAAAACCAACTCACTTTAAAATCTATAACCAATACATATAATGTATTACTTCTCAATAAGGGATTTAATCCTCAATCTGAAATCATTTTAATGGCTATTAAATCAACATATGCACAACAGGTTCCAGTTAAGATGAACATATGCATTTATTTCTCTTCTTTCCTGAAATGCCATGGATATAGACCAAAAATTCATATGTGAAGCCATAAACTCCAATGTGATGACATTTAAAGGAGGGGCCTATGGGAAGTAATTAGGGTAAAATATCACCAGGAGGGTAAGACCTTCATGATTGGAATAGTCTCCTTCTATGAAAAGATGCCAGAGGGCTTGCCCTCTTTTTCTCCTTCATGTGAGCCCAGTGAGAAGGTGATAGTCTACAAGCCAGGAAGAGAGCCCTTTCTGGAACCCAACAATGCTGGCAGCTGGTCCTTGGACTTCCAGACTCCCAAGGCTGTAAGAAAATATATTCTTACTATTTAAATCCATGGAACTTTGTTCCATTAGCCTGGGTAGACTGATATATCCACTAAAACGGTCATAATGGGAATTTTCTTTTTAAAAAAGGCAAAAATCTCTAAGTACAAAGAAAACAGGAAAAATGAGAGAAACAACATTTGGGGTGCTAAAATAGAAGAGATTAGTGGTAACTGATTTCAACAAACTCTAGAATCTTAGAGCAATGCTCAGGGAAAGTGAAAAAGGAACCACTGTGGAAAAGCTCAGGAACTGACAGTACCAGATACCTTTGGAAGAAGAAGCAAGTATGAAACTACACAGGGAAGGACTGGTGGAAAGTATGTTTCATAGAAGTTAGAGCCCCTGGACTCTACCACATGGGCAGTGGACTGGAGGTTTATTCAATGGAAAGGGTAAGAGAAGAAGTTTGCATTGGGATATATTACAAACATTATGGACACACAGGAAAAAAAACTTATATACTGAATGTTGAGGTTCCCCAAACTTTCCTCCGACTTGGCTTCCAATATGCTATGTATTATCTAAGCAGAGACTGGACAATTCTCTAGAAATTCACCTGTATCAGGGGAAAAATTTTAAAAAACAGCCAGGCAAGATTACCTTATCCAGAAGTCAGAGTTGCAAGCTTTACCCATAATTAAAAGGCTACCCATACGCTCCATTTGTATATAAGAATGGATGGTCATGAATGAGATATGAGGACATTCTTTACCATCAAAGTCAAAAGAAATAGAGGGAGGGAGGGAGGGAGGGAGGGAGAAAGAGAGAGGGAGACAGAGAGAGAGCTCACACAGAAGAAAATACACCCATGAGAGACTCGAAACCAATAAAGAAAACAACTCTTAGAAATGAAAAAAACATAATGTCACAAGTGAAAAATACTCCATAGAAGGGCTAGATGATAAAATTGAGGTGTTTTCTTAAAAAGTAGTTAAAAGACAAAAAAATAAGAGGAAAGATAATAAAATGAGGATCGTCTAAGAAGAACATCTGACAAGAAAGAGAAAACAGAGGGGAGGATATTATTTTTAAAAAAAATCATTAAACTTTCCCAAAATTAAAGGATATAAAGTCCCAGACTGAAAGGGCCCAATGAGTATTCAGCATAATCTATAAAAATAGGCATACCCTTAGGCATGTTATCATGAAATTTTAGAACAACAGAAACAAAGATTCCAAAAGTGTCTAGATAAAAAAAAAAAAAAAGTTTAGCAGCTCCCAGAAAATAGAGAATCTAGATAGCTTCAGAAAAACTCAGAAATCCAGAATATAATAGAGAAATTACATTTTAGGTTCTGAGATAAGATCATATCCAACACAGAATCTGACTCTCACTGAACAAGGGATTGACATAATACAGTTGAAGTTTATCCAAAATCCTCGAGAACTCAGCTGGGCTGCCTGGAGAAGGAACTAGCTAAGACACTCAACATCTCCCCACAGCGGGGGCTATACCCAAGCTCCATTTCCCATGACAGAGGTAGCTCCCACTCAATGGTCTTCTGGGACTAGATAGCTAGCATTTTCAAACAGCTCCTTTACATGTCCAACAAGTAAACCAATGTAGTATGCAAACAGCCAGCTTAGCAATTTATGTGTTTCCTACTGACGGAATGGCTCTCATATTATTCTACTGGGGATGAGAGCAACAGGGGATGGAGAAGAGGGCAGAGGTATCGCTCCACCCAAATGCAAACTCAGCTGTGTTGAGTAGACCTCCCAGCACACTTCTTTATGAGCATTATAAGGACCAAAAGAAAATTACAGACATGTTTGAGGATTATACTCAGCTCAGTCTGGTTGAAATACAGAAAAAGAACAAGAAATTTTTTTTTAAAAAGTATATGCCAAAAAACACATGGCAAAAATCACAGATTTGCCTGGAGCATTGTTAAGGAATTTGGATTTATGAAAAGGAAAGACAGTGGTTAAAAGGGTTGTAGTGGAGGTGGTAGTGGTCCAAGAAGAGCAGCTTCAAGTAGAACTACTCTATTTTAGAGTAGACCTTGAAATCAACAGAAGAATGTCACAGAATAGGTAGGGGAACTGCTAAGCAAAATCCATGTGCTCAGAAAACAGTCTACTTTCTATTTAACCATAGAAGCACTTTAAAGAATTGCACCAACAAAAAATAAAGAAAGAATAGAATTGCCTGCTTATTCAAATAAATCTGGTTTTTCTGGCTTCTGTAATACCTGTGGATTTGTTTGATGCTCTCCTTCGAATTTCTGTCACCATTAGTCGTGAGACCTGGGTTGTGAACTGCAGAAGATCAGAAAACTTTTCTGTCATTGTATTTGGCGGAGCATTTCCAAAAACCTATGGAGAAAGAACAATTTTAATGAAGTCTTATTATCTTTTTGTGTATGTTTGTGAATTTCAAAGTTAGGCATAACTTGAAGATCAAGTCACATAGTATAATTACACAGTAACTTTGGGTCTGATTATGTTTAAAACATACCTCTTTTAATAGATCACATCTAGAAACATTTTCTCATAAGTATTAAATAATTTGTTGAATATATGATTAAATAAATTATATATGATTATGAGAAGAAAATACAGTGGACCTTTATTTATTTATTTAATATATGATTAAATAAATAAAATATGTGATTAAATAAATGAAATCTAAAAGGCATCATCTATACATCTAGGGGAGTTAAAAAAAAAAGCTAAAATTTGCCTACTGATATTACCCTAAAAACTGTAAAAATATATTTTTCTTGCTACAGAGACAAATGAAAACATTGCCCTTGAAATCATACAGAAATAATTACTGACTACCTCTCTACTGTAGCAAAAGTTAGAAATTTTTTAAAGTGAATTTTTCTGCTATCCATCGCATATTTTAAAGGTCATCATAATGTAATTCTTATACTTTGTTTGCTTTTTGTGTACACAGACTCTGTATTTTATGAACTATTTGAAACACTAATGAGGAAAAAAAGACATTTTCTACAAAATCTGAATCAATCTCAATGACAAACTTTAGAAAATACAACCCTTGTCTGAGGAAACCTAAAATGAGAACTTACAGAAAGGGATAAGGTTCAAGGTTCGTCAATGGTAATCGGACACAGTGTGAAGGAAAAAGTGTAGAATGATCTACTGCTAAGTCTTGGGCTGAATAGAGAATTCACTAACTTCACTGTGTATCTCAGAATTGATAAATTCTAAATACAATAATTTCTAAGATAAGACTATTGTGAAAAAGAGAGGAATAAAGGAAATAAATAGAAGACTCTTAAAATTGTTTTTACAAAAACTTAAGACAAATGACCTTTAGAATAAACAATTCTTAAAGATAAAGTGGGAATTGGTTCAGCAAAGAGAATAAGAAAATGAAACCTGGATGGGCCATCATAGGAAAGGAAATGGTATTTTAATGGCTATATATCAAGAAGTACCATAAAATATTATTTTTAAAGTGTTTTTCACAACTGAAAGGAATTTCTTTCTAGAGCCATTAAACACCTCTCCACTACAATGCTCTTTTTGTATTCTTATTACCGTCCAAATGTCCCTAAAGCCAAGAAACCCAATTTATTCATGTTCATATTCCTTCCCAAACTACCTCCTTTTCTTTTGTAGGAATGTTCCCTAGATATTATGTGTTTCTACTTTGGCTGCCCCCACAACCTAGTTACAGACAATATTCAGGTAGCACTGGAGGATAACATGGGAACATATGAAGAAAGGAAGAAAGAAAATAAAACTAATATGCAAACAAACAAACAAACAAAAAACCAACCCTGAAGCTAGAGACATGGACTGGGAAAAAAAGACTACATAAAAATAAAAGACCAGGGCTGGGGCTGGGGCTCAGAATGATGCACTGGGTTCTATCCTCAGCACCACATAAAATAAAATAAAGATATTGTGTCCACCTATAACTAAAAAATAAATATTAAAAAAATAAAATAAAAGACCAAAAAGACCTCTATGTTTTTCATGCTTTGGTCATGAGTTTTGGCTCCAATAAACAAAAAGAGAAAAAATTTAATCGCACTGTTCACAAAGATAAGAAAAAAATGTATTTAAGAAAGTATTTATATTTGTCATATCATAATATAAAAAAATTCTCCCAAAGATCTTAATAAAAAGATATGAAAATAGCATAATATCCTTTAATAGAGACCGTTTCCTATGTCTTTATAACAGGTACTACTATGGTTCCTAGAAACTCCTTCAAATTAAGTTGAAAACACTAAAACAATTCCCTTTGTCCAGGAATCCAGTCTGTTCAATTAAGTTAACAAAGGAGCAGTTTTCACTAATCTCAAAAAACAAATAAATGTGTTTTTCAAGAACTACTCAATGAGCAGGGCATGGTGGTGCACACCTGTAATCCCAGCTGCTTGGAAGGCTAAGGCAAAAAGGATTGCAAGTTCAAAGCCAGCCTCAGCAACTTAGAGAGGACCTAAGCAAGTTAGTGAGACCCTGTCTCAAAATATAAAATAAAAATGGCTGGGGATGTGGCTCACTGATTGAATGCTCCTAGGTTCAATCCCAGGAATGTTTAAAAAAAAAAAAACAAGAAGAAGAAAGAAGGAGAAGAAGGAGGAAGGAGGAAGGAGGAAGGAGGAAGGAGGAAGAAGAAGAAAGAAGAAGAAGGAAGAAGGAAGAAGGAAGAAGAAGAAGAAGAAGAAGAAGAAGAAGAAGAAGAAGAAGGAGGAGGAGGAGGAGAAGAAGGAGAAGAAGGAGAAGAAGAATTGCTTAGTAATTTTTTTTTCTATTTTGATATGTGCTGTGTGGTTGAGTTAACCTATCATCCACTAAATAAGACTCATATTCTTTAACAAACTGTAGGTAAAACTGAAAAGCCTAAAGATGACACATGCTTGAGTTCTACTCTATGCAAAAATGAATATGTATCTTTTTAATGGAGTTGTTTATAAATATTCCTATTATTCATAGACTATTGATGTGTATCATATTTTGCTCTTAAGAAGTAAGAAGTGGGCTGGGGCTGGGGCTCAGTGGTAGAACACTTGCCTACCATGTGTGAGGAACTGGGTTCAATTCTGAGCATCGCATATTAATTTTTAAAAAATGAATAAATTAAAGTCCATCAAAATCTAAAAAAAAATTTAAAAACAAGAATTAAGAAGTATTTTATTTGTAAGAATTAAGACCACTTTATAAAACAAATAATTAATTCTTGTGCATTATAAGAATATTGGTTATTCAAGCAGTCTTTATGCTGGGCAAATACACTGTTGAAACTGCAACTAAATTTTCTCACAAACTCTAATATTTACTCTTATTTTCTGTAAAAAAAATTTTTTAAAGATAAGAACTACATTCTATTTGCTAATCTAAAAATGAACAAGCACTGTTCTATGACATAACAGTATTAGTGTAGTAAACACACACCACTGGTTCATGCACTTATGCATTTGCAAATATTTATGTGCCAAACAGTATTCTAAGAGTTGTGAATACAAGGGTAAATAAAGCAAATATTCCACTGTTCATGGAGTTTACATTTTAGTACAGAAGACAAATGTTTAGCAAGTTCGTTTAGATATTAAAATTAGGTGGGGGTAAAATCCAGTGATAGAGCATGTGTTTTTGCATGTGTGAGGCCCTGGATTTGATCCCTGGTACCAAAAAAAAAATTACTGAAATTAAAACTTTGTTAAGACAGTGTTGTGTAATGAACAAAGTAAAACAGGGTAACTAAAAACAGAATGCTTGAAGTGGGAAAAAGATTGTGAAAAAAGGTCTTTGGGTGAACGACAGTGATGCCTGACGATGATGGGACAAGGAAAGAGGTTTCCAGAGCTGGGTAAGACCTCCATGTGGGAAGGAGCCTGGAGTGTTGGGAACTAAAAAGAGGCTGGTCAGGTTGGAACACTCTGTATGAGAGGGGAAGTGGTACAAAATAAGGCTGGAGAGATACTGGAACTAAAATCTAAATCTGATAATGCTGACTGTAATAATAATGTAGTAAAAAAAAAAAAGAGTGTACTTTTTGCAACTGATTTCAATGATTAAATTTTAAAATACTAGGTATGTTTTCACCAACTAAACAAAAGCCTCCAACATGTACATAAGTGTCTGTCACAGGGGATGGAGCATAGCTGAATTCTACTTCTCATTTTCAGGAATAACTTCCCTTTTGGTTGTTTCTTCATCTGTCAGGGGAGAAAGCTGGGCAAGAGGAGTCAACCAACACATTCAACTGAAAAGGGATGATTCTGTAATATGATTTGTGACACTCACAACTCACAGTACTAAGAAACAAAAATACCTTCTAGCACATTCTATAAAAATGCAAATAATTACCATATAATAAGCACTTGCAATGTGCATAGTACTATTCAAGCATTTGATATGTCATTTAAATCTTATAAAATCCTATACAATAGGTGATATTAGTATCCACATTTTATAGGTAAAGAAATTAAAGGTTAGGGAAGCTAACTTAAGCCAGGAGGTGGCAGAGACAGAATTTAAAACTAGGTCTGTCTGATTCTAAGCTGGGCTATTAATCAGTCAATACTGTATTTTCTCAATTAAACTTTGTATGAATCCTATCACTGTAACATACTGTTCCCCTTCAGAGACAACATGGTTTGTTTTGTTTTATATAGTTTGTTTTGGTTTTGTTTCTGGAAGGAAGGGGATTAACCCAGGGACTTCCAGATGCTAGGCAAGTGTTCTACCACTGAGCTACCTTCTCAGCTCCCACAAACGGGTCACTTTTAAAACTCCCCTAATAAATTTCAGAAAATTTCCTGGCAACTCTTCAACTATTTTTGGCATTCTCAAAGCAAATTCATGGTGCATCAAATAGAGGTTCAAGAAATATTTGTTACTGAATGATGGTAGTCAACAAAAATTTAAAAGACAGGCTGGAATATTAACAAACTTTTCAAAAATAGAAGTTTATTTCTTAAATTTTTATCGTTTCCAAAATTCAGTTATTGGGTATTGATTATCATTAGTCCTTGCTATGAATAATAATGCTAAAAATTAATAATTAAGATGTAATTACATTATTTCATACTGTAAATCGGTTAAGACTTTCTCTCATCTTACATTTTTTTCCCTTTTTATTTACTTCTGAGGACCACAAACTGAAGGGAGAAGAAATAATGCCTAACTCACACCATAGAACATGCGTTCTCATTTGCACTGGTGCCTTTTCCATCCAGTTTTTCCAGCAAGTCAGGAAGAATCGTTGAGCATTTCAGGGGTGAATCCAGCAAGTGCCGTGTTGCACAGTCTGAAGCCATACTCAACTTATCAATTGTACTGATCTTACATAATAAGTAATAAAGCTATAACAGAATAGTTCCTCTGATTTTGGAGCTCCATTGATTAATTCTAAAATTCAGTATCTTCCCTCCAAATCTAACAATTTAAAAAGTAAAGATTATTTCTAAGGAATTTAAAAAAGAACACTGTATTCAATTTAAATGTTTCTCACATACAAATCAGAAATAAGTTAAAAAACAAGGAGATTCTCTTAAAGATCTAGATCTAGATTATTTCTAAAATACATAATGACGTGTGATAACAAATACTAAGGTAATTAACATTGGTAGTAAATGGATTTTTAGATAGCTAAAAGGCTATTCATTTTGAATAAGTTTAAACCAAGTATTTTCTGTATAAGCTTTTGTTCTTGGGACTAAAAGCTTATTATTTTTTAGAATTCTGAATAAATATTATTCAGCTTATTCTCATATACCACCATAATCTTTCAGTTTGAGAGAATCAGTGGGAGGGAAGACAGCAGCAGCCTCCTGGTAGGGCTGTGATGAAGACCACAGGAGGCATTTCAAGAACCCAGCATGAAACCTGACCCAAAGAAAGTAGTCAACACATGTCATTTCCTAACTCATGTAAAAAGCAAACATCATACACTGAAATAACAATTAATCATACTTTAAAAACTATCCTATAGATGCACAGGTCTAGCAATATTATGGCTTATTCACCATTAAGCACAAATCAAGACTCACTTTAATTGTGAAAACCTAACTGATGCAATACATGGGAGACATATATGTGGGATATTACTTAATAATTCATGTTAAGAGCTGAGAACAGGGCTATAGGTATAGCTCAGTGACAGAGAGCAGTTGCATAGTGTGCAAGGCCCTGGGTTCTGACCCCAGTATAAAGGGGAGAAGCTACAAACGATTATTCCTATAATTGCTCTAAACATATCATTGTCTTGCAAATGTTCATAAGTCTGAAAAAACAAAACTACTTTAAACTGCACATTAGCCAATAGCATATCATGACATTAATAAAAAAAAAGATAAAAAATTAAAATTTTAAAATCTCAGAACTGATTCCAATATAAATTAAAGATTTATTAGAACAGAGCTTGAAATAAAGGCTTGTCCACAATTAGTTTCCTCTCCCATTTTAAAAATAGCTATTTTTAACCCTCCCACACCTCTCCTCAAGTTCCTCTCTACCACCTCCTCCCTTCATCATTCTCAGATAGTTAGGACTCTAAATTCATGAATTAGAAAATGTATGTTCTTTAAATGGGTTAATGTTTCCATCTTCTTTCCATTTATCAAACACATGCCCATTGATGATATGTAAACTAATCTCTTTGTTCCTTCCTTCCAGTTCTGTCTATCTGCTTCACCAGCCCAGCAAAATCTCAGTCCCAATAAATCAGGCATTTCCCTTCTCTTGTTCTACAAGAGATTTGTATGATAAGATCCAGCATAAATTTATTATCTTTAATGTTCACTAGACCCTCAAAACTAATGGATTCTTTTGTTGCTCTTGTTCAACTATCTCTTATTTCTGGGTGTCTCTTGCATTCTCTTATATTGATATTCTAAACCATCACAAATTTCCATAAGTCTCCTATTCAATCTGTTTACTCCAGACTATTAATAGGCCACATCTTCTACTGATGACAACAGGAATCTTAAAAGTCATCATGCAAGATCTTATTTACTACCTAACATATAAATTTATATTCACTTCCAGCAAAATCTGTTTTCTCACAGGATAAACTGTCTTTCTCCTGTTCAAGGCTCATTCATCCACCTATAATTTGACTTCACGCTCCCCCTTTCCTCAATTTATTTTCACTTTCTCCTGAAGTTTTCCAAATTTCTTGCTCTGCTGGTTTCTTCTCTTTTCTTTGAGAGTATGCCTGCGTCTCTCCCATCTTGCAAAACAAAGCAAAACATTATAAACATGTAAACAAAACCCCCTTTATTGCCAACTTCACCACTGCTGTGGCTTGGCTATGCTTTGTACCTTAAAGGTTCATGTGCTGGAACTAAGATGTTAAGAACCACTAAGAGATGGGGTCTAGTGGAAGGTCCACCCTCATAACTGGATTAATGCTGTATCACAGGAGAGGATCAGGTCTCATGTAACTAGATTAGTTTTCAGGAAAATGGGTTTTTATAAAGTGAGGCTGCCTCATGTGCTTGGTCCCTTCTGTATACAGCTTGCTCCCATTCTGCTTTTCTACCATGTGGTAACACAGCTAGGCGGCCCTTGCCAGCATGCCAGTGCCATGCTGTTCGGACCTTCCAGCCTTTTTTAAAAAAATAAAGTACCCAATTTCAGGTATTTGGTTATAGCAACACCAAACTGACCAAGATAACCTCTATCAATCTCTTATGTTCTACTTTCTTTCTAATTTCTCAAAGTTTAGCACATACTTACTGTCTGGTCTCAACTCAGATTCACTACTCAACTCCTCCAATGTTTTCTGGCTAAACCACTCTAATGAATTACAATTCTGACAAATCCATGACCAAATCCTCATCTTACTGGTTCTATTATATGTGACAGTGTTGATTGCTCTTCATTAAATTTTTGTCTCAAGTTGTTAAACATTAACCTCTCTTGGTTCTGTTTTGTTATTAACCAGCTCCTGTTCAGTATCCTTTAGGGATTCCCTTTCTTTCTTTCAACATTTATTTCTCCATTGTTCATCTTTAGCCTGCTGTTCTTCTCACTTGCCAATATGAGCCATGAGTGATCTCTTTTGCCCTTCTAGAGTTTCAACTGCAACATTTTGTTAATGGGTCCCCAAAGCATGTATTGAGCCAAGTCTCCTCACAGGAGGTTCCAAACTATTGTTAAAAACCTCCACCATGGAAGCTCACAAATAATTTTGACCCAGTGTCCCACACTTATCTGCCCTCTAAAACCTTTCTTTCTCAGCAACTGATGAAAACAATCACCAACCTTCCCAAACTGTAAGTGTATAAGACAACCTTGCCTTGGCTCCTTCTACTCGTGAACATTATTTATAAAGCTATCGTGATCTGCTTCCTATCTATCTCAATAGTCTTATGTTTTGCCTTCCTTGATGTAAAATCAGGTTTTTAGATGGCTGATGGATGCTGGCACATATAAACATGCTTCTTGCCTTTTGTCTTAGTTAATCATTTAACTTCTATTACCTTCTTAGTTAATTTAGCCTTGTTTATCTCCAATCTGGCTAATGGTTATCTTTTAAGAACTCATTAATCCATCACATTCTTAAGAAAGACTTTTCTTCTCTGGTCCCTACAGACTCTTCAGTAACTACGGTACCTACATTTATAGTTATACTCATTCTTTCTAATTGTTTTATCTGTTTTTGTGCTTATATATTCTTATGTGCTTATAGCAGATTTACATGTTTATCTTCAATATTACACTTACAGCCTTACAAGATTAGAAACTACATTTCATCTTAGAAATGCCAATGCATAGTGCAGTATAATATAATGTACACTTATTTGACAGAAGTTCACTGAATGACTTTGTAAACACACAAAACAGAATAAATGAAGGGACAAAACAAGCAAACAGAATACACAAGGTCAATCTCCCCCCCTTCTGCTATCAACATTAGCTGATAGATTGGTTTGTGTAATACATAACATGAACAATTACTTTAGCATAAATAGTTTATAATCTTTGCTTTGTCTTCTAGTGTTTTTATTTTTAATTCAGTAACAAAAATAATAATACATACAAGTTCCTAAGGAAAAATATTTATTAATTGTCTTAAGTATATTATCTTATTTAATCCTTATGACAACCTCATAAAGTAGATATTCTTATTTTACAGCCAGGAAAATTAAGGTGATTGCTAATACCCAGTGCTGTTCCTAGAGAGGAAGAACAGGGACAAGAGTGAAGAAGGAAGAAATAGAGCCAGGGAGAAACAGGAGCAAAAAAAAAAAAAAAAAAAAAACAAGAAAGGGTACAGGTGGGGGAAAGAATAACAGAGAAAGGGATTAGAACAGGGATTTGTGCAAATTGAAGACAAGATCATTGATCGGTGAAAACTAAAGATTAAGTGAATGTCAACTTTCTGAATATGAGTACCAACCTAGTTCTTCAATTTGGCTATACGAAAACACTACCAGTTAAGCTAATACACTCTAGGCAGATTGGAGAAATCCCCTTCCTGGGATATCAATATACCCAAAATAAATGATTTATGGGTAATATTAAGAATGAAGAGTCACACTGGGTGTGGTGCTGCACACCTGTAAGCCCAGTGACTTGAGAGGTGAGGCAAGAGGATCACAAGTTCAAAGCCAGCCTCAGTGGAGACCCTTTGTGTCAAAATTTAAAATGAGAAGGGCTGGGGATGTGGCTCTATGCTAAAGTATCTCTGGGTTCAATCCCTGGTACCAAAAAAAAGTATGTGTGGCGGGTGAGGGGTATCTAAATAACATAGTCAGATCATCTTACCACTTAAAATGTTCACCTTTGCACATATAATTTCCAATGTTTCAATATTTCATTCTTCGATAACACTGACACTGAGGAGAAATAAAGTGCCTAGAAATTTTCAGAAACAAAGACAGACTAACAGAATGAACAATATAAAGACCAAGTAAGACTAGTGAGCCAGAGATGTAGGCAAGACAGAGTCATTAGCCAATAGCATATCATGACATTAATAAAAAAAAAAAAGATTAAAAATTAAACAAAATTTTAAAATCTCAGAACTGATTCCAATATAAATTAAAGATTCATTAGAACAGAGCTTGAAATAAAGGCTTGTCCACAATTAGTTTCCTCTCCCATTTTAAAAATAGCTATTTTTAACCCTCCCACACCTCTCCTCAAGTTCCTCTCTACCACCTCCTCCCTTCATCATTCTCAGATAGTTAGGACTCTAAATTCATGAATTAGAAAATGTATGTTCTTTAAATGGATTAATGTTTCCATCTTCTTTCCATTTATCAAACACATGCCCATTGATGTCATTTTATAGTTTTTTTCTACCTATGACTTACCATTTACCTTAAGACTCCTGTAAGGACATCCGGTCCTGCAAGTTACATTTGGAACCTGGTCTTACCCTGTTAAACACTGGCAGCATCATGTATAATTTCTCTTCTTGTTCCTTCTGAGTCATGTGCCGGGGAGGATGGCACAGCTCAGTGAAGAGACGGCGGAGGTGCATCAGTCCCAAGGCATTGTCCTGCGGGCTGCACTCCTCCTGCCTCGGCCTCCCCATGATCCTCTTCACCATGTTCATCTTGGCTAGTTGGTGATAAACACTTCTAATTCTGTAGAAAGATGTCAATGCATAACAGTGAAAATGTCACCACCTTGACTAGGTTGAGCATGCATTTAAAAGCCTATAAAAAGTCCTAAAAATAGAAAATTCTCTCTAGTATAAGCAAAGTTAATTTTGATAAATCTCCCTGATGACAAATTATGAATTATGGGAACTTAAAAGTTCCTTCTGGCTTTACTACATTTTATATAAAATATAAAACATTAACTAGACAAATAACAAATATTTCTAATAAAGTTAATTATATCAAGTTCAACAAAGTGATCACAAATGTTGCTATTAATATTACTTTATTTTTAAGTATATGTAAAAAAGAATGAAACAAATAGAAAGTTCTCCCTAACCTCAAAGAATACCCAAACTCAAAACTCCCAAAGTCTTCTATATTGTTATAACAGTTTTTTCTAAATATGATAAGTAAATTCCATGTGCCTGATGAACAGTTTGTTACAGTTTAAAAATGTGCAAATTAAGTGAAAGAATATCACAATATATCTTATAAATCCATAAAGAAACAATAAAAATTATCACATAAATAAAGAACACTTTCTCAAAACAAAACAAACAAAAAACCCTTAAGTAAGTTATATTGATTCCTTTTGTGAGTAGTGATGAATTTTTTTTTCTTTAAAAGTAATAATAGCATAGAAGATATTGAACCACATATGGCAAGGATAACTATGGTTTCATGAAGTATATTTCAGGTAAGAGTGAATGAGCATATATTGAATCATAATGTAAAATCTACCCTTTGCTAGAGTTGGATTTAAAAAATAAACTAACCACTGAGTTAAAGAATACACAGAATCAATAACACTGAGCTTTTAGAAAGCATCCTTAGATGTTTTCAACCACTACTAACTGTGCCAACAATTAGCTAATTTCAGACACAAAAACAGGATATATTACAAAAGGAACCAGGAAGACTGGGAGAACATTATGGATATGCAGAATTTGGATAAAAAGCAATTTGCTTTTATAATCTGTAGAGAAGCAGTCATAACTTGAGATTAATTTTTAATTTTGCTGCATAACTATACAAACGAGATGCCATTTCTTAAGAAATGAAAAAGTACTTCAGAATACAGTTTTATTTAATAAACACCTTATTGATTTTTAAAAGATAAGAATAAACAATGAAACAAACTTGCACTTGAGAATTTTTAGTGAACTCCCTATCTGGTTATAGGAATATGCTTCTGTACTCTAGCTCCCTTGCAAAAGGAGAGCAGGATGTAAATCATCATAGGTGAGGAGCAGAAAGATATGCTCTGGTTAGAGCTCTGTCATTGACTAGTCTGTATTGAATGAGTACTGCGCAAAGAGAACTCAGTATATTCTCAAGTGCCCAGATGCAGGACACAGTGCTTGGGCACACAGGCTAAGAGCTGAGTACATTTAACTACAAAATAATAGAAATCAGTCCAATTCAAAGCTATCTAACATATTCATTCTTGGAAAATATTTAAGTCTTCCAAACATTAACAAAATTATCAATCTATCATGTGCTCGTCTAGTTCTGAAAATTCTCAGAACAAAAATAAAATTGGATGTGGACTATGAAATTTTTGTAAATTAGTTAACATTTCAGATTATGCACAGCTATATTCTCAGCCTATAGCCACTGTTCCTATCTAGAGACTGTGAATGGGACTTACGGGATTCATGATTCTCTAATACTTAGAAATCTTTTTACTAAGAGATCCCAAGCTTTCCAAAGGAGTCTATGTATCTATGTCAAAAAAAAAAAAAAAAAAAAAAAAAAAAGTCAGGAATTAAACTCAGACCATCTCATCTGCTTCTCATTCCAAGTTAAGCAAGTGAACCAAAGAGAGGATTAACTCTGCCCTTTTGGGGTTTTTTTGGTATTGGGGATTGAACCCAGAAGCACTTAACCACTGAGCCAAATCCCCAGCTCTTTTTTGTATTTTATTTAGAGACAGGGTCCCCTTGAGTCACTAAGTGCCTCGCCAAGTTGCTGAGGCTGGCTTTGAATTCTCGATTCTTCTGCCTCAGCCTCCTGAATCACTGGGATTACAGGTGTGCCACCACAACTGGCTAACTCTGCCTTTTTGGTCTATGTCTATTCAGGTATAATTCAAAAATAAAATGTGCTTATACTTAAAGTATAAAACTTGACATTTTAATTTTAAAAAAATTTAAAGAAATGTATTTTTTTCATATTTATGGGGCACAGTGTAATAATTTGCTATGCATATGCAATGGGTAAAAAGCCAAGCAGAGTTACCAGCATTTCCACCTCCTTAAACATCTATCATTTCTTTGTGTTGAGAAGCTTCAAACTCCTCTCTTCTAATTCTTTATAAAACATGTAATAAATAATGTGAACTAGAGTCACCCTACTGTGCTACAGAACTTGAGAACTTATTCCTCCTATGTAACTGTATATTTCGGTATCTGGTATCCAAACTTCCTTGACATTTTGATATATGTATACACTGTGAAATAATTACCACAGTCAAGTTCATAACATTCATCATCTCACAGGTTACTATATAATTTTTTTTAATAGAACACTTAATAGAACTATAGTACTGTAACTACTGCTGTACACTAGTTTGTACCCTTGACCTGCTAGCATCTCCCCCTTTACTCCTGCCCCTGGCAACCACCAATCTACCCTCTGCTTCTAGGAGTTTGACCATGTTAGATTCCTCATGTAAGTAAGATCATACAGTATTTATATTTGTGCAACTGGCTTATTTCACACTATACATAAATTCTCAAGGTCCTGTGTGTTCTCCCATGTTTTTGCAAATGGTAGGATTTCCTCCTTTTAAATTTTTTGAATATTATTCCGCTAGGTATACAATCTCACTTCATTTATTTAAAAAATCTATTCATCTATAAAGAAACATTTAGGTGGTTTCTGTATCTTGGTTACTGTGAACAACCTGCAACAGGCATGGGAGAATAGATAGCTTTTCCAAGATACTAATTTTATTTCCTTTGGATATATACCTAGAAGTAGGATTGCCAGATCTTAAGGAACTTCTATTTTTAAGTTTTTAAGGAACCTCTGTACTGTTTTCCATAATGGCTATACTACTTTACATTTCCAATAGCCTTCAAGGGTTTCTTTTTCCCACATCTGGCCAATAACTGTTATCCTTTGTCTTTTGGACAATAGCCATTCTAACCGGCCTAAGGTAATGTCTCACTGTGGTTTTGATTTGCAGTTTCACTGATGATAGATGATGTTGCACATGTTTCACAAAACTGTTGGTTATTTGTATGTCTCTTTTGAGAATTGTCAATTCAGGTCTTTTGGTCCATTTTTAAATCAGGTTATTTGGGTTTCTACTACTGACTTATATGAGTTCTTTATGTATTTTAGATCTTAACCCCTTAACAGATATTGGTTTGCCAGCATTTGATCTCATTCTATAGGCTACTTCTTCAGAATATTCTGTCCAACAATAACAGAACACATCCTCTTTTAAGCTCACAAGAAACATTAACCAAAACAGACAACATCCTGGGCCATAAATGTATCTTAACAAACTTAATCATACAAAGCATCTGACCAGTCTCAGAACACAATGGAATTAAATAATCAATAATTGAAATACAACTGGAAAAGCCCCAATGTTTGGAAATTAAACAACATATTTTCAAATAACACATAGGTCAAGGAATTGTCATAAGAAATTTAAAAACATAAACTAAGTGAAAATAAAACTTATTGAAATCTTAAAAATGCAGCAAAAACTGTTGTTCTTAGAGGAAAATTATAATAAGATGCATACAACACAAAAGAAGAAAATCTACAATTCTGTCATAGGAAATTAGAAGAAGAGGAGCTGTGTAAGTTTAAAGAAACCAAAATAAATGAAAATAAAATAATAAAAATTAGGCCAGAAATCAATGAGATTAAAAACAGAAGGGAGGCTAGAGTTGTAGCTCAGTGGTAGAGCTCTAGACTCATACGCGTGAGGCACTGGGTTTGATTCCTAGAACCACATACAATTAAGCAAATAAAATGAAGGCCCATCAACAACTAAAAAATATTAAAGAAAAAGGGGGGGGGTGCAGGAAGGGCTACAGGTATAGTTCAGTAGTAGAGCACTTGCTTAGCATGCATGAGGTACTAAGGATCAAAGCATGCCCAGCAAATGAATACACTCTCCAGATGATTAAATAAAATAAAAACATAAACAGGAAGACTACAGGGAAAAATCAACAGAACCAAAGGTTCCTCTTTGACATTATCAATAAAATTAATCTAAATACCACTACCACATAACTGGTATTCTGCCTTGATGCATCTCTCCTATAGCTCCTAAGTTATCTTCCAAGATACATAGTCCCATTTTTTTCTGATTTAAAACCTCTGTTGATTCTCTATTGCCTAAGAATAAATTGAAACACCTCAATCTAATATCTTTAAGTTTTTATAAACTCTGTTTTCATATATTTACCCATGTTCATCTCTCACTAAGCCACCTCTTCTACTCAAAATTGTGCCACCATGAAGGCATGCCCTACCTTGACGGGTTCTTTCAATTCTCTGTATGTTTAGATACACTGTCTTCTCTGCCAAGCATGACCCTCCTCCTCTGCTTTTGCTAGCATTCCCCAATCTCCCCACCCTTCAGCTCTGAGGTTACCTTCTCAGAGAAGAGTTTCCCAAATCTCTAGGCTGTTTCTGGTTTACCTTTGATCCCACCAGGGTACTTTATAGTTGGTTATAGGATATGCACCATTAAGAGAGACAGTAATGGTTACTCAGGCTTTGCAATTCAAGTCTTGGGTTCAATTTCTAGTTGCAATACTTACTTAGTGTGTACCTGATCAGAAACCTGATTTCTGGGTGTGATAGATTTACTGTAATTTGTGAAAATTACATCATCAAAACACAAAAAAAAATTAAAACTTTATAATTTATATATCCTAGTTCTACCTATAGAAAGCCTTTAGAGAACTTCTTAAACATCTTCAGAATAAGACTACACGAACCTTTTACTC